CTCCCGACACGGGAGAATAGAGTAGAATAGGCTCGGGCCACCCAGTAAGGGCGGTGCGGCGTCATTTCGCAGCAAGGGGGTTGTCGGAACCGAACCGTTGGGAATTTCGAAGCCATCCGGTTGGTGCAGGTGGCTGAGGAGCAAAGGAGGGAGGGAAATGGGGATGGAGATGGCGATGGACCTCGGGAGTCTTAAACGGTGGTCTAACCGCTTCCAGTAGATCCACCGGAGGATTCCGTACTGGTTTGGGTTGGCTTGGTTTGGTTTGATATACATAATCTGAAAATGTAGTATTTGAGGCGTTTATCCTGGGAGTCCCCCTAAGATTGTTCCGATGTACCTAGGTATTGTACATGGATGGTATGCATGCACAAGATGAATATGTGTCCTCATGTCAACGGATTGATCAATTAGGCATGAACTCATGGTCCCAAGGAAAAATACTTTGCATCTGCATAATGCAATGCACGTACTTCCTGAAATCCTCACTTCAACAATTTCGCCGAGACGCGTCCGATCCGAAATCTAGGTAAAAATAAATAATAATCTCACTTTATTGACTCCGCGGGATCTGGTGGCGGCATTTGTGGCGGGCCACATACTTCAACTCTGTACAATGTACTCCTCCATATGGAGTACATATTGAATACAGGCCCACAATGGAATCCCAGTATAATGGGTAGACCGACCAGCCAAGGAGGACCAGATATCAAGCAAAAGAAAACAGACAAACATCGGACATCCCGAGGCGGCGGGATTTGCGTTTCGCGGGACAGGGGTTCTGGTTCCCCTAACGCCCTCGTAGCAAACCCCAGCACAGTCCAACCCACCACTTCTAGCGCCTGGCACGTCAATGCCGGCCCCTCGGTATCCACTGTGGTGAGACCTGTGGAGGCGTAGAAAAGTTGAAGATACAACCGGACATTTGTACAGCTGTAAAGCTGTACTTTGATGCGTACAGTCTTATCCTGTATCCAGGAGATACTGGTAAGTGCTTTGCTTACTCCGTACGTATGTACAGACATTTCACTACATCCACGGAGGTTAGGGGGACTGGCATATGCTCCACTGCACGACCTGTCTTAACCAGCTTGTCGGGTCGTGTTTTTCGAAGCTGTCAACCTCCTCACGAGCGTTAACTGTCAGTTCGCAGGAGGTTGTCCACTCTGTCCTCTTTTTAAAGTTTAGACCCCGAAGGGGGTGGCTGTTTGCCGCGACTATTTCTTTCATGGGCCATTGATGGGACGGAGACAAGGACAGGAGGAGATGGGAGATGATGGGTGAGTGGGTCTAACGGCCGCTGCTATTTTTTTTCGATTTTAGTACAGAGTATCCGTAGACTGGAGTGGCGATCAACGGGGATTTTCACCGGGCCAGAATGCAACAGTACTTTTCTCATCTGCCTTATCCTTTGTGCCACGTTGGAGAATTTATCCAGGCCTGGCTGGTTCAGGGGTTGGCGCTGAATCAGTCTGGGCTGCTAAGATCTACGGTGCAAGGATTTGCATGAATCAAGTCTGGTTTGATCTCCGTGGGTACGCCGTTATTTTAGCCTGGGTACTGGCTATTTGGAATCCTTCGACAGAGTTTTAGGCTCAGCTAGGTATGCGTCATCATCCTTGTCGGACAACATCCGTTTGAACGTTTGAGATGTGAAATTACAGGTATCAACAGGCTGGGACGAGAATTAGTATAGTACCATTGATTGGGTTGATACCGTCAGCGATAGCAGTAGCTTGTTGCATGGAAGAAATCAGTTTCTGGAGTACTATCATCAGCTATTTAGGTAGTAACTAGTAGCAGTATAGCTAAGTATACGACGTACACGCGTATGATAATATCAGACTTTAATCCTCCGACTCAACTGCTCCGTACCAGCCGACTTCTCATAATCAATGTCCTCAGGCTTGACCAAGTCCACGCGTCGCCCCAGGGCTCGCCGAATAATCCAATCTTTACTATTAATCACTTCCTCGGTCTGACCATCTTCAATAGGCGGAATTAGATCTGATCCCTCCAGCCGTCGTAGCATAACGTTATCCTCCGGCCGAGCAAAGTATACAAGACTATATCGTGTCGAGTCTCCCTGGATACCCGGCGGTGCCGCAACGCGATGAATATTGGACCGGAACAAACCATTAGTGAACTTGACCATCGCGTCACCGAGATTCACCACTGCATGGCCAGGCAATGGCCGCACATATATCCACTCTGCATCCTCGCCTGGTGGTAGAACCTGCAACCCGCCCAGCCGATTGAAGAGAACCGTGACACTGCCAAAATCAGTATGCTGGCCCAGCGCTGTGCGTCTGTCATCAACGGGTTGAGGCGGGGCTTTGATAAAGCGAACTTGATCTCCACCGACCTCTTGGAGGCGATGAAGATTGGCGAGGGTATCCTTCGGCAACGCCAGTTTGTCATTCAAAACTTGCAGAATAAGAGACACGATAGTGTGTGAGCCTTTCATGAATGAGCTCAGTTTTGCTCTGCTATTTTGCAAGACATCCGGTGCCGGGAGCTGCTTCGCGATGCCCATAATATCATCCTTGGAGACCTATTCACGTCAACCGGGATTGTTTGAAGGCCTATGGAGGATGGCCCTGCAAGACATGACCTACGTTATAGAACTCATTTCGATCTAGATTTCCATCCTTGTCGACGACTGACACCCCTTGGCCCTTATACCCAAAGTATGAGTTCTGCTTGCTGAAATCATACAACACCTTCTCTTCCAGTGGCAGCTCAAACAAACTTTCTCCGATTCGGAAGAGGTCATCTGCGTCGTTGAGGAGCAATCCTCCATGTTCTGAATCTCGAAGATCCAGGTAGAAGAATCCGATATCAACAGATGCCTCGAAAAGCCGCTCGTACTCGGCGAGATCCCCGGCCAACAGCTTCCCAAGCGATAGCCGAAGAAGCGGCGCCGTGGCAACGTCGTCTGGGAAAGGAGGTAGGCCCGGGAAGTTACCCAGATTTTCCATATTTGATGACTGGGTCATGGTTTGTAGACTAATCAAATGGATAATTTGTAGATAATCAAACTTCGTATCGAAGTTGCTCAGGGTGAGTAGCGCTCTCAGATGGAATAATCCACGATGAAAGTAACACATCCATGCGGGGAAGTCGAATGAACCGAGGAAGTAACCAACCATTGAAAACTCATGTTTCCGTGGTCGGACTCAAATGTTGATCCGAACTCTCATTATCCAGCAAATTTCAAGATTTGGAAGCTGCTTGTTCTTAATTCCCTGGTATCGGCGTTGGGCACCGTGGGAGCTTTCTTCCTACCATCGGACTGTGCTAGTCCTTGAACCATGATAGGTATGCCATGCTTGATGACTAGAGAATATCAGCAATATCAGCGACATCTCGAAGGCACCGCTGAGCTTGTTCGATCAAGCAATCTCTATTGAACTAAGTGGAGACATCCCCACGTCGAGGGCAACCACCACCCCGCATTTCACCAGATGATGCCACAACATCTTCCCAATATAAGCCGGCCTTAACCATGGCAGCTGAAAAGGTTCTATGCATCGCGGACCTTCAAAAGGCAGCATCACAGGTTCTACCAGTTGCAACCCGAGGTAACGAACCCTTCACCAAATATATAGGCCCAATGGCTAATGAGGGGCATATGTGCGTCAGACTTCTTCAACTCTGGAGCAACCAACCAAGTCACCATCCACGAGAACTCTTCCTCGTACCAGAAATATCGCATATTACCCCGTGTCTTGAAAGATGTCTCCCAAGTCAGCACTGCGATCAGACTCTTCGATCGAGACATCGCCTTCCCACTCTGTGTCTCGCCAGCCGGCCTCCAAGGCATGGCCCATGCAGACGGCGAACTTGCAACGAGCAGAGCATGCGCCAAAGCAGGTGTGAACATGGGCGTCTCTTCGTACGCCAATCACTCCGTAGAGCAGATCACGAATGCCGGAACCGAAGTCGGACCTATCCACCACGTCATGCAACTCTACTCAATGACAGACCGCGAGAAAGAAGCGCGGATCGTGCACCGTGCCGAGAAAGCCGGGTGCAAAGCGATATTCCTTACCGGAGACAGCCCAGTCCTCGGCGTGCGGTTTAACGAATGGCGCAATGGATTCATTCCCCCGCCCGGACTGGACTATCCGATGATCGAGAAGACGTCGGAGCAGATCCAGTCGCAGTCGCACGACGATGGGTTCTCGTCTTTCAATTCGGCTTCGCATTCCTGGGCCAAAGAGATCCCTTGGTTACGCAGTATCACGAAGATGGAGATTTGGATCAAGGGCGTTCTTACGCCTGAGGATGTGGAGATGGCTATCCAGTATGGATGTGATGGCGTTGTGATTAGCAACCATGGTGGACGGCAGTTGGATGAGACGCCGGCAACGATTGATGTCCTACCTGCCTGTGCTAAAGCCGCCCAAGGTCGAATTCGCATTCATATTGATGGAGGGATCCGGACTGGGAGCGATATCTTCAAGGCTTTGGCACTGGGGGCGGAGTGTTGCTGGGTTGGCCGTCCGATGCTTTGGGGTTTGGCGGTAAGATTAATTCCATCTGTTCTGTGAAAGAGGACCGAAGACTAATCTTGGATCTTGAACAGTATAATGGACAGCAGGGAGTGGAGTTGATGCTCGACATCCTTTATCAGGACTTTAAACGGTGTATGCAGCTGGCGGGCTGCAAATCGATTTCTGAGATTGGGCACTCGAGTCTTGGGATTTTCCGATCGGATGGGCCTTTGGCAAGATTATAGAATAGAGTAGAATTTCTAAATATATCAGGGATGGTCATCACATAGCATATTCTATGCCCGTTAGGGTACCCTAGGGTAGCGGTGGTTAAGGTATAGTTCATCACATCCCAATGGGGATGTGCTATCTTATCGGGTGACATCAACTTGACCCGCGGGAATTTTCTCAACTCCAACTCGCTCGACATCCAACAACTCCCCCAGTTCTCCCCTTGCACGCAAAGTCACGGCCCTACATAAGGCCAATCAGCTGTCCAATATGACAGAATCACCAACCCCCAAACAACACATCGCCCACACACTCCTCTCCCGCGCCCACTCCCCAGACAGCGCAACCCAACAATTCACCGAGCGCATCAAACAAAAACCACTCTTTCTCCGCCCAACCTCACCCTCAGCCACCGACAACAGATCCCGCCGCCGCCTACACAGACTCCAAAAGAAAGAATACTTCCGGCGCCACCAGCGCCCGCAGCCCTTATCTGCGCGCGAAAAGCGGACCTCCGGCCTACACGATCTTCCAAAGGACGAATGCAAGTACGCGATCTTTAAGGGCCTGCATGAGCTGTGGGTGAGCTATATGCAGGAGATATTGGACCTGGGTGGATCGGCGGCTAAGGGTGGGTGTTTATTAACACCCTCGTCGCATGGTGCGAAGCTTGTCAGTGCGGATTATCATGGAGCGGAGGTGGAAGTTGTGAGGAGTCGGTCTTCGGGGAGGGTGGGGTTGAAAGGGATTGTGGTGAGAGATACAAAGTTTACGTTTGTGATTGTTACGGCGAAGGACGAGGTCAAAAGTGAGTGATATTTTGCTGCTGGGGTGGTCGCGCATTGCAGATTGAAACTAACGTGTTTGAATGATTATAGCTATTCCGAAGGAACATACGGTCTTCAAATTTACTGTGCCGCTGCCAGTACCGACGAGCGAGGATTCTGCTCCCGAGCAAGCGAATACAGAAGGGACGGATATATCGAATGCGCAAAAACCGCTTGTTTTCGAGCTGCACGGGAGTCAATTTGAGAATCGACCTGTGGATCGAGCGAATAAGAAGTTCAAGTGGAGGAATATCGATTACCTATAGCTGGTCTATTATCGGCAGGATTCCTACTGGGCGTTATTGATTTTGTGGGATTCATGCATGAGCGGTACATATTGATCGAATATAATATTTGTTTGAGGCGATCGTTATTTGTTTCTTTAGATTCAGGGTATCTTTTGTAAAAGTATCCATGGATTACATCCACAGGTGGTGATTTTGTAGTCCTCTTGCTCATGAAAAGGCAATTATGAATGACTCTTGCCGATTCCCGATTTCATGGTGCTGTTTCGGCTATGCCCCGAGTAGGCCCAGAGCTTGACCGACCATTTTGATAGAGCAATGCGTCGTTCTTTCATGGACATGCTCATCTTGCCGGCATTTGCGGCAGGGGACCAGGACAGCAACGTGAATTCAATTTGCATAGACTGTGCAATCGGGGTATTGTAGTATGCTCATAGAAATTCACTGATGACTCGATCGTCATGAATGTTTCATCTCCGAACGACTCCCCCGGTTTGAAATGTGCTGACCAGATATTGGAACCAGATACTGCATGGCAAGGGGGCCTCGTGATGGATGTGTGGAGTTTTGTGACAGCATTAACAGAAGGAAGCCCTCTCACATGCCTGCCCACTCAATGCTGAAGGTGCGAACGCTTTCCACTCGTTCAGCTTCGGTTTCAGCTTCGGTTCGGGATTTTTCTGGCCCGCCCAAGAGGAAGCCCTTCTTCACACCAGTTCCCAGTCTGCCTCCATTGACGATGGCCATCAAGTCAATATTCTCATCCCACTCTGCGGACACACAAAGGAAGTGTGCGTGGAATCGTAGCGGATCACCGGGGTACGCAACATATTGGCAACCGAATCGCAGGCCAGGGGACAGAAAGTAGCCGCGCGAGGAAAGATGGGCGAAGAGCGGGTAGGATAGAGGTACATTGGGTGGCGGGAGATGTTGTGATGAGGTCGGCTGGGCTAATGGAGGGTAGGATGTTGGAGGAGTGACGCCCATGGCCAAGGTGTGAACAGGTGTGCGACTGGAGGCCTTGCTGCTCGGCCGCTCTTCGTCGAGCACCGAGGCTGATGGGGAGGGCGAGGCCGGGGTATCTGCTTCACCCTCATTCTCCAAGGCCTTGATCGCTTTGGCCTTAGCCTTCTCATCTAGTTTCTTCAACACTTGTTCCCGTTGCTGGCCCTTGCGGTCCGATAGTTTGCGGGAGGCTTCGAGGCCCTGGGAGTCTAGTTCGCGCAGGTACTGGCGGCGGTCTTCCTCGAGGAGAGATTTCATGCCATCGTGTGCCTTGGTTTCGTCTACGATGCAAGCTACACCCTTGTCCACCAAAAGCCGTGCCTCCTCGGGCATCAGTTCCAACGGCAGACCCAGGAACACATTCTGCTGAGGAATTTGTGGGAGAGTCCCGATCAACACGCCGCAGATGTGGTGCTCGCGTCGCAGGTATGTGACGGCGTCAATAGAGAACAGCAGGTATCTGCCAGATACGTATGAGATCGGAATTGGAACGGTAGGAGTCTCCATATTTGATTATTTCTTCTTCTTCTTCTTCTTTTCTTTTTCAACAGTCTTTCAAAAGTGTGGCTGGCTTCATAAATTCTGTAACTGTAGCGAATGTCATGTTAGTCGAAGCTCATCAAATGGAGATGTAATGCAAAGAAAAACATAATATTCAAGGCAGGTCATTTTCAATACGTTTCTCGTCACCGGTGCTCTTATTGAGATATTTAAATCGAGCTTCAGGGGATTGACAGATTTGTAGATATATAATCATGCAAAGGAAGAAAGAAGGAAAGAGATGACAGTGATGACTTACCATTAGCGAGCGAAGTCTGGGATTTGACCAGCAAAAGCCAGACGGATTGTGTGAAGAGAGAAGAAGAAAAGAAGCCGAAGCGGGAGGGAAAGAAAATGAAAATGGAGTCACCCAAGCGAAAAAAAGTGGATTATGTCATCTGCCTCAAGTCGCGTTGTGTAGGCGGTCAGGATTCTGCCAAAGCTATAGGTATAGCTCGCCTCGGCTAATGATTGCGGCGCCGTTCCATCGTTCCCTCCTGTGGTCGTCATGAATTTCCTACTTTTGTTGTTCCTGGTATTCTTTGCCCCATTGCTGCTGTTTGTTGGTTTGTATCCATCCTCATTTGACACTAAATATATAGCGTAGCTTGCTAACACACCTTCCAGCATGGCTGGTAGCTTCATCCTGCCTGGGGAATCGTCTCCGCAATCGCACTGGAGGCTTCTCGGTGCGATCAGGAATGGACGCGTACGGCCAGAGTTACTTACGAACGATGGCTAATTCGAGTGCTGCCATGTCTGAACAGATCGAACTGGACGACATGCTGGCCGAGCCCGGAACACATCGGCAATTCGAGGAAGAGGATTGAATATGGGCCGTGGATACGACGAGATTATCATGCCTCAATCAGAACTCGAGGTCCGATTTCTTGGGCATACCGCTAGATGCAGCTGTATCTTGCGCCTCGGTATCGCCTTCGGCTGGGGGCAGGCTAAACGGCTTAATCTCGAACCTCCGCCGGCTGAGAGTAAACGCCCAATCTTCTCCGACATTCTGATCGCTTCCACCACCGCGTTCATGTAGAATCGGAAGTCGATGTGTCTTGAGCATGCCTTGCGGCGGCTCTTCATGCGAGGTGGCGGCACCCGACGTTGTGAGATTATCCGCGGAATGAGGGAACGGACATAATTCGATGACACCGTCATTGAGCAGCTCGATCCAGCGGACCAAACCGGATGAACGGGGATACAGGCACAAGGGCAATGTTATCATTGCCGTCACACGTGTGGGGTATGCATTGAGGAGTGCTTTGAGTGAGTGTAAGAACTGCAGGATATACTCGGGGCGGCAAGATTCGGGTGGATACAAGGTCGGGTTGAGCAAGGAGGGAATGACAATGCGATGGATGGTGTTTGGGGGACTAGAGGCAATAGCTGTCTGGAGTCGATTGAGGATCGCTGGAAAGGGCGAGTCTTTGCTGGGCGTGAAGGGAATAAACGTCATGTTGGTGATGGAGGGGTGGGCGAGCCGCTTGGTGAGGTCGAAGGCATGACAAAAGGCAGGTGGTTGCTTCGCATTGGGGTCCTGTTCTCCACTAGATGGTGAAGGTGCGGTAGCTATATCATAACCATCAGTCTTATGAGACTATACCATTAAGCTCATCTCCGTGGGTACTCACTGCCTCGTGCGCCTGCAACACCTGCGCCAAACTCGCCTAACCGCTCATATCGCCAGGCAATTTTCATGCGCTCATCCTTACGCCGATCGGATCTCTTCTCATCCAGAGACTCTGCGGTACCAATAAGACCAGGTAGACTGCGTCCCCATTGTTCAGGCATTGCTACCACATGGACCTTTTGCTCTTGAACAATTCCTTCCGCCGCATAATACCGTAGCAATGCACCGGCAAAATCCGTAGTTCCATTCTCTTCAATCAACAAACTCTTTCCCATTGGAAGACCCGCATGGCCCGCAAGAAGGTTGTCTAAAGACGGTGCTCCAGTTGAAGTAGTTGGTCGTCCATCGTCGGGGGAGGGGCGAATGCCTGGCGTCACTTCGGGCGGGGCAGTCAGTGTGGTGGCATTGGGAGCTGCAGAGCGATCCGTTCCTGCAGAAAGACCGATATTGCGCTTGCGAAAGGACATTTTGTCGCAAAAGAGTGTGAGTTCACGTTCCAAAAACGAGGTTGGTTTGCGATGCCCGGGTTGGTGCCAGTGGTTCAGCGGGGGAGACCCAACTTGAAAGGCGGTAGAAAAAAAAAAGAATCGGCAAAGCTTCAGTTGCAACTCCGACCATCTCCAACTTTCACCACCACTTCTCTCTCAACCTCATAGCCTCAATCGACCTTCGCGTCACCTCCACCTGGTCCTACTATATTCGACTATTCTTAGCGCACACGTCTTGTGCCATTTTTTTAATTCTCAAAACTCCGCCCTCGTGCCATCGCATTGCCACCATGTCCGACCCTCTCCTCTTCGAAGATACCTTCACCATCACCTCTGTCAACGCCCAAAAGTATGACCGTGTCTCGCGTCTGACCTGTACCTCTACCGATGCCTCCCTCACCTTCACCCTCGATGTGAACTCCGAGCTCTACCCATGCGCTGTCAACGAGACCCTGTCTCTGGCGCTCGCATCCACCCTGTCCCTCGACGGCAAGGAAGACACCCGCAACAGCTGGAGAGATGTCAGCAATGGCGAGCAGACTCTGGCTAATGACTACGATTACGTCTGTCACGGCAAGGTCTACCGATTTGAGGAGGGCGCAACCAAGGATACCATGTAAGTCTTCTTGCGCAAATAGTTTGCTTTATCCATATCCCATCTCCGGAGACATTAGCTGACAACCGGTTTCAAGGGCTGTTTTCGTTTCTTTCGGTGGCCTGTTGCTCTATCTGGAGGGTCCCTATAAGAAGGTTGCGCCTCTGCGCATTGACTACGTCTACCTCCTTCTCAAGAAATAGACGGGCTCCCACTGTCCGCTGTTTGAATCTACATGAACATTTATGAAGAGAGCCCATATTTTGAAATGAGTCTGTCATGGCCCGATAGAAAAAGTTAGGGGTGTCTTTGATTCCGGCGGATGTGTTCATATCTCTTTGTTGTTATTGTGCAGCGTTGGCGTTTCCCTTGCATTTCGATTTGGGTTCGGATACCGATAGATGAATGACCGTCTATCAAAACCTTTACTTTTGCTGAAGTCATTTTCTGCCGAGGATGTAGCACTGGATTGCTTGTATGTGGTCTACCGGTGGTTATTCCGGTTATCTCGATCGCTAGTTAGAGGTTGTGATCGGACAAAAATGGGACGACCACTTGCCCGTAGCAGCACCTACCTCACCACCTGGGCATAAATGACTGTCCTTGGCATGTTTCGTCCGGTCGATATGCCACAGACCCAGGTGGCTTTCCCATGGGCATGGTATTATTCTAGAAGAAGTAAGTACCGGGAGGCTCTACTACTAGTAGTAGCCTATCACGGCTTGAAGCCCAAATTTAGGCTCATGTTTACTATGTTTCGGAGTGCAAAATTATTGAAGCAAATTTTGCTGTTTTATTCGAAGGCTTTATTCTTCATAATGTTATGCATCTATTTCAACATTCTTCGAGTTGCTTTATCTTCAAATGCCACTCTAGAACCGCGATGATCCGGCTATTCATTTTCTATACACGCTCGAATGAGTGTTGGCAGCATTTACCGCACGCAGTGCGAGGCAGTCGGGTATTCTAGACGGCGATGCAGTCGGGCCACAATGTCCAAATAATCCGGCTCGTTCTCCGCCGTCAGGATGCCGTGGCGAATGAAGAAATCGATCAGAATAATCGCGCAATTGGGTTTGAATTCGCCCCGCGAAAGTGCATCTTGAGTTTCTGAGACCGAGAGCAGCTTAAACTCCTCGACCTCGCTATCCCCGGGCTTCGGGATCATGGACGGGTCGAGCTTCAGATCATAAACGTACTCCACCTCCGGCTGAAGAAGACCCGTCTCTCCGCCAGCACGTACATCGCGAACATGTGTGTAGGTGACACATCCTCGTGCGAGGATAGAGGCACGAACCACGGATTCCGGTAGAGAGGCTTCCTCCATTGCCTCGCGGACGATACACTCGAAGGGCTTCTCACCGGTACACATCCCGCCCGCAACGGTGTTATCGAGCATACCTGGGTATGTCTGCTTGTTCTTGGCCCGTCGAGGAATCCACAGCTTTACGCCGGCTGGTTCCTGGATATATCCAGTCATATGGGCTCCGTAGGTCACGACGCCAAACAGACACGCCGCACTCCGCTCGATTTCGAAGATGTACTCACCTCCAGGTGCGAAGACTGGATATCTTTCGTCGCGCCATCCCTTGAGTACCTCGAACGTTTCTTGTTTGACTGCTTCCCCAATGCTCTCTGCGATCAGCTTGCTCCGGAGTGCGGGGTCTGCTCCGGCGGGAGTGATGAGGGTGACGGTCTTTGCTTGAGAGTCGATCTTCCAGTGTTCTTGTGGCCAAGGAAACTGCTCAACGACCGATTTAATTATATATCCCAGGGTAGCATTATAGCCAGAGACGCGGAATGCATGGTAGTTGTTGAGATTCTCAGTGTAGGCGGCACGGTCGTCTTCGTAGTAGGGGAAGCTGGGTGGGTGAGAGGATGCGGCGGCTGATGGAACGGGGAATCAATACTTATCGCATTCCTTGATCAGATCTAGGTTTGACTTGGCCATGGTGAATGGAGAGAATAAAGAGTATCAATGGAATATTTAGAAGACAAAAGTCAATTCAGTCTTGAGTCAACAGTGAAATCCTATGGGATGCCAAGCCCTTATCGCCCGATAAGGGTAGCTTCCCCGCCGACTTTCCTAATTCGGTGAGGTTATGTCACCGCAAATCTGACCCTCAAAGAAATCAAGACTTGCTACATCTCTTTCTACCTTTCTGCCTCTCTTTCAGCTATTCACAATCACCACACCTTTATCCAATGTTCTCAGTCGTCGTTCCAGGCCGCCCGTGCCAAACAGATATCGTCCCCGTGGACGGTCAACCGGACGGCCAAGCTACCAAATTCGCATTCACAATTCCATTCAACCCACCTTTCAGCGACCTAGTCATCTTCTTCCTCCCAGGCACAGTCCTCCCACCAAACACCGGTGCTGCGATCTATGCGCAACTTCCGGACCCAAACACCGGCAGCCCCACCGATTTTCGCTTCGTCGGCGCATTGGCAAACGAGAAGCAATCGGGCATTTTTAACATCCGCAATCCAGCGCAAAATAATGGAAACGGCCGCTCAGAAGCCGAGCAGGAGGATGAGATGCTCGATGAAGGTTCAATCGCAACCAATGGCGTCGTGACACTGGGCATTTCAATCGAGGCCGCAGACAACATTGCGCCTCAGCTCGCAGCGCTCGAGGCCGAGCGCGCGCAAAACACATCAAACTCTACAGCCCTAGTGGCTCATTCTGGCTCGAGTGCCCAGAAAAATCCAATCACTACCAAAGTACTTGCCCAGCGGATCATCGGCAGCGCATTCAATTTCCTTGCCAGCTTTGCGGAGTCGGATCCTTCCAACAAGGGCCATGACGTCGTGCCACTCAAGAGTTTCCGCGATTGGTGGACAAAGTTTGAGCGCCGCATTGATATGGACCCGGAGTTTTTGGAGCGTGCGGACCCCAATGCCAGTTGAGATAAATCGACGAGAAAAGGAAGAAAAACAGCCCTACCGCTACGCATTCTGCAAATTGCGTTGTAGTCTGCCAAGGCTTATGGGATGATCTTGCTGGAAGCTGGGTTTGAGGAAGTATCTGTCGTGCCGCGGTATTTCCATTTCTGCATTCATTCAGCGACTGTCCATTCTTTGACGTGTCACGATACAAGGATCTCATTTTCGTGTATAGTAACCGAGATTTTAATAACATTGAGAGTGTACGATTTACTAGTATGTTTCTTTTCTTTTTATTCCTAGTCGGGAGACCCATCTCATACCCGGCTCGAGGCTGAAGAGCAAATATTAAAACTCGATTCTGCAGACGAGGCGCCCAGCGTCCCCAATACTAGAGCATATAGGTGATTCAAGAAATCTTGGAAGCCGTCACCGGATCCATAACAGAGCAATCGCAACTTGAAAATTAACGATACATCCTTAGGTAGTTTATAATTCCACTTAGTCTTGGCTGCGAATCTCATCAACACCCGAAGCATGTATCATCTATCCATGACGTTAAACAGCCCAGGTAGCTTGTCAAAAATGTTCATTTATTCATTTATCGTTTGTGTGTCAATAAACAATGCGAATATTTGATTCACTAGATGACGATGACGATGTAAAACAACTGTACTTAATAATCGAGCAGCAAGAGTGTCTATTCCTTTGGGTAGTGGTAAGTGGACGCCCCGACTCAGTATGTGAACACCCCCAACCCCAAAATAACTCAAGGCCAGACGTTGTTCAAAGTTTACGTATCCTCTACAATGGCACGCTTGAATTCTAGATTGAATGGAGCCATATATTATACTATAAAACGATCATGGTGAAGAGCGCAAGTAGTAGGAACGTTCAAAAGACTATAACAGAGCAAATAATTAACAGCTATAGAATGAAGAATAAAAGCAGGGTGGGCTTTTTCCATCAAGCTCGTGAAATTTCACTATGACTTCCTTCATGAATGGCAATACTCTTTGGCGAATGGCTAAGCCACTGGCTGGCAATAGTGGATGAAAAAGAAGCTTCCTCAAGCCCAACCATAAAATTCGCCGGTCCAAAGATACAAGATCGGCCTTTTCTAACAGATCCACCTCTAGGAGCAAGTCAAGATTGAACCCTAAACGGTGTTTCCAAAAGTAGCTACTAGTAGTAAAGATCCTGTACTAATATGATGGATGGCGGGGTTGAATTGCAGATAAAATTCATTTGTAAATCGTGGATTATATACAAAAGCCTCCAGGCTCGAGTGAAAAGCGTACTAGTATAGTAACACATGTTAGGCATAAGATCAGACGTCGTATAAGTCCAGCTTTTGAATTCCCCCTCCAGCGCCCTGCAGCGAAAAGAATACAACAAGAGACCATTATGATTTATTGGAGTGCCGCGATGTACGCAATGTCGAATCCGGCCGCAGGCGAATTCCCGGGGCATAGCAGAGGCTGTAAAGTTCATCGACGTAGGTAGTCGGCGTGATGGCTCCATCGCCAGCCGCGATGACCGCGTCGTGAGTTCCGCGCGCATGTTGAACGGCGTTATTCTCGTTCAAACGGGTGACGTCCACTCTGACTTCTTTTTGAACGGTGATGTCGCCCAATGCTGCGGCTTTGAGGTCAACCAGGGATTCTTGCGAGGTGCGGCGCGATGGGAGGGATGTGGGTTTTCGTGATGGCCACATGCGGAGGATTGCGGAGCGTTTGGATGAGGCTATGTCTGATTCGGAGACGTTGGATTCTGAGCGGACGTCTGTGCAGAAGAGTTCTTGATTGATCTCGCGGCTGAAGCCTTCACGATCGGCGAATGTGTCGTTGACTTGTTGCTGGACGCGGAAGAGACGGAATGGTGTGAAGGTGAAGTCGGGGTTGGGGACTTGGGTATCGAGGGTGCCGACGACGCAGAAGGTGAGTAGGGTGCATTGTTGGGTCTGTTGAATCTCGTCTGCTGAGCGAATTGCGCTGTGGCAGGGTGCGACGAGGGGTCGTGCGGAAAATGTTGCTGCGGATCGCATGTCTTCTGGTAATGAGCTGGCGAGTGAGGTTATTCCTCGCACTAGGTATTCTCGGAATTCGTCCATGACATTGTCACTTTGGATGGCTGCTTTGGACTGAAGATATTTGAGACAGGTGCTCATTGACCATCCCTCCAAGTGAGAAAGGAGGTCCAAATGTTGGACATTCAGTCTCTTGATCGGCAAGGTAGCTGAGGGAAGGGGATTTCCAGTTCCTTTGGTAGTGAGGATTTCGAAATGGTCTTGGACGGTAGGGCGCATAACGAATGAGATGAGGTGGACTCCTTCTGAGAAGCCCCGGTTGGATGACGCATAGTCGCGCATATCGCGAAGGTGATCGAGGAGTTGCACCTCTGGCACATGAATACGGCGAGATAGTGTACCTGTTACGTGCTCGATGGTTGCAAATCGGAAACCAGACGATGCCAGGCGATTCGCCTCATTTTTCTGGAGCTGGCGAACGCTAAACATCAGTTGACCCTTGCCAGTTCTCAGAGAAGTGCGGCCCATTGCACGAGAGAATCTGGAGACTGGAATTGCTGTTGAGAGTACATCATCGTACAGTGTGCCAAGGTCCTCCAGGGGTTGTCGCAGTTCGTTCGAGAGCTCCTGGGCACTGACGCAGAACAGCTGCTTGAATAATGTATCAAAATTCGTCTGCAGCTCCGTGTCATTGTCCATGACAACTCCTCTGGACAGAACGTGTTTTTGAATGGCGTGCTGTTCGGATTCAAGGCGGTTTCGCATGAATGGGATGAGATCTTTCACGACACCCCAGTTTCGACTGGCTCTGAATGCCCAGAGGAAGGTAGGGTGGGTGCGAGTGAGATCATCATCTTTGAAAGTCTGCAAATGGCAAATTGGTTAGCTTCAAGTTGTCATTGGTATATTTGACGGAATCCCAAATTAAACGAACCCGTCCGATGTAATGGTCCACAATCTTCTTGGTGGGAAGAAGAGCTTGTGGAGTGACCATGACTCGACCAGCTGGATCGAAGTATGCACACGCGAGGACAAGCTGGTGGGCGCGTGTTGTTGATCTTCTTCTGTTTCCACCAGCGACAATCGCACAGGCGGATAAAATCACACAGGAGACGCAGGCCTATCCCAAAGTTAGTCCCCCCCAACCATATGAACAATCGATGAAGACTCACCAAAACGGCACAGATAATAACGACTTGGCTTCGAGATAGCTGAGTTCCATTCTTCATGGATGTATCGCGCTCTTTGTAGGTCGTACCAACAGTAGCCGTCCAATGCATTCCGGAAACCGCCGCTGCGAGTAAACATGCGCAGATTCCACGGCGCCACCAGCTATCGGTCCAGGATGCCCTCCATCGGAAAAAGATTCCAAGAGCCGCAGTACTAGAGAAAATAGCGATGATGGCAGAGCCGACGACGTTCGCAGGGTGGTATGAACATTTATAGTTCGCAATACCGAGTTGACCCACGTAATGCATGCCACAGACTGAGCTTCCCGTTAACAATCCTCCGGTCAAAATGCGAACATATGATGCCTTTTCTTCGACGCCGACTGAATAGAAAGCAACGAGTAACACGATCACCGGGAGTACGAAGGAGGTTCCGGTGAAAGCGACATTGTAAAGAATTTGAATGTCTTTCTCGCCGTTTCCGAGGACGATGGCACGATTACCGATAAAGTGCATGCACCAAATTCCAATGCCGCCCATGGTTATCGAGGATGTGAGCAGTAGATACCTTCAAAGCAGCAAGGTTAGTTTGTCCATTCCTGGTCGTGGTAAAAAAACAACAGTCGATCCGTAATTTTGACTCACCAGTTATAGAAACCAGATCTCGAGGTCCTGCGATGAAGAAGCTCTAATGTTGTCGCACATCCCATCGAGCTAATCACGTAGGAAAGGAAGATGTACCCCGCGAGGTAGGTTACATGGACAAGAGCCCCCCGGGTTAACAGTCGGGCCCCCATCATGAGTGCCTTCACTAGGCATTGTCAAATGAGAGGGATTTCAGGTACAGTCACACCATCTGTAAAGGTGATCACAGTGTGTGTGTTGAGTCTGCAAGGAGAGTGGCGAAAGGCGCTTCGTAAAGAGGGGATACTAGATCAAATCATATGACGGTAGGGAAGGAGAGAATGTCATAAAAATCACGGTCAAATCAGGTAGGCAAACCAAGTGTCGTGGTACCTTGTCATATGCGTTTAACCCCAGATCAGCTCGGTGACCCGGGGGGTCTAGAATAGTAATATACTAGGAGGGCCGGCATGTTGATGCGCCCTAGGCTCCGAGTCGCAATAATCCGACAAAATAACTCGCCCAATATGCAAGCGATATGGACCTAAGCTGATCTGGAAGACGGAAGTTCTCCACCGAGCTACACATGTTCTGCATCTAATGGGGGCGCATGGGGGGCGCTTTCGCGTGGTTAAACCAGCATGTACATACCGAGGATGGTGGGCCATGCTGGCTGAAAAAAAGTTTCAGATTAATCGAGGGGATCCAACTATGGGAGAATAAACACAAATCAGAAGGCCCGTCTAGTGCCGTACCCTTGTCAGGGGTGGAATTTTGAAGCGAGCATGGTACATTGCTATGGACGCCTTTATTCGACGGAGCTCAATCTAGATCGGATCGAGGCGGGCAGAGAACGATGGGGTCGAGCTTTGCTTTCGGCCTATCAAAACACTCACCGAGAGCTACTAGCGTGGCCCCGAAGACAATCTGTTCAATAGAATCACCAGATAACAATCCTGCCCTAACCCAAGTGAGAAAATTAGTCCCACGCTACGGTACAAGAGACACACGCTACAATAATGAGGAAAAGTAATTGTTGCATTGCATTTTCGCTCATACGAAACTCAAATAAAGCAGTTATTTGGATCCGTGCTCTTCCTGGACTCGGGGCACGCACCCATTCCAAGTACGAGTGCTGGTCAGATCCTGTGCCGAGGGGGCATTTGATGAAAAGGGCTGATTGGGGCTAAGCTAAATGTCGAGTTCAGCTGCGCCGTGCCACCAGTCACCAGTTACAAATGAAAAAGATCCATTGTAAGCCCCACATTCATCCAGCTTTAGGCGGAGCAATCAACAGATCTTTTATGGAGGGGAGGAAGGGTTTGTGCTGTGTCTCCTGCATCGTTCATCCCGGATCTACTGGTTCATGCTGCCTGTGGACGATCGGTCATAAACCGTATCCAAGCTCTGTTAGCGTAGCCCTATGCCCAAAAATGACACTGATCAACTCCCTCTAGAAAAATGAAAGATTCGGCTACCGAGTAAGAGGATCCTCCCCTCGGCAAGACGGCAACCAAAGATCGATAGATGGCACTAGAGCCGCAAGAGGGAAGTTCCGAAAATTCTTAGCACACCTCGGGCATGAAAAATTGAATAGACCCCAAAAGTATAGCAAAGTAAATTAATTTAGATTATCGGCCCCATTCCACTCCCAATGGCAGCGTGGCAAGTTTGATTTGGTCAGTGCCTGGTGGCGCAGGGTTGTTGAATTGCTCAGCCAGACCCGCACACCCTCGAGATCTTGATCGATCTTGTTAGCGCCTCCCAGCACCCTGGTGATTATGGTGGAATTGTCTCTCATCGCCCATGGCTTGCCTATCTTCAAATTCGGGTTTCCAGCTTATGATCCCCGGTGTCCAGGTAAGATAGATCGATATGATTAATCGAGAAAATAAAATGGGGAACTCGTTCTTTCTTTCCTTCCTCTCGGTAACATAGCCGAACCACAAACGCGTCGGCTCATCGGACACTATTTGCGTCCGCATGAATTCTCCGTTTCGCATGTGGGGCTTGCAGAGCCTTTGGTCAAACCTACATGCTCATATGCAAATGGGGAAAGTGGAATGTCAAACGATAGTGATCTATCGTCAATCTGTCAATCGCATGGCATGGTGGGCTGGCTCCACGATATCCATTCCCCGGTGGGCACGGAGCATTATCTTTACCCGTTTAGTACCTACTCGAATAGTATTTTCGGTGCTTCCGTATTATCTTTTCGGAGCTCTCCAAAGCTTTCACAGAGATCCCACGTCAGCAGCTTAAAAAACACCCCCTGCAACCAAAGGTACTGACAGCCGCCGAGAGTGTTCCGTCACATTGAGGCACAAAGACCGGTCCGGAATCAAACCCCCATCGAGAGATCTCTAGCGAAACTCTTTCTCTATCACGAGAATCGTTATGATTTTCGACTTGTCAATTTAGGTTCCAAGTTTGCCCTTCAGCGCATCTAGTTTGAGGGATAGTGAACCAGCAATCGTCCAAATCGTGTCTTCTTCGCCGAAGGAAAAACATGAAATGAACAAACACAGAACCATGTGGTGGCGACACCAGGCGTCCCTGGAGTCTATCACGAGACCCCAGAACTGAATAGCCATCTAGAGACTCTGCAGCAAATGTCTCTCTGACGCACCGACTACTGCATTCCAAGATTGTACGTGAAGTTGATTTCCAAAGCTATTTACCCCCATGAAAAGTAGGCGAATGCATCTATAGCGATCCTACTCAGATCTTAAGATCGCTGCGATATGGAACAAGCTAGAAATTCCATAGAACGGCCGGCTCACGGGGCCCGGTCTTGGAGAATCCGAGTCGTCCATGGAACTGATCCCATCTTAATCCCCGAAAACCTAAACCGTACTTCAAAACTTGAAAGCGATGCTGCCAAATTATAGCTACGAGCGGGATTGAACCATTTTGATTCGTAGTATTCGAAAGGCCAGTGATCCAATATCCAATTCAACATGTTGATCATCGAAAGATCCCGACTATGACTGTTTCATCGAGGTGCCTGGCCGCAACCTGCCTGAGTATGCAAGAATATGCCCGAAGATGTTTGACTGAACCAGAAATAACTCTCCTCTGCACCACCCTGCACCACCCTGCACCCCCCTCGGAGAATTATGCAGGTCTACAAAACAACCCAAGGCCTTCTAGTACGAACGAGTATCACGTCATCTCGATAGGACGAATCACTTTCAACCCAAATATAGCTTTCGAGGCCATCACAACCGCGCTTGACATTTCGTCCCCACCAGCGCAAACTAGTACTATTTACCCCTCAAGGTCGGTGTACATGGTCTCGTGCTCTCAATTCGAACACACGCAAACTGCGTAGCAGGACTCGGGAAATTTACTGGATTCTTGGATCCGGCGGGCAGGTGCTAGGTGCATAATGCTGCAGGATCCACGTTGAATGACTTACTGCCTGCATACATGATTTGACGATCGTCTGTGGAATGTTCCATGGATGTTGACCTGGAGATATCGCCCACACAGCCAATTTCAAACCAGCGGAAAGCGTAAGTTCTGTTGCGGGTTTTACAATGAGAATGTCCTACTACAAATACCACCCATTTCAACTTGAACCGAAATACAAACCCGCAGGCGCAACCCCCACAGGCGATGCAGAAAAGAGACTACAAACGTACGTAAAAGCGAACAGCAGTATATAAAAAAGGGGCCCTCAGACCCCCAAAAAGCACAATGAATTCCTATCGACCATTGTGTAGACGCGATGCAATCACTCTAGGAAACAAAAACACACTTCACAGCCATTATTTTCTCCCGCTTCATTTATGCGAGCAGCTGCTGCAGACCAGCCTGGATGGCGGGGGGGGTTGGCGCCGCGGACAGTGGCAGAGTCAATCTTCTTGCCATCCTTGAAGAAGAGGAAAGTGGGCATGGCGGAGATGCCGTTCTCGGCGGCGACCTCGGAGGCCTTGTCGACGTCGACCTGGTAGAACTTGACGTTCTCGTGGGCCAGGCTGAGCTTCTCGATTTGCGGGGAGATGGCCTTGCAGGGGCCGCACCAGGTGGCGAAGAAGTCGACGAGGACGGGCTCGGTGGAGTTGACGACCTTCTCGTCCCACTCAGCCTTACTGTAGGATTTGTTAGTGCGTGCCTTTTTTAGGAGGGTGTGTTTTTCAGGGCTGCTTGGGGGGGGGGGGGGTTTCTGTTTCTGGAATAAACGTACGAGGTGATTTCGATAACGTTGCCGCCGGCCATTTTGTGGGTTGATTGCGAAAAGTGCGGGATTGGGGTGGAGGAGAAGGGTCGGAGAGAAGTTTGCACGGGGATGCGCTGAGGGGTGGATAAACGGAGCACGGAGGGAGTGGCTCTGCAGAGAGGAAGTCGTGAAAGGCGGAGAGAAGGCTTGAACTAGAGATGGAGGGGTGAGCTTTTAGGAAATTCCAGAGAGGGGCAACTAGTGAGGGGCGCTTGGGTTTTATAGGCCGGTGACGTTTCGTCCCGGAGGTGGAGGCGGGCTTAGGTAAGGTCGCGGCTGAATAATCCGACTGGCAGTGTCCAGGCGATTCCCTCTAGGAAAGAGAGGCATAGACGGGGTACAGGCAGAGCGGACTTACGGGGCGCATGGTGAAATAGTGGTCTTAGGCTGCAGAAGACGGGGGTTGCGTGATCGACGGTCCAATTGGATTCCCTTGTAGGCTGTTTGAAGGGAGGAGGGAAAAGGAGAGGAGCGGTAGGAAAGGGCAGAATGCTCCAGAGCGTGGATGACGTGATCGTAGCTTACAAACTTAGACCAGTCGGGCCAACAGGGGGATCAGTAAAATCAGTAGATTATTTCCGTACAGTTACAATTAATAAGTATGAGTTTGGGTATATTTTATCAGATTTTCAATTACAGGATTATTCGATTATTCGATTATTCACTTGCCGAGATCCCGTTCCAGCAGGAGCTCTCGGTCCATTCCAGCACTTTCTGGTATACTTACAGTGGCCAACACCACAGGTGGCGAGATAGACTAAGCATTAGTTTGGTCGCATAGGCCTGGCTGGTATGGGTTGGCTGCCAAATAGACATAGGCAATAGGTAATAGGCAATAGAAGAGAAGGAGGTATGAGGTATAGAAGGCATCTCCGGCGGGATCGCACGAAGCAGGTGTATTAGAAACAATCCCCAATCAACACAGGGTATCAGACTCGAAACGGGAATTCTGTCCAATATCGACGTCATGGATGACAGCCGGATGGCAGCATGGTATATGGACAGGGGCAAACAGATCTGGAGAGGTCAATTGACCAGTGCTATTGAAACATGGAGAAATGGAATTGACGCATTTGGGAAATTTTAAAGCAAAACGACATGGGGCGAGTTGGGGTATCAACGAGGCACAGAGGAACAACTTTGGGAAAATGACTCAAGCTCAACAGGTCAAACTGTGGCGAGAACAGGGCAGGGTAAAATGGGATAGGGTAAGGTAAGGTAGATATGACAGGGCTGTAGGGGCTGGGGTAGGGGAAGGGAAGGGGTCAGATGTTAAATATGCGGTGGAAGGATATTAAGAAGCCTTGCATCACATCACATCGTATACATGAGAGGAATCTGAAAGCGCAAGATCATCGAGCGACCAAGGACAAAGGAAAGTGACAAAAGAAAGAAAATCTAGAAGAGAGTGTCGAGATATGTACGAAGTGCTGCCAACCGAGTCCGGAAGGTCCAGCACACGACGCAAAGAGCTGATGCGATGCAGGAGGCATACGATCAGCGGGCGAACAAAATGAAAATTTTCGTCTAGGAGAGATCACTCCTGCTCAATGTGGCCAATCTCGCCATGCATGCTAACGATACGTTGCACGCCAACGGGTGGAGCAGTCTCTTCCTCGGAGCTGTGGCCGTCCTCGGCAGAGATGGGTGAAAGCGAAGGAATGCTCTTGAGCAACATGCCCTGGTTTGACTTGGGGCGACTGGTCGGGTTGACAATCATCGGACGTCGTCCAACTTCATGGTGCCACATCTCAGATGGCTTTTTGGCACCGGCAGGAGTTGTATCAGTCTCCATCTCGGGCTCGCCCATCACGGTGCTCATGATGCTGCGGGAATCAATCGAGTCTCGTGCGTCGTCCTGGGCATCGGCAGAACCGTCTGTTGGGGCGGGGCCGAAGGAGTTCATGTGAGTTCGAACTGGGCTGCTGGGCTTCTTCTGCGACATGCGACGGAAGAATTGTCCAGACATCCAAGAGCCCTCGGAGTCAATCGAAGCGAGCGACTGGGAGAGCGGAACATTGTCGGATTCGGCGTCGATGCTCTCGTTCCAAGATTGGTGGCGGCGTTTGTGCGGGTTAATAATATCCATACCGGGGGTAGGTGTCGCGCCGTGCAAGAAGGTGCCCTCATTCTCTGTCTCTAACGAAGACTCGGGCACTTGCTCGGGGATATCAGGAGACTGAAGGCGGGATTCGGAGGGCGACAGAGGTGTGTCGGTCTCATCGCCAAAATGTTCCGTAAATTTAGATTGTGAGCGCTTCACGATACCAGTGGGTTGGACAAAGGCTCGGGGAGGGATAACCACAGCGGAGTTTTGAGGGGGTGATGATTGGGTCTGAATCTTATAGAAAGATTCATGAGACGCGTTCGAGACATCAGGGCTAGATTCATGGAAGCGCTCGCGGTAACGACGCTTGAGACGGGAAGAGCCGCGTCGGAATAAGGATGTAATGGTGTTGCTACCATTGCGGTGGCCGCTGGTTTCGGATGGCCGACGATCAGAGAGATCAGAGGCGGATCCAATACCAAAGTTTTGCGAATGGCTACTGCTGACACCATGACGCAGGGAGGAGTGGGAAGGCGAGAGTGTGGTTCGGGACATACCCATCTCGTGCGAAGGAGCAAAGCTGGGCCGGGGGATAAGCTTCGGCTCACGAGTAGAGCGTTCTTCGACAGTCCGAGTGACATGAGCGCTTTCGAGGGATTCACGTCGAGATTCGCTTGCTTCAATAGCATCGGTATCCTTGGGTTTAACGTGCAAACCAGAGTCGGTTTGATCTTCGGGAGATGTACCAGTGGGTTCCTCGGGTATGGTGTCCACGAAATGCTCCTTGTATACCTCTTCTGGGACTTCGACTGGCGGTTCCTCGACTTGTGGTTGAGGCTCATGTGTTTCGTTGAGTTGCATTTGGGGTTGTTCTTGAGCTTCCACCTGGTCCTTCTCGCCCTCAGCTTCTTGAGCATCCGCTCGTTCTTGTAGCTTGCGGCGCAGCTTCTCAGTGTCGTCAATCTGCTTTTTCTCTCGACGACGACGATCACGATCGAGCAACTCGCGTAGTGTACTTGCATCTAGCGAATCGGCCAACTCGTTGACCCGCCGCCTAGAGTAGTAGAGATCTTCTTGCGACATGTTCATCGCTTGCATTTTATTCTTATCTTGTCGACCTGGACCGGTGGGTTCGGTGTTACTCCTCACTGTCGTCGGTCGGGGGGCTTCAACATATCGTACAACGGGACGAGGGGTTAATGCGGCGAACGCGTTGACCTTGTAGGTATAAGGGTCGGAGGCGTCTGACATGGAAGATGCGGCTGAATCGCGGATCGAAAGGCTGATATCTGACAGGTAGCGGTCGGCGCGTCGGCCGTTTGCTCTGCGGCGCCTGTGTTCCAACACATAGTCACCACCAGCGGGGCCAGTAGAGCGACGCGGAATGTCGATGGGAGTGGAGGATAACATTTTGATTTCTCGTTCACGGATGGCCTCGTCGGTCCTGCGTTTACTCTTGCGCAGCTTGTTGGGACCAGTATATCCATTTTGGGGCTTCTTCTTCAGCAAGGAACCGGTTCGGGAGAGTGGTCGGTGAGGGCCGTCGGGTCGAGCACGATCTTCTGGTTCAGAGGTACGTTGGTCCAGTGACGAGATAGGGCGAGTTGCCGATAAACGAGCAGACCCGCGAAGACTCTGGGAGCCATCGCTGTTGCGCGAGAGACGATGAGCTTGACGGACTGATCGGCGGCGGGACGGTTTGCGGGCCAACGTGGGCTCGGCGGGAGGTTCTTCACGTTCCAAGGAAGTCTGGAGAACATCTGCTTCTTCCGCGCTCACTTGAATAGTGTGACGCTTGTTTTTCCGGCCAAAGGGCCATATCGCCATGACGGTTGGGGGTGGGGGATAAACCCCAGGGCGAGCTCAGTAGCCAGGGTTGTAGTTGTTGTAGTTGTGGTAGTCGCTCTGGTAGTTGCAGTTGCAGTTGCAGTTGCAATCGTCTCGAGAAAAGGCGATAAGCCAACAGGACTCATCGAGTGGAAGGCGAAGTCGAGTCTCAAGCTGGGCCACCGGCGTCATATGTGGGATAAAGTTTTGGTTTGGAGGGGGAAAAGAGGAGCAAGCCAAAGTCAAACAAACACAGTCGTAACGGGATAGAAAGTGAACATGAAACTGAAAATACAGAGAAAAGAAGAGAAGAAGAGATGGGAAGGAAAGGTACCCAACAGGGTAGAGCGATCGTGTGGGCCACAGGGCCAAAGGGGGCGAACGAATGGAGGAGGAAGGGGAGGAGAGGAGGAGAGAGAGAGAGAGAGAGAGAAGAAGAGAAGAAGAGAGAGGGGGCAGAGGGAAAAGAGGAAGCAAGGACATGGGAGTATTCAATTTCTCTTCAATTTCCATTCTACTAAATTCCAATATACCCATCGACTCAGGCCCAGATTGTTTGGGCGTTTCCCTAAAAATAAACCCACTTTGCATTCCTCTCTCTTTCTCTTTCTCAGAGTGTATCTGTCTCCTCCCCATTCTTCCCATCTTCCATCTTGCACCTCCCCGCCCATCCCATGCCATTCATCTCTGGTTACACAGTCCCTGGACTACTACCCATTCCCATGCATGACACTTTTTTCAGTCGACTTCGACATCTGCTCGCCTCTGTCGCACGAGTCCCTCAGGGGAGATCGGCATCAGCATCAACATCGTCATTGGAAATTGCTGTCTCCATTTGTGGGGGATATCCACTTTTCACACGACACAGAAAAATAAGAAAGCGAACAGAGAAGTGAAAAGAAAAAAAACAATCCAATCCAATCCGATCCGATCAGATCAGATCATCCGAACTCTGCAGATTACCACCTACAGTGTACGGAGTATGGTTATGCATGTACATTGTGTTCGTCCTCGGATCCCGACTATCCCTTCCTCTTTTCCCTAAGGTATTCCCTTTCCTCCCTTTCACCCACACACCCCCAAGATTAGTGGCAGCGCCCCATCGGAACCGCGGCAAAGAGTCAATAGGCCAAAGGATCTCGTGCACTGCGCGCGTGCCTCTCCAGTCTAAAGGCCAAGACTCACCGTTGGACGCCCGGTGGGCCCCTCTCTCATCCGCCGCCGGTCCAGAAGCCTGCATTCCTTGGGTTGACACGCGGGAATGGAGTCGATCTTACGCACTCGCTGCCCCCATGACTGGCTAGTCGTGCGGTTGACTTGATGTTCCTGGATCCATTCCACGGATCCATCCCGTCATCCTCTTTTTTTTCTCCGAAATGTTTACATCTTTCCTTCCCCGATCTCTCGTGTCCTTCCAATGACGGCTGAAGGAGAAGATTCCTTTGGTCGAGTGGATCCGATCAGCGAAAGAATGGCCGATTTGGTCCAGGCTACGCTTGAGCTAAGGACGATGGTGAGTTCTTCGTTGCACTGGGGCCGCCCTGCAGGATTGATGTGACGACATCTAACGGTGCTGTCCCCGTCGGCCACCATGTCCAATATTCATCTTGTCTTGTCCTCTGTAGAAAGTCAGCTATCACCTGTAGAAAGCCTTCGGTTAGAGGCAGCCCTGTCTTGGCAAATGAGTAGCGGTGTTTGCGTCGGACGAGTTGAATTGCCTCACCAGGAAAAAAAAAAGTGTATACGTATTGTAGTAATTATTAATGATTGCAACCCAATCATTGGGCCAACGGCTTGCCGTCTCTAATCGCCGAGCTTTGTTTGGGCAATTGGGAATCAAACTGTCAAACTGGAGCCACCTGCCAGTCACATTAAAATTACTTTGCGACTAGCTGCCACTGGGAATGGTAGAATTGTGGAATTTTGGCTCTCGGATTCGATTCTAATTTACTTTACCTTTTCCATATACTCCGTACCCACCGTGCTCATCTGCCCGACTTTGATTCATCCTCTATGAATTCTTAACTAACTAGCGCCGATGTTCTTTTTTGCTTAGATCCTTTGGCAGCACCTGATCATCAAATCGACCCTCAAATTGGGATCGATCGTGGGAATCTAAAGGGTCCAGACCCTTCCTCAGCATCTCTCCACTGTCCGAGTCCTGCATCTCATCCGAAATAGGAATTACCCCGAGCCATCCAGTCCCCCGCCTTACACTGAGACATCTGACGTTCAAAGGGGGAATGGGTCCGGAAAGAAAGAGATCCGTTATGGCTTCTCCGTACATATAATCTATCATACACAACCCCCTCACAACTCTGGCTCTCATACAAGTTCTAGGCTTGAATCGTTTCTACAGAGACAATTACCCCTGCAAGGGCACCAAGGGACATGAGTGTCGGCAGTCAAAAGCCCGGACCTTAGCCCCTGTAATCCCCTGTCAATGGCGTCGATAGCGGCGGAGAGGCACCGACCTTGCACCCCATTGAGCGGAGTCTAGCCCCGAGTCGGTGCAGGCGTAAAGCCGAACACGCCTTACTTTCGATCCGACACACCTGGGCTGTCGAGTACGGCAGTTGAGTCCATACCTGTCTATGTACATGTATCTATGTACATCGAAGTCATCTATGTGGCGTTGGCCTTACTTGGGCCAGTGGAGGTTCGCCACGAAAAGACCATGTGGCCGCCAGGTCATTCTTCATTGTTGTTTTGCCACCAGTAGATAAATTCAACAGAGTAGAGTCAGACACCATCACAAACTAAGACACGGATCAAAAAATAACCGCTGTCTCTGCGCTGTTCCCGACTAAACGTAAAAAAAAAAAAACCACATATTCCGCAGTAACGAACGAACGTAGTCAAGCAGCCAAGCCCCGATGCCGTGAAGATTCAAAATCCAAACTTGAACCCAATACCTTCCCCCAACCAAAAGGCCCTGTCTAAGTAAAACGCCAGAGAAAAATATGTACCATCCAGTCTTAACCCCCAAGCCGAATTCCGACCGAAAGAAAGAGAGAGAAAGAAAACAAAAGCAAACCGATCCACAATCAAAATCAAAATGACAACCCATAAGCAAAGCCAAACGGAACCAGTCCCGGCCGGTAAAAAGAAAAGCAAAGAATAGGGAATTTCAGAGGGCCTGTAAAACAAAGCGGGAGACTATATCCAAATCTCTCAGCCATGTGCAAACCACCCTAGATGCATTGCTGCCCCACCAGATGCCTCAGACTGGACTGGACTGGAGCGGACCGGATACAATACATACATAGTCGGCGTTCTCTTCCATGCCATCAATGTATGTATTGTACAGCCAAGATCTGATACCCTCGACAACTTCTCCAATACTCCGTAGACGAACTTCTGTTCCTCCTCTTCTCTTTTATCAACCCCACGCTCCATCACTGGCTGACACGTTTTCGCAGCCGATTTGGCTCCCGCTCTAGGACCCGATACCGGCGACTCCCGCGTCGACTGAGAAATCGCCGGATCGACCAGCCGGGGGTCTGGTGGGTGTCTGAAGGAGGGGAGTCCGCGCTGTCGAGCGGTGTGTAGGGAGTGTTGTTGGCTTCGGGCTCGGATTGGAGGTTTGTTAATGGTTGGGCATCCATTTCCGGCGCTTTTTTGTGGCGATGGATGGATGGGTGTGTGTGTGTGTGTGATGCGATGTGATGTGTCGGTCAGGGAAAGTTGTGCTGTACTGTACTTTACTCCGTGGTGTAGCGAGTGTACTTGCTATGGCCTTGTGACTGAGTTGAGCTTGAAGGACTGGGGTTGTGGCGAGGGAGGGGTGAAAGGGCCAGCTGGGTTCCGGATACTTGCGAGATTCTCAATGTTGGAACTAGTTTCAAGGCTCTTCTCTTGCTCCTCCTTTGATGGGTGTTCGTGTCAAGATGTTGGTTCCCCGACTGAACTCTGAACTGGGGAGCGGGGTTGGTGCTGTGGGGCGGGCATGACGATGTTGGATCGTGATCGTTGGGGCCGTCCTGGGGTTGTTTATCTGATTTTACGATTCCTACTATTTCTTGGATGGAGGGTCAGGCGGTGCTTTTGACCATCTGCCATATCGATCTTCTATATGCGGGCTACAAGTAGACTTTCTGGCATCTCTTAGTCATTGACTATCTTGCATTCATGCAATACGAGGTAAGTATTCCAAAGATGCCTACGCAGCCATCAGGTCGATGTTGGGGGCAGTGTATCACCATTTCGTCATTTCAAGGCTCGCGAGTTACCCCCAAGTTATCTGGTCAGATATCTGAAATGCTTACCTACTCTGGTGTCATAGTATGTATATGTGCTTTTAGTGAGAACCGGGTATTACATTTCGATCGTAAATTGGTTATCGTAAAGCGGATGCATCCACTGGGGCCAACTTGTGAAGTGATTATGAACCTGGACTTCACGTAGTAGATATTCGTGTATTGATCACCTGTTGGAGACCGCCTAGATTATACTTACGAGCATGCATTTAAAGCGGTGAATTCAAGGAATAGTCACCGTGGGCGGCATACGGTGACTATTAATGCCAATAATCACTGCCACTAGCTACAAGTTATCACTCCACATTGTTCGATATAGCCAAGCCCTGGAGCGTACCACGGTGGAGTTCGACGGTCAACCAAGATCGACAATGCTTCGAAGTCTCCTCTCGCACTTACTTTTCCAGCCGGTTTCAAATTGACAGTTTCGCAGCTAGACCCTGATTGACCAGGACATGATCCCCTCTCCCCACTTCCTCCTATTTGGGCAACTGACCACAAGGACAAGCCACCATCGCCATAGCGATCCCTGGCCCCTATGAGACCACGAGTTCGCCAAAGGCTTCAACTCTGCTAAGCCCTATCCCCAAAAGAATCGGTCAGGCCATGAGACCCTTCACCGTCGCTAGTGGATCCACCAACCGTGTTGACGGACTTGGAGCGGCCAGGAACCCCGCATCGCCCTTGTTGCTTCGCTTGGGCTCGGGACACGCTTAATGGCCGGGAGTCCAATGGAGGACCGCCTCGTATTGGATGGAAGGGCTCGGATGAGACCCTGTCAGGCCTTCTTCATATGTTCGGTCTGGTTGGGTTTAAAACCCTAAATGGTTGCTCGTTGCTGGTGGAGGGTGGTCGAGATTATTCTACACTCTCTTCGTCTTCAATCATCCGGCGATAGGTCTCTCGTACGACTACGACTCTGACAAGCTGGGATTGTCTACCTATAACCCAGTATATTTTAAAAAAAAGAAAAAAAAAGATCTCACCATTAGTTCAGCGGAATATCGGTCATTTTTCCTCCGTGGTCCGTTCAATATCTTCCGTGTTGTCAACTTGCTCCGTCCCAATTTCACGGTCCCAATTTCACGGTCCCAACCTCACCGATCTTTTTCCCTCGAAAACACTTCGGTGCCTTCAGACTATGGCACCTCTTTGGATATTCGTAGCTCTCGGATACCTACTTCTCTACGCTTTTGCTGCGATGCAAACGCAAGAGCCGTACGCGGTGTCTCGAACCGGATAACGACCTGATGGTGCTAGACCATGTCTCGGACTGGTCAGCTCAATAAAGACTATGTTTCTTCAGACTGGAAGAGAGATCTATCTTTCCATTCACGAAGGATTACAATCGATAAGAGACGACGAGAAAGTCAACTATTATCAGCACCATCCATGCACTCAACTCTTCTGACACTTTGTCACGATTACTCCCTCATGATTACGCCGTTTTGCGACTTCGACGATACCCACATGAAAAATTACTGCTCGAGCGGAATGTTATACCATGCACCTTCTAGAAAATTATGCGGCTGAGACGGGCTCATGTTGTCCGGTACAACGACACTCGTTTGATGATCAATGATTATGATGCCATGACTGGGGGCAAGATTATGTTTCAGAATTGCTGGTCTAGCTACTAGTAGTTGCACTGGCTACTAGTACTAGCAATAATCAAAATTTGAAAACTTGGCTTCTTTCTCTCATTCAACTTATGGATCGTAGGTCCTTAAACTGCTATGAAGATCATTGAACCTTGACCTTGCCCATCCTTGAATAATCGAGTCTTGTACAGCAGTACTAGTAAGCCCGCATAGTTAGCGGATGAAATAAAGACTTCAGAAGTCATTCAAAATCATGTCATCTATTTCGCAAAATCTTTTAACTTCAATGATACAAAAAGCGTCTGCGCCAGGCTATGAGTGTTAGCGCTCAGAGGAATATATAGGAGGCGGGGGGTATAGTAGTGTCTGGCGAGAATGATGCGTTTCAGGGTCTTCACAAAATGCCCTCCGAGCCGTCAAACATCTTGACAGGCGACGATTAAAGATCTCGAAGCGGGAGCTTGATGCTCTAGTAACATTCTCCGACCCCAAAACCACTGAGGTAGATACAAACAAAGACCAGGTGTCGGCAACTTACTGACAACATTCCAGTGGTCTCCAGATCGCACAGTATCACCTCAACGAGAACCCCCCGCATATCACCTGATAGATCATTTAGCGTTAGTAGCTACATAATACGACGCTGTATGGGAGCTAGCGGTAAAAACAGCCTTGGCAAGGCCATTTTTGGCCCGTAATGACAGCCATTGTGCTCAATGTTGGAGAGGAAGGCTCAGGGATTGAGTGTCTCCAGAAGTGCGTTTCATCAAGAGCCGAAGCGTCGCCGTCCCACAAGATTGCCGCAATGTCAGTTACGACCCGCACAGCATCCCCTGGATTTCCGAGAGTGTAGATTGGAAATTTTTGGGGAAGAGGGCGAAGAAAGCCTTGCTAGCAGTGCAATGTTAGCACTAGCATACCGGCTGGAAGGGTGGTGGGAGGAGGCCGAGCAGCTCTTCGTGCAGGTCATGGAGACTCGCAAGACGAAGCTCGGCGCAGATAATCCTGATACGCTGAAGACCATGGCCAACTGAGCTCTTACCTCAGGTCTGCTAGTCAGCATCCCCAAGCACGCTTTGCTTAGAACCTGTGTTGTCAAGCAAGAACAAAGTTCGTCTCGTCCCGACACCAAGTCCAATTCCTTCAGCCTGCTGACATGGCAAACTGGGGATCTGACTGTCGATACATCGGAATAGTGTACTCCGTGATTGACACTGCCAATTCATATCGGATCTGACCTATCTCAACATGATCCGAGTTTTTCCCCGTTACAAGTGGGGCCTAGCCATTATTATCTTCACAGTCAAATGCAGCGCCCTTCTCGAGTAGTAACTTTACAATAATCTCGTGTCCGTTTTGTGAAGCCCAGGAGATTTGTATTCTACTATCTAATAGCATCCAACGTATTTAAAGCCTTTCGCCTACGAATGCTCTTGCTCAATTAGCCAATCAAATCGCCAGGTAATCGGCTAATCAAATGCAAAGTCGTAAATCGGATCCTACATCCTAATTATATACTGGGAACGATTGCAGGGGCATACCCTATACGTGTGTGTGTTTCCTAGAGCTAAGATCTGTAGACGTTCTTAATTGGCGCCACTTTTTGCCTTTGGTGGCGTATCCTGTTAAGTCATATTTATGGCATGGCACCCAGCAGAGGTATCTGTGATCTTTACGGCCAAAAGACATCTCCAGACCTTGCCGTGAAGCAAAAGTAGCTCTAGTCTCTAGAAACCCGGATAGCCTTCACTTTCGTTTTGAGCTATTCTGAATATAAATATTTACCGTATGGTCTAGATGCTGAGTCAGTAATGAGATCGGGCGATTATAGTACCAACAGGAGGTGTAAAGGCTATCCAGACCTCTAAAGTCGTCAATCACTCCAGAGTCGGAGATATAACTAAGCCCTTTGGGATAAAGTTACTCCAACGCTATAATGATCTTCTTGGCTGGCCCTTTACGGTGTATTGAGCTAGAGCACTAAAAGGGCGAAGTAGTACACTCTAGTAATAAGTCTATAAGGAAGAAAAATCTAGACACTAGCAGGGTTATTACCGCTTCGCGAGCCATCCGAGTATTTCCGGATTAAAGGAGAATAAGACTGCGATACTCCTCTATAGTATTAATAGTATCGATAGTTTGAGGTACTTGACCTAGGGAAATATTGAGATGATAGTAATCTCCCCTGACTTTACTACCTAGTCAAACTCTCTATTTTTTCTAATCACTGTCTGTTTCTATTATTAATATCTATGTATTAAATCCCCTACGTAGAAACCCGTTGTAAAAGATATAGCAGAAATATAGGGTGTGGTCGTTAGGCTAGACCTTTCTAGTTCTGAGTGATAGTACCTATATAGAGCCTATTAAGGAAGGCTAGATTTGGTTTGAAACCCGATTCGCAAGATCGCCGGTAAAATTATACTTTAAGTCTTTATCCTGAAAGGTTCTAATCTCCTGTAGGTCTACTAGTATAAAGAAGCTTCCTAGCTAATTATTAGTTGGTCTGTATAAAACAAGTATGTGATTAACTTATAATAGAGCAGCTATAGTGGCTCGGGCCCTGTATTTTTCTTTATTAGTGCTATTTGTATGTCTAGCCTTATAAATCAAAAACTACACTTCCCATACAGATGGCTTATGCTGCATGTTATTAGGACGTAATATATAATAATCTGATAGTGTTAGTATCCGATCTGTGGAAGTTGAAGGTATGTATTTAGTGCTGCCCAACCAGCACCTAAAATTCAATTAAATTGCCGAAAAAGGCCTTATGTCTGTGGGATCTTTTAAGCTTGTTGATAGCCCTGGAATGTTGAGCTTCTTGTCCTTTGTCTTACTACTAAATCTCCAAAGACTTGAAATCGCTGATTGCTGGCTTGTGGGCTTTAAGGTGATAGAATTTTTGAAAGGCCATGATATGAGAATACAGAACGTCTAATTCCGTAGGATAAGTCTATTTTATGATATGTTTGGGCGAGACAATCGCTACTCGAACTGTGTGAAAGAATTTTGGGAAACTGTTTCTAACACTGGGAATACTGGCAAGATTGAAAGTCTAGTTATTGTGCGGGCTCTTTGAATACATCTCCATCTATTTCTCTCTTGGATAGTTCCTACTCTTTTGGAAGGGTTGTTGTAGAACTGTGTTGCAGTCTCGGGCATACACCAGCTGTTTTTGTGCTCTATTTTGTAGAGACTTTTATATGGTTAGGCCTCTATACTGTAAATAATACTGGAAATTAAAATTACTAAGCCTACTATGGCCCTGAAATAGGTTAGAAGCCTTTTGAAGTATATAAACTAATCCCCCTGCCCTCACCCTCCTACGCTTTAAAAGCGTCTTGTACGACCACCATGGATGAGCAATCACCTCCCTTCGGAAATCAAAAGTGGGCCTCTTGGAGGACACTCTGCAGAAAACTTCTATCTCAATATATCTGTATGATGGCTATCTCTGTGCATATATATATATTAACTTATATGTAGGGGAGACTCTTGGTGTGAAAGTGCAACCTTCTGAGGTGCGGCTTAAGCCAGAGGAGGATATGCTCTACCGGTGGAAGATAAAAGACCCTTATCTTGAACCTCTGTTCCAGAAGTATCTGAGCAAACACTCAGTTGGAGTATATATGCTTCTTCAGAGAGAAGCAGGGTAAAATTTTTTCGTAATTTACCCAGAAAAAGTAAAGTCTCCTATATTGTGTTTGGAAGTTGTATCTACTAAAAGTAGTCTAGGAAGTGAAAAGAAAGGCAGACCTGGATCTTCTTGCTCAACTACAAACCGAAAACTTAGATCTCGCTAAGAAACTGAGATTAGCTGAAAACAAAGTAAATTGCAGCGAGCAGGCTGTGATAGAAACCAAAGATGAGATAAAATCCCAGAACTTGATAATCAGGGAGGTATAGATGACAATCCATCTTTAACAGTAAGATATCCTAAACTGGATGGTCTTTTGTGAATGGTATCAGGCCTGCTGTTTACACTGCTCGAACGTTCTAGGACAGATAATATTGTTTCTACAAGGGGATTCTAGTAAAGATATTGTATATCAGCCTTCTCAGAATTAGCTTCAAATGATACGTATTCTTCTTTAGCTAAATTAATGATGTAGAGCTATTTAAAATCCTAGTATACTGTATATCTTGTTATTCAGTTGAGTAAAAAATCTTACTATATTGTCTTCTTTGCCGAGTGAGATAGGCTCACCAGGAGCTACGTCCACTTGAGGCTTTACGGGGGTATCTTATGGTCTTGCGCCTAGAGGCTTGCAACACTATTCTCACCAGCAACTGACTGCAACACCCTTCTGGACCTGCGACCCCATTTTGGACCTGTGACACTATTTTAGATCCGTGACATCATTTTGGCCTGCGACACCATTCCTGATCTGTGACATCATTTCTGTCCTGGGAAAGCGTTCTTGATCTGTGATACCGTTTTCATCTCAGCGATCAACTTATTTTGATATCTTATAAGTAATGCTGCCCTAACGCCTAATCGAGTAACAAACACTTGAAAGGAAATATAAGAAGGACAGCTGAACTGTTCTTTTCTTTAGATTGAGGATACCCGCAATTCTACTTTCCACAATAGCAAAAAATAAAGGAAATAAGGGCGCAAACACTCAGAAAAGTGCCCGCGACATACAGACACCTATTTCTGATCATAAAAGGTCCGATGAGTCTGATACCGACAAAGCCAAATCGAACAATACAAATAAAGTAGATAGCAGCCAGACCACTTCTTTGATTAACACAACAACTTAATCGGGATCCTAAGATACAGAGGCGAGTAAAGACAAGGAGCCAGAGCCCGAAACAAAGAAAAACGAAAAGAGTCAAGAAACTGTCTGGAAGGCAAGGTTTGATAGAAGCCCGACTCAAGAGGGCGATTTTGCTCTAAATATAGGTGACCACGAGTCTAACGATGACGAAGACTCAGATTCATATGATGTCTCTAATTAAGATACCCCTGAAGAACATCAGATAGATCCACTCAGTGGATGGGTGAAAGATCTTATTCAGAAAGAGACATCGATCCGGTCAGCAATGATGGTTGAAGAATTTTTTACGTCCGATCGCCCTCGCTACAAAGAATGTCAGCAGTTTTTCCAAGAGCTCAACCAGAAGATTCAAGCTGCTAATAAGCAGAATCATATAAATAATGTTGATATCGGCACCATACCAGAGTTGGGCTATAATGGCTTATACAAGACTTGGCAACAGAAAGCAACCATTGCCGTGAACAACAACTCAGTTCAGGATTTTTGGAACACCTTCAACCACACCCACAATCTCCTGAAGATTTTCAACAAAAGACACTTCCTTCCTTAAGTCTGGAATATCAGCCAGAAATGGGCACAGAAATAGGTTGGAGCTCTAAATCTAACTCTGGTTGACGACCCCAGCTCAGCTTCTACATTTGAAAATGGTCAGCTATTTTCGACTTCTCGGAAAAGCTTTGATGAAGAATATCTACAGTAACACACTGTCGGTATCAGTGGGGAATTGGTATTGTAAGGCATGGTCAGAATGTATCATTGTAACTTAGCCAAGAGCCTTAGTCATGGTCGGTCGCATACAAATTAGTATGTGAGCGAGCGAACATAACAAGAATCAGACAACAATCCATGGACCTGATTGGACGTACATTACTGTTCCGACACACACGATACCGCCCTAGTGTATTGTGAGCCAGAGGGTCGTATATAAATTACCCCACTGCCCAGAGTATTTTACTTCCATCTTTCACCAACGTGGACGACGAAAATGGAACTGCCTCCAGACCCTCGACTCAAAAGTCCGTCAACATATAACCGCGAGGTGACAATCGCCGCGGTGACGGCCTTTTATGAATCTCTTACCACTCTGCTTTTTGTCGAGCCGACCGACATCCTCTACCCTCCACCTGAGGGATGGCCACATATTACTCAGGAGAATGAGGCTTTCGCCTCCCTTGGGAAGACCGATGAGGTGATTGAATTGCTTCGTCACTTACCATATCTAGACTCTAGGCGCGAAAAATGGCTTGTAAGACCAGAGACCAGAGCATGTGATTATGTGAATCAAGAGCCTTCTCACTATCAAGATGCTATACCAAAAGATGCTGGGATCCCTCCGTGGGTGATCAACCTTACAGACTCAGGGAGAAATGGCTATTCATTGATGTTCGATACATCAGATGGTATGAACCTTCGAACTGCTCTGTCTAAATAACCTTTCATCACCTTCTCAAGTTATTAACATACGTTATAGGCACAGCAACTGAACGCAGGCCAGATGGATGGACATATGACCCAGATTATACTAAAGATGATCCGCGGTATTGGCGTGTTGAATGTGAAGACGAGACTGAGCCACTGGTTGACCGCTTGGAGTTCTATAAGCAGAGATTTCAAAATCTTCATTGGATCCCGCATGTTCAGAAGGTGGGATCGTGGCCAACGATATATGAGTGGTACGACGAAAAGTGGGGCTCTGCGGAGGCAAAGGTAGGTCATTCTATGCCGAGATTGCCAGTTTCTAGGCTCAACATTCGCTTTGATGGTTCTCATTCGATGAACAGGCAATGCGCGAAATCTATTTCGAACACGGGTGGCCGGACTCGTTTGACCGAGAGGCATGCCAGGGAGCGTTGGAGGCATTCTACTACGATTTCGAAAGACGGGAGGCCCTCCGGGAAAGGGGTTAAATTAGGTTCCATTGATCTTTTTATCATATACGAAGGCGGATTCGAGGATTGTCAAAACAAATCACTTATTGGTCATGGTAATTAACGCAATACCTACAATCCAAGATCAATTTCAATTGGCCTGAGATGGCTTCCTATGCCTGTGTCTGCCTAGGTAAATATGTACTATCGAAATTGCCAAGTCGCTCACTCGTTGCGCTATTGTCCGTGACAGAGGCTGATACAGAAGTGACCAAGGCCACGGCGGGTGCAGGTATCGAGCTCGGAGGGCGCAAAACCGTTATATGAGGCTCGACCTGTTCAATCGCGGCAAGCTCCTGTTCACAATCATTTTTGCATCGAATCAATCCAAAATCATTGTGAAGCTCCTCATCTGTAGCTCTCCGGCTCGAGTTAGATCCGACCACGGCTATCTCATCGGGACCAAGGAAAGAGTCCCGCTTGCCCTTTTTGTTCGGGTTTTTGTAAAGCTCTTGATATTTGACCTCACCTTGGTGTGTGTCAAACCATGAATCTCTGTTCAGAAGCGCATACCCGGGGTATTTTGTCTTGGAACCAAAACCCTCCAGATTTGCACACTTGTTAAGAGTCAAACCATCATCCCCGTCTCCTGGATCGACAAAATCCTCAAACGCGACCGAGAAAATCACCCGTGTGAAGACTGCCATTACCTGAGTCCACTCTGTATACATGTTGCCTCCCGCCACTCGAGGAGCTTCCAGACTGATCGATGTTGAAACATCGTTTGCTGGGTGCTTCTTCGGACAGCCTCTGAACGCTGATCCCGCTTTCCTATTCTGTCCCCGTCAAGAAATCGAATGAATTGTTTGTCATCCTTTGGAATCCGCTTCCCATGTCCCTCTATAAATTCATAGCCGTCATTGACCTCGATATACTTTCGAGGAGGCCATTCATCAGCCTCGCAAGAATCTCCAATTTCGGCGAGCGATCGATCATGCTCAACGTTCCATACATCCACTATCGGGCGCTTTTCCGCTGGCTGAGGGCCGTAAGGACAGGTCACATACTCATGGCCCGGATTGACACTAATCACAGAAGAATAGTGCCAACATGGCCAAGGGTACTCAGGGCAGCGGAGCGTTATAGTACGCGTTGTACGTCCGTGAAGTTCATCCGAGATTGCTGTTGTTGTCCGCATAGACTTCTTGCGTCTTTTACAGTTAGGATTATCGGCTCTTTTGTTGCTACACCCGCGGTCCTCGTTTCGCGTCTTTGCTGGTGTATGTTGCGACTTTGGAGGTCGTGTCTGGGTCGGCTTCTTCGTCACTCTCTTGGGCTCCAGTTTGTTCTCAATGGCCTTGATTGCCGCTTTCCCCTCCTTTTCGACCAGCTTGGAGCATAATTTGATAAGAAATCGGTTGGCAAAGAGCTCTACCACAGATTCAAGACCGATTGCAAATTCACCTAAATCAAAAGTTAGCAATGACTTCCGCGGCTAGTGCTACGCAGGGAATAGTTACATACCAAGAATAGGAATCTCTAGCTCTGCTGCATCAATAAGCACCTCGATGCCAGTCACAATCCCTGTACAAAGTGACTTTGCCAACAGGTCTAATCCGACCTGCTCAGCACCCGCCTCTGCCAGAGCCTTTGCCTGGTCTCCAAATTGAGCCAGTATCGGGTCGTCAGAATCATCGTCGTCGTCCTGGCTGCTGCTTACTGGAGAATTGACCCCGCCAGGTGGTGCTAGAAAGTCAGAACAACAATAACTGGCATAAGTGTTTCCTGGACATTCAGACTCTCCAAAAGATTCCTCCTCACGATAGCGATTGCTCTGGATTAGCTCCGTCTCGTCAACCGGGCAACCGCTGAAACAAGGCATTCCTAAGCCGCTATAGCCTCGCCATTGACAAGTGCCAAGCATAGTGCCATCTGCGCAACACAGGTTTCGTCCAAGCCCGGTATCGCACTCATTGAGCGATGTGCCCACGAGACTCTGTGAGCCAGACATTCCGGTGACGCGGTTGGTTCCGCTTGGACATCGCTCGCCACATTCTGACATAAAACATGCGGATTGAGCAGCATCGTTCCGTTCCAAATATCTTTTCATCTGGAGCTGTTCGTCGTTCATAATAGGTTGTGTGATCTCGGTGTCTTTCATTTGGTCAACTTGATCCATGGCCCACACCTAAAGTTCCGTCAATTGAAGATCTTTGCGATATAGGCTTATTTGAGTTCATGTCCTACCATTGTCCCGCCCAGGCATCGGCTCATTGCAAAACGTTTTTTGATATCAAGTGTTTCTGCATCATCGAAAGACACCCACTGATCGGTGTTCCATGTCATCCATTTGACGGCTGCCTTTTTGGCGAGGACGATCTCACTCTCTAGGTTGTTGGATTGGATTATCTCGTTGATCTCAGCCAGATTGAGGATTCCTGACGCATCAGAGCAGCCACCCGGGTCAGCTCCAACACCATCTTCATAGACGAATTGACAGACCCCGTTTGGAATATTGCAGGAAGGATCTGCCAATTTGAAGCTTCTGCCGTACTAAAATCATCAAGGTTAGCCCACTAAGTGTAACAGGAGAAGAACGAGATAAAATCATACAAACCCCAGTCCCATTACCACTTTGTCAGGATCAATCCCAGCACGCCATAGTAGATCCAGTCCAAGGTCTATCTCAGTAACATTTGTATGCGGGGCAATGTATGGCCCGATATTGCGAGAATACTTGTCCCAGACTCCGTGCACTATAGTCGCGTTAGATTGGGATTTACCTCATTCGTAATAGCAATGTACTCACTATCGTAGGACATGAGGTTAAACCAGTCAACGGAACGCTCCATGGCAGCAACGTCAAAGTGCTGTAGATACCAGTAAGATGCCGGCAATGTCACAGAAATTCCAAATCTTTGACCAAATGCGGCTCTCATTTGATTGACAAGCGCCACGTAGTTTGCAGTATCCCCTTCATAACCATCTCGGTCAGAGGCCTGCGGGTATTCCCAATCTAAATCAACCCCATCAAATCCATAATTCACCATAAAGTCAAACAGGCTTTCAATGAAATTGTCGCGGTCGGCAGGCTCTAAGGTCATTTTCGTCCAAGCATGGCGAGTAGGGCCTGGGTCTGAGAATGCCCAGCCTCCAATGGATATCCAGGTCTTCAGACCATTGCGCCCGTTCTTCAAGGCAGTAAATTCCGAGTACAAATCCTCGCTATGACTACCCATAGGAGCAATCTTGAAGGAATTTTTCTTTGTGCCGAATTCACCGTCTACCTCCACTTCGTCGAAAAGTGCAAAGGCAAAGTTGATGTGTGTGTATCCATCTAAGTCTAGATCACTCGGACTGACTTTCTGGCAACCTCGAAAATTGGCCCAGGACTCGTAATATCCAATCTGGCGTTTGAAATATCCGTTATTTGGGGCACAGCCTGGTCTTTTCACATCCCCACAACTTCCGTAGCCTTTTTGGCAGCCATCGTCGCAGAATTCATCCGTCGAGCCGCACCAGCTAAATTATAATCAATTGATATTCCGAGACAGAAAGAACCTTGCTCCAGTATGAGACTTACCCAAATTTCGAACAGCAGACGTTCAAAGGGCATGTCTTAGAGCCTTCCTTGGCGTATGGTCCGCATTGTGCCTTTGCATCACAATTCGAGGTGCAGTTTCCCTTTCCACATTCAGAAGGGCTATAGCCACAGATACCAGAAGTACCACAGCAAGCAGAATTCACACATGGCGTATCGCTGTTGCATGTTCCTTCTGGTAAGTTGGCACCGAGAAGCGAGTATTCAGAGAAAGCGAGAGAGGTTGAGTTGTCATCAAGATTGATGGAAGCAGCAACAATGAAAATGCTCCATATGAGAGCAGCTGCCAGTATGCTTTTCATATTTTCTCGATTCTGAGCTGGTGAAGCCCCTAAGATGAAAGGACGCGGTACTATTACTACGATGAAGCTGAGCAGTTTATATATGCTTCCGGCAAAATGGCCTCCGTGATCTATCTCCCGACATGTTACTAGCTCTGTGAATTACGACGTATAAGTACTAGTATTGAAATCCCGACAGAGCCGACATAGGGGGGGTTGAAGCCATCCTCTTTCAGGTGGAACTACCCTGCTGGGCCCACTTTATTGTGCATACTAATCTCCTAAACGAGGAGCATTGAGAGATATTTACTTGATTTCATGGGTTGTTGAGTGGCGATAGAGAAAGAAGTTACCTAATTATACTAGAAATGCAGGGTTTCCGGCGAAACTTGAAACAAAAGCCGCACTAGACTAAAACCAATTCTCTGTAGGCTGGGACTTAAGACTCGCTAAGCTCATGGATTATATATGGGCTGCAGGGGCGAAATTATGCCAAGACTAGACAACGGAACTAACAATGTTGGGGGCTTCGCGATGTCTCAGATCCTAGTAGTTCACACCATACTCTTCGATATCAACTTGAAATGACCAAGGCAAGCTGAATACTGCGACTTGGTGTTGGCTTTTCGGCTTGCATGCTTCTAGAAGCATGAAAACTAGCTTACACATACATACGACCCCGTTTGTCAAGACTTCGTGTGGCGTTTGTAAAGAAGTTCGATGAGGAGCACCGGAACGGCTGGCTAGCGCATGCAGGCTGCTGCAGGGACAGGGCCCTATACAGGGTCCATGGTCTGCTCGGAACTCGCCACTAGGCAAATGTAACGTAGAGAGCAGAACTAAGGGAGTCATAGATCGAGTCGAGTCGGGGAGGAAAATAGGAGCAAAGTGCATGACTTGTGCCCCACTGAGGCAAAAGCCCCGCGCGCCAAGAGTGTCTAAAAGGAACCGTCAGCCTCGAAATGCTTAGCGCTCATGTTACTGCATCTCTCCTTTTACCACGATACATACTAGACCCATCGGATGTTTTTAGGGGTCCGAACAGTATCCGTCTGCTTCCAATTGGTTGGAAGCGCTTCATATGCCCATTCAGGGTCTACCCGAGCTCGAAAACAAGACCTGGGGCTCGGGAAGTGTCAAATTACATACAACAGACATGGTAATGTGTTTACGGGCGGGACGACTCGGGCTCGGTTTCACTCTCGTAAATTACTTCCCACGTTGGCCAGAGCGACCTTCGAACGAAAATAATCAAAATTGATGTAGGAAAAATACATAAACTCCTCCACCACCGACGGTCGCTAGTGAAAAGGCGAATGAAGGATTTTCCTTAAGTGAAACCGTTGAAATCATGCGAGCAAGCTGGATGTGGTGGGCTTTTGGCCTAACTGCTATACCGACGCACGCAATGGCTTTCAATCTATACCCAGCGGCGAATACCACAGCGCTGGCGTCATTTTTCAACATAACTCTCGAGTGTATGGAAGCACTGTAAGTACTTTTTTATTGCATCTCCAGCTTATTGATGTTAATCAAATATTTTTTAGAAACACTACTCTTCCGGAATGTGACTCAACCCTCTTCCATATGGCCCTTAATGTGGATAACTATTGGTGGGAAGAAGACAACGTCACGGCCCTTTGCGCTGGCAACTGTTCTACTGCAGCAAAATACTGGGATCTTGAGGTCTCCGGGGCCTGTGATGGCCAGTATTACCCATCGTACGGAAAGTTGCTTCCTTGGGATACAGTGACAGCTCAGCATGTTGATGGACTGAATATGGCGTGCATACCATCTACCAAGAACGACACTTGGTGCCAGATTGAATCTCAACAATGGCAAGGAGTTATTCCTTACAGTCCTGATTGCTCAGAGGAGCCCACCGACCCTAGTTGTGCAAGCAATGGCTCATATCTGGATTCGCCTTATTCTCGTTTGGCCAATCTCTACGAGGACGATATTGTAAGTTGCAAATTGAATTTTCATCTTAGATACTGTTGGATAATCTCTAACCTACTCAAAAAGCTGTGTAATGATTGCTTTATTCAAAGACTCTACCAGCGCGTGATCGGTCCATTTTTGCCAAACAACACTTACTCCGACTATCTCGTGGATCAGCTGCAGGATATCGGTGATGTCTGTTCTACAAGCATTCCCGATATCACCGTACGCGCTATACCTACCTATTCCACGATCCCAACGAGAGTATCGACTACTAAAACGACGGCTGATGCTACTCCTACAGCCACATCAACTTCAGGACCGACTTGCTATGGCCAGCAGGTAACAGGCTCAGGATGTGACGATCTCTCTGATCAGTACAATGTCACCACTGGTGATCTTAAAGCATATTCCCAGAGTGAATCGTGTTCTTTCTCTCATCCGGCTTGCCTTCCAAAGGGATGTGACTTGTATAAGGTCGCGAGTGGTGATAGCTGGTAAGATCTCTTTCTTTTTCGCTAATTTTCTGGGTATAAATTGATTTGTGACGTCCTAGTCCATCGATCGCGAAAGGAGCAGCTGGAAACGTGACCCTCACACAATTCCTCAAATGGAATATCAACATATTGGGTCTGTGTGACGCACCTACTCAGGGACAATATGTTTGCGTGGGGTGAGTATAGTACCTTTTTTCTTGTCATATTTCCTTTATTCCTTCATTATTTCTATTATTACTTCTGAATGCGCAAATAGTGGCTAACAGAACACTTCTGGTAGTGCACCAGGGGGGGGGATATGTTCTCGCGCCGCCTCCTTTAGGCGATGATGGGGATCTTGGTAACGGTCAACGAGGAGGTGGTGGTGACGATGGGTCATCCGAAACTGCTTCCACGCCAACTAGTGAAACATCAACCACATCGACTTCAACAGCGACTAAAACAAACAGCGCAAGCAAGACAACCGTGACCGCACCAGGCGAGACCCAAGCCGGTATCGACCCTAACTGTGACAAATTCGCGAAAGCCCCGAAGGACGGTAGCTGCGCGGGATTCGCGGCGGATAATAACATCAGTCCGGCTCAGTTATACTCATGGAATAGTGTTTTGGGCAAAAATGGCGCGTCATGTGGTACTTCCTTCTGGGCGAATGAGTACTACTGCGTAGGTGTGACCGGATCTTCAACTGTGACTACTGTGATTGCGCCTGGCCCAACACAGACAGGAATCGTGGATAACTGCAACAAGTATGCCACACCGGCGGATGACCAAGGCTGTGAAGATTTTGCAAAGGACAACAATATCACGCCTACTCAGCTTTATAAGTGGAATTCCGTTTTGGGCACCAATGGGAAAAACTGCGGGAGCAGCTTCTGGCTCAAAGAATACTATTGTGTGGGTGTTGTGGGCTAGAACCTTTTTTTCGTTTCGGCCAAATTAAGACAATCCCAATGCCATATTCCGATATTCCTCGCAAATACATTATACAATAAGCGCTTTGAGTTGACACATGTTAGTTACATCGCATGCCCCTTAGAATCTCCACATTGCTGCATGTACTAGACACCTCTGGGCGGAGAGTTATACAGTACAGCAAGACAGTATACTAAAGTACTTTGTGAATACCACTTATCACAATAGGGGAAATCAGCATGATGAGAGATTTTTGTATGTAATATAAAGAGCCTATAAAATATGACGGTAATGATTTTAAGGACATGTATTTTTAACCCTAGTTTAAATTTATCAGAACAAAATATTCATCGGTTCTTTTTTTTTTAGGTAGCACACAAAAATATGATTCTATAATATTCAGAAGTGAAAAAATTATACCTATCAGAATCTTCCCTCGACTGAATACTCTGTTGGTAGAATATTCACTAGGTGGGGCGCTCGTTGGCGTCTCGGTTGATCGTCAGCGTTTCGCCGAGGCAAGAGGCGCAAAAAAAGGGTACACAGGATGCCAATATTTTCGTACGCGGATACTCCACGATACACATGGTCTCCCGAACTCCTACGTCCTAGGATCTGCCACGGTTCTCGCACTAGCGAGAATACCCACGATGTAGACGATCCTCCGATGTCCTGTTTCCTCGTTCATACGATAGACCACGGGTTCCCTTCTTTTCAAGCTATCGTATGCAGTCCTCGTTCTCCCGACAGAGCAGTTCGTACGATGGACCACGGTTTCCCCTCTTTTTCGATGAGCTCAAAGGGACCCTGTCTCCACCCCAGACGCAAAAAACTCAAGATGGCAGGTTTAGCGATTCAAATGGGATGGAGTCTCAGCGAAAGCTCACAGTCGGTTTTTTCTGTCTTCAGAGGAGTTATAGCTGCTGCAACGAGTGACAATGTCCAAGTCCTCGCGATCATGGCTTGCGAAAAATTCGGTAATACGATCGCCATCAGCAATCAGACGGCAACCAAAGTCACGTCGACCATCGTTCCATCGCCAGAGCCGGTCCACATTACTTTCGTTGAAGAGCCACGTAGGCTTCTTTAAAGGTGATTGCGCAAGCCAGCTTGGTGCAAGTCCGGCCGGCACCAATTTTCTAGGATTGGAGGCCGCTCTAGTGACCACGATCGGCCCCTTCAACGGTGCACATGCGATGGAAATCATGATCAGGCAAACAACCACAGATCCGACACTGCTTCCAACGGTAAAGCACCTGAAAGATCTATTAATGAGCGTTGAGGCTAGGTCATATCGATGCGGCTTTGCCGAAAGAACATTTTCCGCTTGCGGATGGATTAAATATGTGGTCAATCTAAGAGCAAGTTTATAGAAGTCAAAATGTAACAGATACATTTGGAGCTCCTTCCAAGCACGACTAGCTTATGTTCAGCTATACAGGAGCTCTCAAGAACCCTCATTTGCCCTTCGGCTTCTCGTCGAACACGCTGCTGCAAAAAGCGTGCTCGGGTAGCAAGAAGATTTTATTCAATTGGTTGAGTTTCAAGAACCCGTGGTGACCTGGTAATGTCATATAAAATCGTATATACAAACTTACTTGAGAGCCCCCTGACTCTCTCAGTGATGCCCGCCTGGAAAATTCTTTAAACAGAGCGCTTATCAGCGTGGAAAGGCCCCTCTATCAGATTATACGGAAGGGGCATTGGCCTACGAGCGAAGGGATCTAATGGACCATTTTCGCGGGACCTAGAAACCAGACTAAAGCTGCACGACCATCCTGCAATTCCGCAGCCGGGTATAAATTCGCGACTGGATTCTACCCTCTCCCGACACTTACCGGGCTGATATTACTGCGCTGACCATGTTAGGCCCTCAGCTTGATAATCTCCCCTTCGATATCCCCCATGAGGTAGCTACATTGCTGGACTATCGTGACTACATTCATCTCAATCGAGTTAACCATGCCCTTCGCGAGGCAATGCGAAATGTGAATATCTCTCGAAAGATCGTAAAGGTACTTCACACTTCCTTCTCTCCTTTCTTCTTCGGGCCCCCAGCTAACACCTACTGAAATGCAAAGAATGGGATGCTTTATAGCAAAGAAGGCCAGCAGGCAGCTAGTACCGGGACAGGCTATCATTACGCTATTTCACATTACTATGATATCAACGAAGCGGTCGCCACCGCGAGCCCTTACCTGATCTCTATCCTGGCCTACGGGACCGATTTCCTCTACCAACAAGGCACACTGTGCTACTGTACCGGCCACGAACTTCGCTTACTCGATGTGCATCGGACAGGCCAAGCCGAACGTGTAGTCAATTTCTACAGTGTTCTCTTACGCTTGGTACCGAGCTTGAAGAGCCACAATCTTACCATATCGGTGAAATTAGTCCACTACTGCGATGATGTTCTTGCCTTCCGTGTCTTAAAAAATACAAACATCGAAGGTTCCACGGATTTTCTGTTTGCCATGGACGTCACATATCGACATGGGACCTCCCGGCGAAAGCGGCTGCTACTACGAGCGGAAGTACCGACAGGTGCGCCAATTTTCGTGCGTGGCGACCGATCCTGTATCTGCTCAGCGAGATAATAAGCTAAGCTCCCATAAAGCAGCAACCCATTGCCCGTGTACTTTTCTAGAACCAAATCTTAATCAGTTCCTCACTGACTGCACTAGGTGTCAGAACACCACTATCGGTAATCAGAGCCGAAATGAGATGCGGAGGAGTAAAGTCCACTGATTCCAACTCAACCGGGCGGTCGACACCTGTATCGACCGGCTGCTGGCTTTGTTCGGCAATGTCTTCCTCAGACTTGAAATCAATGACGTGCTGCTCGATGGGCAGGTCATATTGGCCAAGCGGGTAAAGACGAACGAACTTATGGCTCTCAGCCACACAGTAGAACGGCTTTCCAATAGCCTTGGCCAGCAGGCCGATTTGGTAGGTACCCATGCGGGACACGATACCTCCGTTCTCCACAACACCTTCAGCACCGACAATGACCATATCCGCCTTTCCGAGAGCGTATGCCACCGCTGACTCCGGGATTGTCGACACCGGCACGCCCTTCGCCCTCAGCGCACGCACTGTTTCCATACCCTCCGGCTCACCACATGCCTCTGCTGTTTTCTTGCTGATGGACGACAGGACGTAAATGACTCGGAAACGGACCGCTGAAGGGCCTCCCTCCTCGTCGGCCGCCTTCTGTAGCAGAGACGCGACAGCTCTGGATCCACCATTCGTGAGTACTGTGCAACCATCGCGAATGAATCCTCGTCCAAATGCCACGATCTTTTCACGACTTTCCTTGGCGCGTCTAATAAACAGTCGCCCGTTCGACAGAAGATGTGTTCGGATAGCTTTGAAGTCACCAGCGGGCCCCAGCTGCCCGGGTCGTTGTAATGTGGTAATCAAGTATCGCTGGAAGAGATCGGTTCCGGCCGAGAGACCAATTGGGTTGGGGATGGCTTTTTTCAGGTGGGCGGTAGATTGTGCCAGGAGATCAAGGGTTTCGGAGATTGTCGAGGATGGTGAATGTGTGAGAAGCAGCACGAGAGCTTCAATAGCCGCGATGGGCATGGTAAGGTCGGGATCGGAGCGTAGGAGCTCATTGTACGTCGCAACGATGCTACAGGGAGGGTTAGCAGTGAGAAAAAGCTTCGGCAGGAAGATAAGACTTACTCAAACGGCTTTGCGCCGGCTGTGGGCGTGCTCTCAGTAGTTGTCGCCATGATGTCTGTACAAAGGAGCTCACGAAGCGAAGGAAGAGTCATGATTTCTTTGAAAGGTTTGTCGTGTTTGCATTCTGCCCCTCGGCGGTTGGGACTAACCCGATGTGGACGGGCGGGCGGATTGTTTACTTGGGACGAGAAAGTCCGCACCTCACAACAACATTCGGTCTCGACCTATCCAGCCACCACTCTCGTCTGACCTTTTGGATTCAGGTACAGATCGATCGTTCCATACGTCCAAAGCTATGGCGTACAACCATCGCATGAGCATGGCTGGCACCCAGCAGCCTCACAATCGGCGCAAGAAGGAAGATGATAATGACGCATTGATGCGCCTGGTCAGTTACACCTTTTACACCCGAGAGCAGCTAAGTTGCGACTGTGGCAAGACCCATCTCTAACAAAACGCAGCCAGATAAAGAAATCGCAGGATGTATCAACGATATCGGAATTCCTTTCAGTCCCTCGGACCTCGCCAAACCCAACGCCCAGCAGATCCAGATGGTCTTCGAATGGTTCGCAGAGCTCCTAATGAACACTACGCGCGAAACTGTCGAGCCTGCTATGCATGTGGCAGCTGAAGATATCTGCGGCGACTATCCTGACATTGTTCCCAACGACACGCGAAACCTCATGGGTTTCTTCGTGAATGTCCGGAAGCTACTTGCTGAGGTATCTAGCCCCTGCGCGCTTCAATGGGGGTTGAAATGGCTGATCAACTAACTACAACGACTACAAGTGCGGTGTTAACGACTTTACTTTTACCGACCTGACCAAACCGACTCACGACCGACTGATTAAGATCTTCTCTTATCTCATTAACTTCGTCCGGTTCCGCGAATCCCAAGCCCCCGTTATTGACGAGCACTTCAACAAGACCGAAAAGACTAAATCACGAATCGAGACCCTACACATCGAAAATCAAGAAATGGAGCAGCGCCTAGCGGAGATGCGACGAGACCAACAGGCCAATGAGACGCAGGTGCGCGAAAAGGTAGCCCGAAATGACGAGCTGAAAGCCCGTCTTTTGGAGCTCCGTCGGGAGCAGACAAGAGTGGCAGACCATCTCGAAAGAGTCAAATCCGAGCGATCGCGCCGACAGCAACAACTGGAAGAGAAGACCGAAAAGACCGTTCGCACCCGACAAGAAGCCGAGAAACTTCGACCCTATGTCCTTGAATCTCCGGCGACATTACAATCGACACTGACCGAGTTGGCAGAGAACTTGATGCGGGAGAAGGCACAGATTGATGCGATGGAAAAGCGAGCTAGGGCGCTCCAGACCTCCTCAGATACATTCACTGTGGTTTCGAATGACGTGCAAGCTTGTGTGAAATTGCTCGATGAAATTTCTACGGAATTGCAGAAGGAAGACGAGGAGGAATCACATGCCGCTCGGAATAAAGAGGCTATCTCGGACAGAGGCAACAGCGTACGAGAGGTAGAGCAGACCGAACATCTGCTACAGCGACAACTCTCCCGTCTGAACGATCGAATCGAGTCACTCCGCAGAAATGCGCATGAGAAGGCTGAGATTGCGCAGGCTCGCATGGAAGAGCTCCGCAATGTTCAAAAGCAGCTGCGCGAAGAGCGTGCGGAGAAGCAGCGCGATATGGAGAGGAGGCGCATCCGTATTGAGCAGACAGAGAAGAAGGTACGATTGGAATGTCACTATTTTTGTGAGAACCCTGCTAACCTTACTTTAGATGGCCGATCTCAAGGAGAATATTGAGAGCGAAATACAATCAGCCCACGACCAATACCTCAAGCTGGAGTCGCATATTAAACTCTATATCACAGAGATGGAGAAGTCGTTGTGAAACAACAAGACTTGTGGCTTTTTTCTTTGGAATAGGAGTTCAGCGGTCGGCTCTAGGATACCCGGACAGTACTTGTTCATTTTATGGAGTTGGATCATATTACGATGCCTTTTTGCTCGAGTTTCATGCTCATCAGTTCATTCATCCCATTTCTTTTATGCATCATTTTGGTCAAACTCAAACCAACGCTCGGCAACTCGTTTGATAGGCAAGCCACGCCCTCCCCAGCCTCCGTCTTCGCTGCGGATTCGCAGTGAACCATTCAGTAGAGGGACTTGCGTATCCCATAGTCCCGAACCCCAATCAGAGCTCGAAGGGTCTACCGCATTAGTGCATTCACATAGAACTAGGTCCATTTGTGCACGGGATGCAGTCTCGACCGCAGTAGCAAGTGTTCTTGATAGTCCCTGGGCAGAGAATTCGGTTGTTGTCGCATGTAAAGCCACAAGATCCAGGATTGCAAGAACCTGCGACCTATCTAGATTTTCCGCTTCCATGCCGGCACCATGGACCGAAGTAAAGACCGCAAGATATGCTCGAAGGCTCTCTAGTGAGGGACAAAACGCTAATTGGATCTTGCTCGAGTTGGCCAGTAGTCCGATTGTCTTTGTAAGTAGATGGTGACGGGTTTCAGCATTCGGTTCGCTGGATTGGGTTCGAATGGCCGCAGAGAGTTGGATGAGAAACTCGGTTCTGGTGCCACAGATAATGAGACGAGTGTTTTTGCAGGTATTCAGCAATTGTTGGAGTAGATCTGTGACTAGGTCACAAAACGCGATTGATGGCGTTGAAACCATGGTGTCATTGAAGTATTAGCTGTCCTGGGACCGCAGTTTGAGTCGCATCGTAGGGACCGAAATCTGAGTGTTCTGGCTTGAGATCATGGTTTTAAATGGCAGGCATTGGAAGAGCTGGGAAGAAGTTGACGAATAACTTGAGAATCAGGACGGTCCAACCAGTGCGGAAGATCGCCTCTTCCGCGGAGGTCACGCTCCTCCGCCTTCGCTCTCCCCCACCTATCGTCCACATCTCCCTCGGCCAATTCTCGCGCTCCTTGGACTGGACCCTTCGGATGCTGGTTTCAAGATGGAGACTATTTCAAGGATATCCTCAATGCTGGAAACAGGTAAGCCGATCCCGCTGGGCCGCAAGCACCTCTCGTTGGCATGGAAGCTGACCGTGTGACTTCACTGTGCGCATAGCTCGAGAGCTCACCTTAGAAGCTGCACAGTCCGCAGCAAGCAATCGAAGCTCAAAGCCCGATTATTCTTCACGCACCTATAGTGTCCCCCATATTAAGAAGCTCCTGGATAGTCGCCATGAAAAGGAAACTCTGGACGGGCTGCGGAGGGTCATTTCGGTATGGCGATGTCATGATGGCGAACTGCTACGAACTGCAGAAATGTCCGCTAACAATATTGGATTTGTGTTCTAGTTGATGTACCGTTCCGAGCCTTCCCTCGATTTCTTCTCAGCCGTCGTCAAGAATGCAGCCAGTGCCAACCTCGAGATTAAGAAACTGGTCTACATTTACCTGGTTCACCATGCCGAGGCCGAGCCGGATATGGCGCTGCTATCTATCAACGCGATTCAGAAGTCCTTGACGGACCAGAATCCCCAGGTGCGAGTTATAGCGCTACGGACAATGTCTGGAATCCGGGTACCGGTCATTAGCCAGATCGTGTCATTGGCCATCAAGAGGGGATGCGGCGATATGAGCCCCCATGTGCGTAAGGCTGCTGCACTGGCTATTCCGAAATGCTACCGTCTAGATCCGAATACTCTGCCACAATTGACCGGATATATCTCAACTCTCTTGGGAGATACACAATACTTCGTCGTTGGTCCGGCAGTTGCTGCGTTTCTGGAGGTTTGCCCGGAAGAGATTGATTTGGTTCATAAGCACTACCGCAGCCTCGTCAAGAAGCTCGTTGATATGGATGAATGGGGCCAATTGGCAACCCTTCGTCTGTTAACTTTCTACGCCCGCCAATGCTTTCCTCGTCGAACTCAAAGAGTTAAGGCGGCTGTATCGAAGCCCTTTTATGATGACGAGACGGAGAACCAACCCGCTCAGAATGATGACGAGGGCCATGAGGTAGCAGTCACTGACCCTGACCTTGAGCTTCTTCTCCGGGCTTGCAAGTTACTGCTTCAAAGTCGCAATTCAGCCGTCATTGTCAGTGTCGTTCGATGTTTCCTCTACCTCGCACCCTCGGAATATCTCATCTCGGCCATTGGTCCCCTAGTGGCTCTCCTGAGAAGTCCGCAGGATATGCAACTTATTGCGCTTTACAACATTGTTGCTGTTGCATTGAGGGAGCCCAAGCCTTTCACGAGATATATTGCCCACTTTCTCATTCACGCCAATGATCCCCCGCATATCTGGCGCCTAAAGCTGGAGGTTCTGACGATCATCTTTCCCCACTGTGGGAAACATTGGAAGAGTGTTATCATCAGCGAGCTTGAGCACTTTTCTAAGGGCACTGACCCTGAACTGGTTAGAGAGAGTGTACGAGCTCTTGGTCGCTGTGCCCAAGGAGATGCTACTACTGCGGCCTTGTGCCTTCGTATCCTTCTAGGCCAAGTCGCTAGTCTGGATGGGAACCTTGTTTCTGAATCCCTCACTGTCATCCGCCACTTGATTCAACAGGATCCGACCTCGCATAAGCAGACAGTCATTCAACTCATCACGCACCTTGGAACCACAACCAACCCCGATGCCCGCGCCTCCATCATTTGGCTGGTTGGCGAATTTGCCGGCGCGGACCCAGGGCACAACATTGCGCCGGACGTTCTACGCATCTTGATCAAAAGCTTTGCCGATGAGCCGGAGGTTGTCAAGCAGCAGATTGTACTCCTTGGCGCGAAGGTGTATCTTCACCATCTCATACAAAACCCATCCCAAGAGTCAACGCAACCCGGTTCCTCATCTCTCTCGGATCGCCCCACGAACCTCGAACAGGAAATCCGCAACGAATGGACCGAGGAGCGAGCTGAAGAAGAGAAACGCGGCGATGACGCCATTGACGTACAAGAAAACGATAAGGGAGAGATCGAGGCGAAGGAAGACGGAGAAGATCGCATTACTTTGCTATGGCGCTACATCCTCCTTCTTGCTCGCTACGACACCTCATATGACCTACGCGACCGTGCCCGCCTCTACAAGGCCCTCCTGGCCAGCCCGTCTTCCACCCAGTTAGGAAATCTGCTACTTTTAGCACCCAAGCCTGTTCCTCATGCTCCAAGCCCTTCTGAGACTCGCAAGGATCTGCTTATTGGAACTGCCACGCTTGTCGTTGGCTCTGACGCGGGATACCATGGCCTCAGGGGCTACACCAACCTTCCCCCTTGGGTTGAGGCAGGACAAGAGCCTGATCCAAGTCTTCGCATGGAGGAGGTTAAGGCAGAGGCGCCTTCCCTTCAAGCTTCTATGACCGCTGGCGAGCGTCTAGACAAGGCGCTCCGTGAACATCAGACTATTGACCCGCGACGCAGACAGGCGGCAGCGGGTGCAGCGGTTGGGAAGAAGAACCTTGATCAGTGGCTCGATGAGGAAGAGGAAGAAACAGAGTCGGAGACGGAGACAGAGAGTGAGACCGAATCTGAATCTGAGGAAGAGACCGATTCGGAAGAAGAATCCGGATCTGAGGAGGATGAGGATGAGACCGATTCGGAGAGCGAGGCTGTTCATAAAGAGGCGCAGCAATTGCTTACACAACCCGCTTCGAAACCTTGAGGTGGGGTGGGATCATTATTGGTTAGTAGTCGGTCACGGTGTTGGGCCATGTGCATATATAGGGCGCTACATCTAGAACCAGATGATATGTTTAGCATATATGGGAAATCTCGGCCTTCATAGTAGGGAATTTTGACATTTTCATCATACAGAAATACTTAATGTTAGTAGAAGCCCTTTTTCCACTTGAGAGCTCCAGATCTAAGACTTGAAACCACCAGTCTTCAAGTTCAGGAAGTTTAGGCCCCGGGGGCTGACTCGGATTTGGTGCTTGAAAGTTGATAGGGAAGATAGACGCCCCGCACTATTTATATATCTGGAGGAGCCCACTTGGGCAGGACCATCAAACTTCAATTTCCGAGTCAAGTTCCTGCAAGTTGATTGTAGGATCTTTAGATATACGCCGATGCCTTGGCTAATACAAGGCTCCTAAGCAGTCTCCGACTGAGAATGTCCATATAATGAGAAAATCATACTCTTAGCCTGCTCCAAGGTTGTCCTAACTACTACGAACTAGTTAGACCCCGGTCATGTGCAAGGTACAAAAGGTTCTCGGGCGGCAGCTATTGGCAGAACGCGGGTGACCCCGAGGCGCCCAGTTAGACCGAACCTTCCACACTGATCTCTCTGAGTTGGGAGCGCAATTGTTGAGGTGCGGATCTGCTTCATATCATGATGCTCGCTACTCACCCGCCGTCCAAATTAATCCTTCGTTGAACCCGCCCCGTCTCTCCGATACCCTTTGTGCCGAGCTTTCCCTCCCTAAGCATTTACACAGAGAACGAACCCCTCCGCATTCGCATTCACCGCACCGCACCGCAGCCAGTCTCTCAGCAGCTCCGTCTTGCTTGTTCGGTACCGTCAAATACACGACCAGGTGGAACTACTCCGCTATTCTGCGTGAAGGGAATATACAAAAGAACTTGAACAATTATCGGCTGCCAGGGCACTATACTACGTCACAATGCCGGGTCTTCCTAGTGAGTGCTACCAGGAGCGCGGCCGGGCCAGATAGAACTTGGCAGGACCTTGGGATTGGGTTGAAAGGCATCGCTAACAATCGGATAGGAACTATCGATCTGGATGAGTGCATCGAGCGACTCTACCGCAAAGAACTCCTGGCCGAGTCGGTGATCGAAGCGATCTGTGCGAAAGCCAAGGAATTATTGATGAAGGAGAGCAACGTGGTTCATATCCAAGCACCCGTCACAGTTGTCGGAGACATCCACGGCCAATTCTTCGATCTACTTGAGATATTCCGCATTGGCGGTTTCTGTCCGAACACGAATTACCTCTTCCTTGGTTAGTCTTGAAACGCCACAAATGCCATTGAATATATATGGACAGGAGGCCGAGGATTTCACCGCTTGAAACTAAATCGATTGCTAATTTTTGGGTTTGCCGATGAATAGGAGATTATGTAGACCGCGGTCTATTCAGCGTGGAGACCATCACCCTACTCATCTGTCTCAAGTTACGATATCCCCAACGAGTTCACCTAATCCGCGGCAATCACGAGTCCCGCGGCGTGACACAATCCTACGGCTTTTATACCGAGTGTGCTCGTAAATACGGCAATGCAAACGTATGGCACTACTTCACCGACATGTTTGACTACCTTACGCTGAGCGTGGTGATCAATGACGAGATATTCTGCGTGCACGGCGGCCTTTCACCCTCGATCCACTCCATTGATCAGATCAAGATCCTCGATCGGTACCGTGAGATTCCGCACGAGGGACCCATGGCCGATCTAGTCTGGTCCGACCCGGACCCGGACCGCGACGAGTTCTCCCTTTCGCCCCGCGGAGCTGGCTATACATTTGGAGCGCAGGTGGTCCGGAAGTTCCTCGAGGTCAACAACATGTCTCATATCCTGCGGGCCCACCAGCTCTGTAACGAAGGCTACCAAGTCCTATTTGACGATCGACTTAGCACGGTCTGGAGCGCACCCAATTACTGTTACCGCTGCGGCAACCTCGCGAGTGTGCTCGAGGTTGGGGACAAAATGCAGCGTTATTTCAATATCTTCGACGCGGCGCCCGAAAACGACGTGCATCGGAGCGAGCAGCAGGCCCAGCAGAACAGGGATTCTCAGCCGACGATTGACTATTTCTTGTGATACCCCTGGAGGTGTAATATCTCATACTTGTTTTTGTTTCATTTATCTCTCTTTTTTCTTTCTTTTCTTTTCTTGCAATTGCACCGTACAGGAGTTTGGGAGAAGGGTAGAAAACTATGAACTGCACATTACATTCCACCGAGCAGCGTTTCCTACTTTATTTTATGCATATGAATTGAATTGGGGCAGCGGGCAAAGACCAAAAGAAATGGGCCATAGCCATACAAAAGATATACCCTCTACCAGGCCGGCAGAGATGAAGATGAAATAGAAATGGCAAACGAATAAAAAATAAGAGACATGATATATACCCACACCCCACGACTTGGCCCGATTCGGGATCGTGGGGTATGTACGTGTGGTGTGCGCGCGAAAAAGTCTGTTAAAACTGTGCAGTAAGTGGCCCAGACTGGGGACCATCTCTCCCAGGCTTTTGGTATCAAGGAAATTCGTCACGCTTGGAAACAAGAGGCCGCTCAATTGAAGTCAACACAGGAAGTCCAAGAGTTATCCCCTCGATTACCAGTCCTTGGTGATATCGAAAGACCACTCGAACTGCAAGAAAGTGTGGTCGTCGTCATCGACGAAGCGGGAATTGGCATTGTAGTGGCCACGAGCGAGCATGCCGGAGGGGGCCTCCTCCTCCTGGACTGTAGGGATGGGTCAGTTCAGCTCTGTTATGGGTGGTCGTGGGCCAGAACCTGGCGATCAGGACACGGGGGATACGTACACTCTTTCACGTAGAGGGGCTTCACGGTAGTGCTGGGGGCAAAGCTGCCCAGCATCTCATCGTCCTTGCTGACGCGGATACCCTTGCGCTTCACGGCGTAGACGTACTTGAGACCACTCAGAACCTCGTGGTGGACCTGGAAGGAAACCTTGATGTGGAACCTGGCACCCTCCTTGATGGTGAAGGGCTTGTCCTTGAGGGTCTTGACAGACTCCTCGGTGGAGAGGTCGATCACGACGTCGGAACGACCGGCGACAACGAGGGCCAGGGACTTGATGACACACTTGGGGTCGCCGGGCTGGCCGATAGGCTCTCCGGCATTGAGACCCAAAGAGGCCTTCCAGCGGTTCATGGCCTCATCATCTTTGTCTGTGCAGGGGGAAGAGGATTGATTAGTCGGTGACAGTGTAGGGGGGGCTAGATGGCTAATTGTATGTAGACGGAGTTGCAGCAACGAGTGGATTGGAATTGGATGATTGATTGATGGATGTAGTAAACACGAGACAATGGGGATAACGAATGGAACTCACCAAGCTCCTGGTACTCCTGGAGAGTCTTCTTCTCACCGACCTTGAAACCCTCGGTCTTGGTGGTAGCGAGATCGTCGTCGTGGTGGTCGGACATTGTTGATTGTTGATAGCGGGGCACACGTGGGGGAAAGTCGGAACCAGGGAATTGAGAGTGGGAACAGATGGAGATGCGTCAACCGATGAAGTTGGGCAGCAAAGGGGACAATGATCAGGGAGGGGAAGAGAGAAGGAGAATCCAAAAAAAAAGGAAAGAAGAGGAGGCACTCGGTGTCTCCTGACGAGAGTCTCTGGTGGGGGTGGAAAGGCGGTGGCGGGGGCGAGGCTATTCGGATCGCCAGTGAGTTACCGTGCATGCGACGCGCAATGCGAGCTTATTTTGATTTTGCTGGTCATCTTGGGAATTGTGGATATGTGGTAAGTGAATGGAAGTTCTCTGTATATAAATAGTGTATTGGTTTCATATCTTCCAATTTCAAGTTCCAAAAGATACCCTCATTCAAAAGGTTTCTACCAACTAGGTAGTGAAGGTGGGCAAATACTGTATATGAGACAATAGTACTTAGTAAGTGTATGGAGTACGGAGTACGGAGTAGCTGTATGGATACACGTAGCCTTTAGTAAGGATACCGGAATGCAGGTAGCCTGGCTAACAGTCATACTAGTAGTTCTGTAGTATTATTCCTACACTTATGAGTACTACTAGTATACCTAGGTATTTATACTATATTTATATCCTAGCTACTCATCACAAATACACTCCAGGGCTGTACTAGTTATACTCCTAGTTAGTACACATCTACTTCGTACCCCAAGAATGTAGGTCACGGGGCCAACGCCTTCCCAACAGCTGTGTACAAATGTGACCGTAAGTTACTGGCATTGTCCAATAACATCCCATAAATACACATCCAATACACATTACCAGACCGGACCATCCCGGATGCGGACAAGTGCCATACGGTGTAGGGCCCCAATAATTCCATCCCGTCGCCTTTCTCCCCTGATCCTCTCGATTCTCACTTTTTTTGACTCTTTGTTACTTCTCAATCGGTCTCTTTTTGTCACTTGAGTCGTCTCGTTCCGGTTTCGCCCCGAGTGTGTGAATCTGATCTCGGTTGAAAATTCCGACCCGTGACTTCATCCGCCGACGCGCCTGCTACGTGGTCGCCGTTGGCGCATCTCATTTCCTTTTCGCATCCTACTAAGACATCTTGCCTGTCTCAACCCGTCGCTATTGCCCACCATGTCGCGATCTCTCCCCAAGAAGAACAACCCTCACATCCTGGTTAATGCCTCACCGACCTGTAAGTGTCACTTCACCCCATACGCGCGTAGTCGCGCAAACCGCGCATGCGCGCATTCAGTCACCCCCCCTCCCCTCCCCCGTCACCTCTCAAAACATACATCAAAATGACCATCGCTAATCCGAGTCATTTTGCGCCTCTTCTTTACAGACGAAGATCTCCTTTCGCGCCGTCGCCTTGGCAAGACCAATTTGTCTGTTAAGGCCGCTCAGATTGGTACTTCCAATGCGACCAAGCCCGAAAACCTGGGCCTCTTCGAATATGCCCACCTACGGGCGCCTTTGCCCAAGGACCTGAAGGGCTCTGAAATCTTCCCCTCACACAACGCTGCCCAGCACCCGGAGACATACTTCCTCATGGTAAGCTGCGCCTAGTCGTCTGATCCGAGAAACCTAGTCGCTAAATTAACCACCTGCCTTAATAGCGGAGAAGCAAGGACGGCTTCGTGAGCGCAACTGGCATGTTCAAGATTGCCTTCCCGTGGGCCAAGACCGAAGAAGAGAAGATTGAGCGAGAGTATCTCAAGTCGCGCGAATACACAAGCCAGGAAGAGGTTGCCGGCAATGTATGGATCTCACCTCTATTCGGTAAGTCATCTCTCAACGTGCGACGCGATGCCAACAGGCGCTAACCATACTTCTCTAGCCCTTGAGCTCTCCAGGGAATACAAAATGTACGACTGGGTTCGTGCCCTGTTGGATCCCACCGATATCGTGCAGAGTCCGTCTAGCGCGAAGAAGCACATCACCCCCCCCCACCTAAATTCGAACTCCCCGAGGAGGAGCCTACTCCTTCTCAACGCCGTAGCCGCCGTTCCGTCTCTCCCAGCAAGAGACCCTCATCCCCTCGCAAGTCTCGCCCAGGTCGCCCCACCAAGGATATCCTGAGCACCCCTTCGACCACCGCTGCCAACAATAGCCTTCAAGAGGCCCTGGATACCACCGTCTCCCTGGAGACTGATGAACAAAATGGCATCATCGAGACTGTGGAAGAGGTTGAGGTCGAGGTCAAGACGAGTGGATCGCCCGAGAAGAAGTCTCGTGGTCGCAAATCTAAGAAGGCCATCGCCGAGGCAGAGGCTGCAGCTGCAGATGAGGAGGAGCTGAAGGAGAAGGAAGAAAAGAAGTCCGAGAAGAAAAAGAAGGAGACCAAGGAGAAGGAGACCGAGGTGGAGGTTACTGCCTCTGCGGAGGTTGCCGACCAAGCCACTACAACTCAGACTACTCTTTCGCTTGATGTGCCGATCAGCCTGCCAGAGGTTCCATCGTCCGCCGAGACGCAAGAAATGATTGCCAAAGCCCAGGAGATGGTTGAGGAGGCTATCAAGAGCCAAGCAGGAGAGAGTGCCACAGGATCTGCAGTCGCTAAGGTGACAAAGAAGCGTAAGCCTGAGGAGGATGATGAGGAGACCGCCGCAGAGGCCGCCCAGCGAACAAAGAAGGCCAAGGTCCTGGAAGAAAAGCTCAAGCGTGAGCGCGTCCGCAATCGCGCACTCATTGGTGTCTCTGCAGCTTTTGCTCTTGCGTGAGTATAACCTTGCCTCTGTCGGAATTTTTCCAAGTTATCATGCTAACCAATTCTTCAGTGCTTCCATTCCTTACCTCTTCTAGATCCTTCGACCATATCGAAGCTGGAGTCGGCGAAACCGACAATTCATTCCTATTTGGATTGATTTGTTCATCTTTTGCACTAAAGATATACCTTGAAATTACCCTTGATACCGCCTCGCTATTGAATCTTCTGAATTGTTGCTTCGCTTCTTTACGCTCAACGCCAGAGTTCCATTCATTTGCGATCCCTGATCTCTGCTATCCCCTCCCCCTCCAACATTCCCCTTGTCGCTACGATAAATATATTCCTCCTCGCCTATTCTTCACTTTGCTGTGTACTTGCCTCAAACATCACCATTTCTAATACCTGTTTTTACACTCTTGCGCGAGACTTGATCGTCCACGCAGCCCCCCACTAAAGAGACCATGTTGAATCTATTCACTCCAAACCCCCCCTCTCCCAAATTTTCTTTTCCCTCCTTCTCTCTCTCTGATACCAAATATCCCAACACCTTCTTTGTTCAAGTTTTGTCTAGCTTTCTTGGACGTCATGGAGTCAAAGAATGGTTAGCCTACTGATAGCTTCCAAAGTTTTTTCCCCCCAAGAAGGCCAATACTAGAAAGTAGAACATTATTTCGATCAGGTGGCTAGAGTGGAATAGTATCAGTATGATCCAATCCAATAAACTTGAAAGAGATCTGTGTTCTCTATATATTCTCAACTAGGCACCTACCTAAGGTACTAAGAGTTCGCGTTGCAATCCACAGATGCAAACAGTCCAAACCATCGGAGCTTCAACGCCGCGGATCTTCTCCGCTCCGCAACACCGACACCTTCCAAGGTTCAAGATTCTCCCACCTGGGCAGTTCTCCATATTTCGCCTCATCTGAATCTTCAAAGCCGGTCGCAATATGTCTCTCCCGGGCCTGGAGCTCACTCAGCCCTCAGAGGAGAGGCACCATGCCACCGCCCCTCCCTCACAAATCAACCTACCTCCAGGTTCCGAATGGAGATTTGAAGTCGCATTTGGGCACAGCATTAAGGTCAAGGTACGCGCACGTCCCTTTCAATCGTCATATCATGTACCCTGAATCTCACAAGGCTGTGCGCCTCTTACGATCTGCTGGTCTTGTGATTGACTGCACCGAAGCTTGGAAGACTAATATGAGATATCGTAGCTTCTTACCGGCACGGCCGAGCTCTTCGGCACCGAACTCGCCGAATCGCAGACATACACCTTTTGCGGAACGAAATCCGCAATCTACACTTGGTACGGCTGTGAATTAGAAGTAAGCGCCGGCGAAACGAACACAGCGACCCTGGATGGGGTCACGCCAACAGCTGGCCACGGCGCCGGAGGATGTCAGAGTGAATACGTCGCAGAGGAAACACCCATGGTAGAATATGCGAATGCCCATTTTGCACTCGAGACGATGCGCGACGAGACTCAGGATTCTGGCAAGGACGGACCTCGAGTCCTATTACTGGGCCCCGAAAACGCAGGAAAGACTACCGTAGCTAAGATTCTGACTGCCTACGCCACGAAGGTCGGCCGACAGCCGATTGCAGTGAATCTGGACCCGAGCGAGGGCATGCTCAGCGTCCCAGGAACTCTCACAGCGGCAGCTTTCCGAACAATGCTAGATATCGAAGAGGGCTGGGGTAGCTCCCCAATGTCCGGACCTAGCTCGGTGCCAGTGAAGCTTCCTCTTGTCTACAGCTACCCCCACCCCAGTCCCCTCGACGCCGATGGATCTGTTTACCGACCGATTGTGTCGCGACTGGCTTTGTCTGTTACTGGACGCATGGCCGAGGATGAAGATTCCCGCGAGACGGGGATTATTGTCGACACACCAGGGATCCTGAGCTCTGGAAAGCCAGGCACCTTGGAAATCATCAACCACATCGTCACGGAATTTGCCATAACGACAATCATAGTTTTAGGATCAGAAAGACTCTACAGCGACATGGTGAAACAGTATGACAACAAACCGAGCTCAAGCGCCTCAGCAGACGCCTTTGACGAACGCATTTCAGTCGTGAAGCTATCCAAGTCAGGCGGTTGCGTTGACCGCGACGCCGCATTCCTCAAAACCACCCGCGAATACCAAATCAAGTCTTATTTCTTCGGCACATCCGTCATTTCCCCTTCTCCAAATACAGTCACACTATCGCCCCATACGTCGCAATTAGACTTTGCCGCTCTCTCGGTCTACAATTACACTGTGACTTCGGCAGATGACGAAGAAGAAGATGAATATGATCCTTCCCAACTCAGCATGGGCGACTCCTTCGGCGCTGGCGATAATTATAATCCAGCAGAATCTGACCGCGCAACTCCTCTCCCCGGCATCGTCGGCCTCTCGGTCGATCCTGCATCCACCTCGAATCACACCGGTTCTAGCAGTATTCCCCTGAAAAAGGCTCTCCCACCAGCTCCCCAAGCATTGGCCAACACGCTGCTGGCAATAACGCACGCACCAACAACCGCCACACCCGCTCAAGTTCGCGATGCAAGCATTATCGGCTTCCTCTATGTCGCCAGCGTTGAACCGGAAAAGGGCAAGATTCACGTCCTCGCCCCTGTTGGCGGACGAGTACCACAACGAGCCATGATATGGGCCAAGCGTTGGCCCGATGAAGTGATCGGGTTGGTAAATTGATACCACCCGGCCCAGTATATTTAAAATCTTTCACACTTTGCATACCCTGATCTTGATCGTTCTGACAAGGTCCGAGGACTGGCGTTTGGGGACTGTTTTTTCGAACCTTATCATTTATGGTAAAGTATATAAATAAAACATTTTTCGCTTGTCTTCTGATGATATCCTTTTCCAGCCTTTTCCACCTCGCAAGACTCGGGAAATAAGGCTTTCTTGATATGTAACTCCCAAGAAAATAGCAGACTGTGCCCAGGTGTGAAGTACTCCAGCAACGCACCCGTAGATATTATGTGACTACCTAGGTGCTGTGGGAATATAGCTCGAGGCTTGGTAGGCCATCTATAGTAGTAATCAGTTCTACCTATCTATTTTGTCTACCTAGCTGCTCAGTGGTAGGATTCCTCACCGGCCATCAAAATTTTAGAGATGCACCACCAGTTTCCGAACGATTAGATATCTTGCCTACTACTACTAGTACTACATGGCAGCCTTAGAACGAACGCGGTTGGACCGTGGACTCGGAATTGTATGTGTCGGAATTGTATGTGCCTTAATGCCTGAAAGAAGTCGATAGGCTCGCCACCTTCCATCGTCTGGTTTATCTTCCGATGACAATAATAATCTTGAAAACTACACGAAAGGGAATCTCTGACTATTAAGAAGGGAGGATACCGCAAGCTAACCTAAGATGGCGCCTAAGATTACCCGCATCCAGCGGCTAAGTGCTGTCATCGGGATTTCTTTCTGCTTCTTTGTTGCTGAATTATCGGTTCAGTTCTTCTTGCGACGTCATTGAAATTAGGAATATGCCAGGATCTGATATAAATGGATTTATCGCACAGTCGGCTTCTATACCTATTCTCTAGCGCTGGTTGCAGATGCCTTCCACTACGTATGTTCATGCTTGAATCATCCCCCGAGGTCCCAGTATACTCACCAGTGTTTGCCCATCGTTTTCTCACCTGCTATAGCTAAACGATCTTGTCGGGTTTATCGTCGCCCTCTCGGCCGCTCTTGTGAGAAATGACGAGCGCCGTGACTAATTTGCAATATAGAATCATATACTGACTGAAAATAGTTCGCAGAAAAGCGTTCACCCCCCCAAAGCGCTCACTTTCGGCTGGCAGCGAGTGCAGCTGCTGGGTGCGTTCTTCAACGGAGTTCTCCTGTTCGGATTAGGCATTAGTGTCTTTTTGCAATCGATTGAGCGTTTCATTTCGTTGCAAGGTTAGTTATGACAATTGAGCAGCTCGGCCCTGGCTTACATCCTAGCAGAGGTGCAAAATTCGAAGCTGGTCCTGATAATGGGATCGGTTGGCTTCGGTCTCAATGTCATAAGTGTACTGTTTTTTCATGGTAATATAATGTCTTTTCAGGTTGCTATTTGCTCTCCGTTGATACTAATGGCATGGTAGATCATGACCACGACCACGACCACGACCACGACCATGGTAATGAGCACGAGCAGGACGGTGTATCTGGCCTTGATTCCAGCAGTCATGATTATTCAGAGGAAGCCTCACACATGCGTGACTCCGCAACTGTGGATCTAGTAGAACAGAAGGTTTGTGCAATTTCTGGAATATTGACTTAACAGGAAAGAGTATCTCGAGGGAAACAAGGGACGCCCAAGGAATCGGTAAGAGGTAACTGAGCCCTGAGGAACTACATCAGTGCAAAGTTGGATGTGGAAATTTATGCGTAGACCTTACTTGTTGCCTGTGAAATTGAATTCCGGGATCGATATGGTGATTATATACGAAATCTCAACGAAATTCATCGCTTTTGTGCGTGTTTCTTTCAAAAAATGGTAGTTTACAGAGATGAAATAGTAAGAACCATAGCATGGCGTTCCTTCAGGCCATTTGTGCCACTTTCACACTCAAAGACCTTGACAAATTTCTGGCGACCATAAAAGCCATGTCGGACTTCCTTCCGAGATATTGAAGCGCACAAATACAAAACTCGCAATTTTGTTTGAACGAATTCGCTAACCCACTATGTTCCCCCGGCAGATTGAGACTCTCAATAGAGATGTGAGCCGATTTGGCAAAGGAGTGGATCAAAACCACGGTCCAAGGCTCGACCAGAAATGCCACTTCATTGAGCGAATCGTGGAAGTTGGCATACATAGAGGGATTTTGACCCTGAAGCGAAGCACGGGCAAGGCTGCCAACCGCAAAGGCATGCTCTGTTCTTAACGTTGAGACGAAATTCGTAGCTTTGCGGGCTACCCGCTCATGCTCTGAGCCAAGTCTTCCCTTATCAATGCCCTCGATCGTATCTGCCAATAGCATGATTGAAAGATGCCAGTGGCCGTCGAGTATGACGTACCATGACTGTATGCGCGATGGTAGAAGCTCATGGTTCTCGACACAGTCGAGCATGAACCTTTGATATGAGTAATTCCAATGCTGATAGACTAGAAGAGTCTTTTGAACAATTTCTTCGAGCTTATCAGAGCTAGCACCTCTATAAACAAGAGTTTGAAGCTGCGTGACTCGACGATACAGTAGAACCTTGACGGGGGTTGCTTCTGAAAGAACCGCTGCAGCCTCTTCATAGGAGCATGGCCATCTTACATGAATTTGACCAAGATCATCACGTTCGGCAGAGGGCTGAAGGAAAAAGTCGTCCCATACATCCTTTTTCATGCGAGTGCTATTTTGCGAAATGCTGCCGCGTTGAAGCTGGTCCTTGACCTCGGAAACCGCAGGAGAGCCTGAGGAAATTTGACTATCCTCATCCGACACAACAAGAGGACGCTGGTACATCGCTGCACTGAGCGTGTCAAACATAATTCCAAGCCAGAATAGAAGACCAAGCGTGCTCCTGTGCTCCTGGCTAGCTAGTATAGGATCAAGCTGTCTTGGCTCCGAAGCATTCAAAGATTCTGGATCATCGGCAAATGTTGACCCAATTGACCCCCTCCGGAGCTCTGTTATTTTAGGGGGGAGTTTCCCGACTAAGCCGCACGAACTTGTGGCGAAATGTATAAAGCTGGCGATTGGCGGCTTCTAGAAATGTTGGTGCACCGTCGTTTTCTAGGAGCTGGCCTAAGCCTATGTCCTGTGAATGATCCAGCGGGCTTTGCGTCAAAGAAAATATAATGTTGGCAAATATGACTCGGAATGAAGGAATTCTCGTCGAATGCTCAAGGGCATGTCTTGCTTCGTTCCAAACATACTCTCTGATGGAACGTTCGTCACGGGAGATAGGCTCTGGGACAGAAAGCCCTGTACCCTTCGCTGCATGTTGGGTCCACTGAGATGCGAATGCAATAATGGCAAGATGTAGAACACGAGCTGCGGTTCTATCTTCTTCTCCACTCAACGCTCGACCTCTTATTGACGAAGATACACGATCAAGCTGACATACTCGAATGCACATCCTGTTCGACCAATTAGGACCCCACTCCTTCCTTTCTCCGGTTGGGAGAATTGTGCTGATCGAGTCGCTGTAGGGACAGTTGTGCTCTGTCAACCAGCATGATAACGCATTTTCCATACTATCATGATATATGCGAATCAAATTGCGTGTCATTGTAGAGCGGGCGTATTGGTTTGCTGTCTGTTCAGAAGAGATGCAAAAGCTAGATGGGATTTCTTGATTGGATCTTCGGTTGACGCCGGGAGCTGACGAATATTTGAGACCAATCTGTTTGCACGATGAGGCCGTGGACGAAAAAGAAAGAGGACTGCTTTCATATTGAGACTCTTGCTCATAGTCAAACTGATCGACAAGCGCATTTGCTAAGGGGTCATAGAAGTCCGTCTGAGTTTCAACGCTGGTGAACTCCTCTTGGGAAACCCGGCTCGCAATGTCAGTTTGCCAGTTGACTGGGATGTCTAATCCCCAGGGAAACAAGTCAGACTGATCGAGACTCGAGCTTGTGCCTTCTGATCCATCAAAATTAGCTCCTTGTACAGGCGATGGAAAGGCAAAAGCAAATTTTGAGATATCGCCTGGGGTAAGTGTGTCGTCGAGGTCAATTGGGTGCCATTGAAAATCGCGGGGGAGTTCATATAAATTTTCGTTTCCAGGAATATTATCACTCGAATGCTTATTCATAGCTTGAGTCTTCCCTTTACGGCGAGTTCCGAGAGAGTCCACACGCTTCGAGGATACCCAGTCGAAAGTGCACTCCTTCTTCCATCGCTTACAGTTGGAGCAGAGACTGAACCCGCTGTCTTTTCGGTTTTTCTGCGTCCTGATGTTAGACCAGACTGCTGATATCATAGATTTGCTCACAAACCGGTGCATCGCAACGCCGTTTTCCTTTGCGACAGGGGTCGCAGCTATGTAGCTGGCGTCGGCGTGTGTCCTCCATTGTGGAGGGAGAATATGGAGGCCGTTATTTCAGTCGCTTAGAATAGGAGTGTCTGAGCGATGGTCTATGTTATTTGTATATGCATGTAGAGTCGGACAGATGCAGAGCTCGACGTCCCTTCCCCTGGCCGTGCGACATCAAGATCTGTGGGGAATCATCATTGTCGAGTTTGCGGGGTTGCTGCGGGGCGAGCGTCTGGGGCACCTCCTTCGGGCCAAAGGAACCCGTTCGAACGCCCTCATTCGTCACTCGTTACGAAAATGGAAAGAGACCCAATGGTAAAATTTTCTGACTTGATTCTTGAAATATTAGCTTTGCAGAGGATAGATCCGTTCGTGACATTCCTCGGTGAACCCGATAGATCGGCAGATCGACAAAAATGACCTCCTTGGTAGGATTGTCCAAGCGGCAATGACTAGTGGAGACAAAATCCTACTTTCTAGAGCCATGAACGGACTGTCTGAGTCTTTCACACCGGGGCGAAAATTTAATGGCATCATTTGAAATTTGAAATTTTTTTTTCTATTTGTTCACCGTGACTGGAGATTATCTTGCAGAATTGAAATACTAAGTATGCCTATATCTATAGTTAACTACAATGTACTCGGAGTACAATATTTGGAACACAAAGCATCAAAGACTTACACCCTCATAGCGAAAAATGAAAAATAACGGAGAAAACTTGAAGTAATATCAATGTGGCTTTAATTCTCTATCTATAATCAACATGTATAGACGGTAAGAGAAATTGAGAACAGGGTGGTGCGGCGAAGTAGTCTCATAAATATTACAGACTGCCTATCAGACTGGCTAAATAATTAAAAAAATGCATGTAATACCAGCTACTAATAGCAAAAAACTCGTAAAGATTTGCCATTTCGACCAAGGAGCTTTTAGAAGCGAAATTCGGTGATGCTGATAGCGACGATACACTTCAAGAGCTGCCATAATCACCAACAGCAGCAGGATCCTCGATATCGCATCTGTCATTGCCCCTTGAAAGCTATTAGAATAGGGTCTAATCTGGGAGAACGCGACTTTGGGAAAAATACTGACTTCTTTTTACAAGTTTCCCATAACGTTCCCAGGTCGCCAACAGGCAAGTGGAAGGGAAAGTCCAAGGCCTCAAAAAGCTGAACGATAAGCAGATAAAATCCAAGAAGACTAGCCACAAAAAGCGAAGCTCCAGCGCCCTGTAAATATTCAATGTTTTAGCGAATGTGCACTCTACCAAAAAAGAGACTTAGACATGAACATTTACTTACCTTAACACAACGGTCGCCGACGGCAGCGTCGCCATCAGCCAGTCTCCAGTAAGCAGAAGAGAGGAGAAGGAAGACCACAAGAAGAGACAGGAATATCAGGGTGTAAACGACATTCGTGCGTGTCGCGCAGATCATGAAGATTAACATGAGAACTGCCATGGTGATGAATAGAAAGGCTGAATTGATCTGTGAGAAACTCTTGATATGGCCTCCAATTGATAATCCGCACTAACCATACGTAGTCATAAACCCAGGGCTTGAGAGCCCAGCAACTGTATCAGAAGCCGACGGTGAATAAGGTGCTTTGAATATGTGAGAAATTTGCGCGTGAGTATGTAAAATCATTAAAAGGCTAACCTGCGGCATTGAAAGATGGAATCATAGAGGCTGCAAATGCAAACCAAAATCCCCCTGTCGAATAATATTAGCGAAGTGGGGTATCGGGCGTAGAAAATTGGATTCTCACCGATAGTACCAAATACAACACATGGGAAGGTGTTTCCTAAAACGAACTCAAGGATGCTCGTTATGAGCAGCAAAAGTCCTCCCAGGAACACGATGGGCCCGCTTTTTTGTTAGTTAGATATTTTGTCATATGTAGTATCAAAGCTTGCACTCTTACATAAACGCAATTCCATTTCCGCTAGCTCCCCTCCAAGCCATTAGGCAGCACGAAAGCGGAGTTGTGGTGATAACGAAACCCCCCAATGCTCTGAGATATATCTTCATGTTATAAAAGACATCATAATAGTAAAGGGATGGAGTAGAGGGCTCACAATGGTGTTGGATTTCCGACCTGCTTGGCAAATTTGGGTTGTTGGCGAGTCATTGGTGTCAGATAAAGCCTCTCAAATTGCTCAGCTGACAAAGTCACTGACGTAGGGACTGTTGAAAGAGCATGCGTTTTATTTTCTTCAACTTGAGATGATACTTTCGTATCTCCATTGTCGATGTGGTTGTTGTTCATATTGAATATTTGGGCTACTCCTGGGATGAAAATGTCAAAGGCAAACGAAAATTAACAAACGAGGACGGGATAATGAAATCCTCTGATTGATAGGCTTTTAAACAGTGATGGGTGAGCAATCCCTTTAATAGAATTTTCACTAAACATGTTTCGCCTCAAAATAAACTGGGAGCGGTAAAAAGGAAGCAAGATTGGGTTCAAGTTGGCTTCGGCCCAAGTCCTCATTGCCAAAATTTTCGGGGTTACGGAGAAACGGAGGGGTAGCTACATGCTACTAGCCACGGATTAAATTTCAACGAATGGTTCTAGTTTGACTGGAGGGAGAAACTTAGAAATTTTAGTTTACTTCATGAAAGATTTATCGGCTAGTTAAGTTTATCCAATTAAAATATGATCAGCAATCCCACTTCTATACCCCTGAATGTGTAAAACTTCTAGGCTGATGTTGAAATCCCTCCTTCCCCAAGCCCTCCAGCTTCTTATTTTCAAGCCGAAGAAAAAGCCCCGGAGCAAGATTGAGCCGAACGCAGTCCCGAGGAATACGAACTCCGGGAGACGAATTGTATTGGCTGCGATAAAAGACAGCGAGTGAGCAAGATTGCTCGCGCCTGATGTTTGATATTATGACAGGCAAGAATTGCGATTCGATTCAAAGACAAAGACAAGGAATCGACAAACGGACCAAATTTAAGGAATTGCTGATGTGAGGTAAATCCCTGAGAAACGACTGAACTCTGGAATCCTGTGCAATATGAGAGATATTGCCGTGGGCTGATCGGCCGGTGCTCATAGCTACGTGGCGGATAGGATAAGAGGAGAAAAGTAGAACACTAGAAAATACGTGGGTACCGAGTCCAGAACTTTCAAAGGTGGGTACTAGTATGTAAGTGATGGAAAGTAGAGGATATCCTTTTCGCCTTTTTTTCTGGAGGATATTGAACAGATCGAAGGACCGGCAGGTGAAGGGTAAATTCAATCGAAGAGCCCGTGTTAGAGGCTTGGAATCTTGGAAGACAAAGGACCAGGGTCAAATTTTTGAAATCAAGGGACAGGGCACCACGAAAGAAGTTATCCAGTGTAAATGGAGGGATGAAACATATTTAAAACGGATTCAGATTTGATTGATGATTGATTGAGTGCTCAACTTGAAGGGGCCGAACCAGTTCGGCACCAATCATGGAGCTTAATTTCAAAATCTTAATCACTTATCTCAAAATATGAAGCCTTGTATAATTGAAAGCCAGACCAGCTCGATCTCCAGAAACTGATGATTTCGCTGCCAAGACTCCGGACTCGTAAAGTTCAGGGGATGCGGAGGTACTGGTGCTATGCGGAGCCGCACTGCCGGACGGCCCCGCAATTTCCGGGGTGCTGATTTGAGCCTAATGAAAGGAAAATAATGCGGGTATAGAGCCTGAGATTGCGTTTGTTCTTTGCAATCAGCTAATATAACAGGAAACGCCTGTCGATAGAGTTTTCGGTAATGATTTGGAGCCATCAGAAGATACTATATACTACTAATTGCACTGCGCATGAACGGGAACATGAAAGGGATCGTGTGCAGTGCATATTTATCAGAGGTTTTCCAACTCCACTGGCGATTCTTCTCACTCAGGCTTAGTGCAACCTTCTCCAAAATCGAAAAATCAAACATACTTCTCCCTGCCAATTTGTCACACGAATGAGTTCTGAAGAGACGATACGCCGCCGGAAAAAGGCAAGGAGATCATGTTTAAAGTGTCAGAAATCACATAAAACATGTGGTATGGTTGATCATATTGTTGCTCTAAGATTATTGTCATAACAAACGGAAATAGGAAATGAGAGGCCATGCAAGCAATGCACCAGGCGTGGAATACCTCTCAGCTGTGTTGATGGTAGTCACAAGCTTCCTAAGTACCTGTCTGGTTCATCAATCAAAACCATTACTGGGCAACTCTATCCGACTCCTCCACATCACCAGGTGACTCGAGCCCAGCAGAATTTTGATATAGATATGACAAGTCAGTATGTGCTCAGCAGAAATGTTCCTTGTCCTATTATATGCTAATATTGGCTAGAGACCAATACTATAGCCATTACGAACCGACCTGGAAAGAAGAACTTCACGAAAATAGCAGACACTCGCTGGAAATTGACCATGTGGAGTTTGTGGACCCTCAATTGCTTCACAACAGCTTTCCATATACAGAGTTAGGTAGCTCTGGGAAGTTAGAAGCCCCGCTGGACAAAATGGATGATGCAGCATATTTTACCAGGAGACAACAATATTCCCCAGTAGTCAACAGTCATACTCAGAAGGGGCTTGCTGAACAAGAAATCCCAAATTCTGCTCCCGGGAAGATTTTCAGTGATAATTGGAACATATCATCTACGGTGGTAGGGATTTCCGCTTCAAATTTCGACAGAGGTGATTACGGAGACAGCTCTGGTGATAGAGACCACAGTACTACGAACTTCGGGTTCGCCATTAAAAGTGGCTGGTCGAGTACATTTCTTCATCTAGAGGAGACTGAAAATCTGAATGGCGGTGATATCGAATGGTAAATAGAAATCTCTAAGAAAAAATATAAACTCTAATGCGTTCCAAATGTTTCTCAAAAAAATAAATTCCTAAAACAAGAGCCTCCCAACCTTGAGTGGCTCACTTCGCGTAGGTCGAAAATCAATGCCATAATCTTAGTTGTTTTGATTATTACCCCTAAGCATATGGACATCAAAGCTGGAGCTAGCGGCTGCGATTCCCAAAAGGTCCTCTTGCCCGATAGGATGCGAAAATAATAAGTTGTGGAGTTGTGGGGGTCGAACTTGGACGTTCGTTGGTGGTTCATGCGGAGCCGCACGGGGCCCGTGCACCCAAACCCCGCAAAACCTTCCCGCGTGGGCTTTGATGTGCAAACATCCGGCGAAGCTCCGAAAGGAATCATTTGCAAATGCGTCTTGTCAACTTGAGACTGTGCCAAGTATACAGTGTCTTATTACAGGCTCCGCTTACCCGGCTTCATTCGCCGAAATTACAGATGATGCACGCAAGGTGGCCCAAGGCCGATGTTCATTTTCCCCGATCTCCGATGATCTTTTCGGCACTATGAGCCAACTATTTAAGTATTGCTTTCACGCTGCGCTGAGGACACAAAAATTTCATTTGATCAAAGATTAATCCATCAATTCGATTCCAACATACTTTTTCTCTCAATTCATACAACCAACCTATCATCATGTCCGTACCCGAAATGCAATGGGCGCAAGTGGCCGAGAAGATCGGAGGTCCACTGGTATACAAGCAGATTCCAGTTCCAAAACCTGCCCCAGATCAGATTCTTGTGAAGATCCGCTATTCTGGCGTTTGCCATACCGATTTGCATGCCATGATGGGCCATTGGCCGATTCCGGTCAAAATGCCTTTGGTTGGAGGGCACGAAGGCGCTGGAGTGGTTGTGGCCAAGGGTTCTTTGGTCGAAGGATTTGAAATTGGTGACCATGCTGGTATAAAGTGGCTGAATGGATCGTGCAACGAATGTGAATTCTGCCGTCAATCAGACGACCCACTGTGTGCTCATGCACAGCTTTCTGGGTATACCGTGGATGGGACTTTCCAGCAGTATGCTGTTGGTAAGGCTACTCATGCTTCAAAGATCCCTAATGGTGTCCCACTAGATGCAGCTGCGCCGGTTCTCTGTGCTGGTATCACCGTTTACAAGGGCCTGAAGGAATCCGGAGTGCGTCCCGGTCAGACGGTTGCAATTGTTGGAGCTGGAGGTGGCCTTGGGTCCCTTGCTCAGCAGTATGCCAAGGCTATGGGAATTAGAGTGGTTGCTGTAGATGGAGGTGATGAAAAGAAAGCCATGTGTGAGCAGCTAGGTACTGAGGTAATACAATGACCGGTAATTTGACAAAAGAACGGATTGATGCTAATTGACATTAGACTTATGTTGACTTTACAAAGTCTAAGGACCTTGTTGCCGATGTAAAGGCTGCAACCCCCGATGGCCTCGGAGCTCATGCAGTTATCCTCTTGGCAGTCTCCGAGAAGCCCTTCCAACAGGCTACCGAATATGTCCGCTCCCGTGGAACGATCATCGCTATAGGATTGCCACCAGATGCATACCTGAAGGCCCCAGTTATAAACACCGTGGTTCGCATGATCACTATCAAAGGAAGCTATGTTGGTAATAAGCAAGATGGTGTGGAAGCTCTCGACTTCTTTGCGCGAGGCTTGATCAAAGCCCCATTCAAACTGGCCCCTCTCAAGGACCTCCCGAAGATTTTCGAGCTGATGGGTATGTGTTTTCGATCTTTATACTGAGTATGAGTGTTAATGATTAGTAGAACAAGGAAAGATTGCCGGTCGGTATGTTCTCGAAATGCCAGAGTAAGATGAGGACATAGTATTTCTTTGCCTAGGCAAAATGTGTGATGCGGTCACGGTTCATTGGGAGTGTCGGTTAGGGGAAGGGGCTCTGTTTGGTTTTTTCCACTCCTTTTAGGAATTTCCATATCAAGTTGGAACGTAAGAAATCTCACTTTATTTTCATAATTAATTGTCCGGGTGCAAGAGCTCTGCAGCTTTCCAGTTCTAGTCCTTTAGAATAAAAACTATGCAACACCCGAGTTCCAACCTTATGCCTACTGGCAGGTGCCTTCAACCTTGGAACTTCCAAGGCTCACATCATCCAAGTCACTGGGCATCTCAATCAACTTCGAAGTATAAAATATAGAGTGATTGAAGAAATCTCACTTTATCCCGCGCATTTTGGCGAAATGATCCTGGACCTTGGAAAATTACAGAAACCTCGAAGCGTGCAACCTTACATACTACTATTAGTACTATAGTTATGATCATCCCTCCAAGTTTGTCTCAGAATTCACATCATGATCCCTCATTATTCCTCCGCCTACCTAGGTACCCTAGTAGCTGTCCTCCGTCTCAAATCTACGCCCTTGAGACATTTCGGCAAAATGTGGCATTAGCCCTTCTACTTCATTTTCTTTCATTAAACATCAAAAACCAACAATTTGTTAAAAATCCATATCACAGCTCTATCGGGGATTGAGCACCCTTCGAGATTTCTTCAGGCGCCCATCGTCTTCAACACAGTCTTTCCATGTCTTTCTCGATGACCAGCAAGGACTGCAATAAATGGATACCTCAGCTTCTGAGCCTCTCGGTGCCAATCCAACCCTATAATTTCAGTCATCACTTGAATAGCCGTCCAGAAAAAGGGTTGACTTACTCGCAAATAAAGGCAGTGGGGTCCGGGCATGCAGAAAACTCCCTGTGAGCTAAGTATCAGCATTCATGTCACCTCTGACTTATTCACGAGGACGGAGTTCATACTTGATCAACTCTGCATCCTGCAGAACAGCACAGTTCTGATACAGACGCCGCGCAAGAAAGGAATCTACGCGAGGAATCTCTTGACACATGATGTATAGCTTTGCAGAAACACCCTCAGCAGGGGACTTCGAGGATAATTTTGTCCCAATCTCGTAAAGGAGAAGACAGTATTTGGGCCCTTTCCCTGGCTGTGAGTCTTCAGGTCCTACCAGAGAGCCCCAGAGGCTTTTGCACGTGTCCCTAAATGCCTCTGGTAGAGATATTGTGTCGTTCAAGCTCAGATGGGGCTCAATATCGCTGAAGTCGTTGGTCCCAGAGAAAATCCGCCGAGCATAAATTTTCACCCGGGCTTCCGGGAACTTGGTCGCGTCCACCGATAGCATTCTGGGCTGCAGGATATCTGGGTAACTATTGAAATGATTTTCAATATTGGTCCAGTTTTGAATAATTCCCGAAAATATCGTAGGACTATTGTCCACACACGATGCGAGCATATATCGTACACCTTGAACAAGTTCCGGCGTCTTTTGACAACTCGGAAACAACCAGTACATTTTGGCGAATGACACCGAATCGACAAGATCAAACCCGACAAAAACCGCTGATGGCGAGCATTTCTTACACGGCTCCGAATGAGTCTTCTGCTCATACACCATCATTCTTTCAGTGATATGGGACCATAGCTTTGGGAAGGCACGCAAAACGAGCTCGCCTTTAGGGGATTGAGACACACGATCAAGGATTGTAATAACCTCAATGGCACTCTTAAAGCCAGCCATCCTGGATACTTCGAGATCAAAAGGAATCACATCCGTCACGTAGCGAACGATTGGCTTTCCACCTTGAAGTTTGCTTTTCCAGCAACAACTGACCTCGAAAGGGGTGTGGTCGTTGGTGAGTGATGAGGGATATTTCATAACAGCGAGACCCGTGTCTGGATTATATGAGGGACCAGGCCCCAGCCAGCGGGTAACATGGTTGCTGAAAAACTCCAAATGGCGGTTCTTGTCTTCTTTCGTATAGCAGCCATGAAAGACTAACGTGTCCCTCAGGTAGGGCATGAGGATATCGTTCCAGCTCTCGGGATAAGTTGGCCCAGAATCGGACCCATTGGAGGGTGCTATCTATGGTTTAATTAGCCTTCATATTCTATGAGTGTGAATCACGTACAAAGTGACCAAGATCGGGCTCCATAAGTCCCACCGCGGTAGAAAGAGTGTCTATAGCTCCCATTGTAGCAGCGGTCGTTTCAATGCGGCAGTGAAAGACTTCTCACCCCGAGAACTTAAGAGCATTCTATTAAACTGAGGGGTAGTACTTTATCACTCGCACTGGATGATTTATAGTCGCCCCAATCTCCTTAAAATTTTATTTGGTAAATCGGGTCAATTCGGAACATCCGTATTGTAACATGTCAATACTAAATAACCCCTGAAGCGATGCAACGCTCTCAACGGCGATATTCTGGATAGCTCTTCAATCAATCATGTTAATTGGTCACCTCGGGACTAGTCAGTACGAATACCCTGCGATACGACACATTTGGCAATCAAGTAAAATGCGTCATGCGGTAGAGAAATTGGTTCAGACTTTCGTAGGATCAAATCCTGGCTACAAGGTCAATCGATCACGGCCCACTTAGCTAAGGAAGGGGGAGCGGTCACTTTGGCTGTTCATTGCAGGATCATGACAGTCCGTTACGTATTTGAAAGCCCCGTCAATTTTGGAATCCTTGAAGATAATATTAGCAAATCTGCTGACAGGCAAACATCTTCGTTGTTCCCTAGCTTACTTGGCGTTTCCTGTCAACGGGCCGTGTCAACCTTGGAAAGCGGGGCAAGGCTATGATTCCGTGAGGCTAGTTAATCAATTTCCAACGCAGGCAAGGTTGGGCTGAATACTAGTCCCAGTTGGCCTTAAGCGATACCTTGAATTGAGAAGCGTGACGGGAGAAAAACAACTTCAAGTGATGTGGCCGGAATGTTGGAAAACATACTACCAAGGTAGGATCTGATCGTTCAAGTTTTAAGGTTTCTAAGGCTGTCCACGGCCCTCTCTTCATCATTCTGGACTCGCAAATATAGAATGGAGAATATTCGGCGGGCTTTCTCCATAGCTAAAAAGGAGACTCGGGCGGCCGGGATCGCTTTCACAATGGCGAACTACCCCGTCATAAGCGAGGGCATTGATGTTCTCCTGGGAATGCAATTAGGAGGGATTGGTAAGTGAGCGGTCTCACGAGACCCGTTCATCTACCCACTGCTTACTGTAACGAATATCCAGATATTATCGAGCTGGGTATTCCATTCAGCGATCCGGTTGGTGATGGCCCTATAATCCAAGACGCACACGCTGTCGCCTTGCGAAATGGTACTTCTGTCTCCACAGTTTTAGAAGTAGTTCAGACCGCTCGAACTCGAGGATTGCACATTCCAATTGTGCTTATGGGCTACTGCACTCCTGTCATACACTATGGGGCACCAAAATTCATTTTGGAGGCAGCACGGGCAGGAGTTGATGGGTTTCTGATTGCCGACCTTCCTTGCAAGGAATCTGTGGGATTTCGTGAGTTATGTGTGAAAGCTGGGTAGGTATTCTGATCTGATGAGCCTCTGGAACCGGAAATTTACCAAAGGAGAAACCTCCAGGGCTACCTTACTTCACAGCTGATCATGTGGCAGATTATCGTACATTCCGGTCATAGCACCCAATATGTCAGACTCAGGCCTTCAAATGGCTTGTGAAACTGCTGATTCTTATCTTTACGGGATCTCGAGAATGGGTGTGACTGGTCCCAATGGAGAAAGAAACAGCGCCGAGCTTTGTCAGTTCATACAGCGATTGCGAAAGTTCTCCAAAGATACTCCGCTTGCCCTAGGACTCGGAGTTAGCACAAGAGACGATTTTCTAACAATGCAAGATCTTGCTGAAGGGGTGGTGTTTGGCTCCCAAGTCATTGCTGTTCTCGGTCAGGCACCGCCAGGTCAACGAGCACAGCGGATCCAAGAATTTTGTTCCCACCTCACTGGCCGACTCTGTGTTAAGGCAGTTTTCGAGAGGATACCACCTGAGCCAAGGGCAAATGTTCCTCTTCTAGCGGGTCATTCCACAGCCAGAAACACTGTTCTTCCAAGTACGTTTGACGATTACGGGGGGCAATACATCCCAGAATTGCTCATGGACTGCCTAATGGACCTAGAACAAATCTTTGTGGATTCTTACAAGGATACTGGGTTTTGGACAAAATATTGGGCTCACTTCCCACGAGGCCAAAGTCCAACTTCTCTTCAAATGGCGAGTAATCTTACGCGGAAACATGGCGGTGCAAGCATCTGGCTTAAACGAGAAAACCTCAAACACACAGGAAGCCACAAAGTACATAATAGCCTTGGCCAAGTTTTACTGGCAAAGATGCTTGGGAAGACTCATGTTCTGGCCGAATCCGCGTCAGGAAATCATGGTGTCGTGACAGCAGCTCTGTGTGGTCAGTTCGACATGGAATGTGTTGTCTACATGGGTGCTCGGGATTATCGCCAGCAAAAGAAAAAGGTGTCGGAAATGAAGCTCTTGGGGGCCACCGTAGTGTGTGTGGGCTCTGATTCAGAAACAGTCAAGGATGCCATCAATGAAGCATTACGGGCGTGGATTGGTAAATTACCAACGACTCACTATGTTATTGGTTCTGCAATCGGACCACATCCTTTCCCACTCATTGTTCGCTCTTTCCAGTCCCTGGTGGGAGAGGAGGCAAGAGCACAAATAATAGAGGCTACATCCCATCCTCCAGATGTGGTGGTTTCGAGCGTGGACAACGCGGTTGGCTTCTTTCATCCCTTCTCCAAAGACGCTAGCATCAATCTTGTAGCCGTCGAGCCTGAAGGTTGTTTGTCGGGCACTACAGGAGATGCTTCTTCGGTGACCCGAGGCATCTACCATGGAGCGCGGACATATGTACATCAAGACGACAATGGCCAAATTCTACCGTGGCAATCAATGCCAGGGCGACTTGCCTACCCGGCTCTCGGGCCTGAGCTGAGTAGCTGGAAGGATAGCGGCAGAGTACAGTTCATGGCTTGCACTGATACGGATAAAATGCTTGGTCTGCAGGAACTTGTAGAGACAGAGGGGATCCATCTTGAAGCAGAGTATGGCTATGCAGTACATGCTGCGATAGAGCTTGCCAGGACTATGGAAAGCGGGACCAATATTTTGTTGTGTGCGACGGAAAAAGACGCCAACATGGATTTTGAACTGACACTGTGATGAACTATTGTAAGCGAGACGGTTTAACAGCTGCAAGTGATATACTGCTAGTATTAGGGTCGTTTTTATAGGGAGCTGTGAATATTTGATATATGACAGTACCAAAGTGAATTGATTGAGGTCTTGAGATTTAAAAACCAGTGATCTCTATTACCACCAGGGCTCGTTATAAAAATGAACTTGTATCGCCTAAAGCCCTGTATTACCCACATCATCATTCCCTAAACTACCTAGGTACATTGCATTCATGTGTCAGTCAGTCTCCGATTGCGACCCGAAACTTTAATGTCTGATTCAAGTTCATGGAGAGAAATGCAGCATTCAAAAATGGTTGAAATGCGTATTTGGCTACGAGGATAGCATGAGCGATAATTGGCTCAGAATCAGTCGCGCAGGAAGCTCGCTTCGAATGGATAGTGAGTTAACAGTTCATAGCCGGTCCCTGTCACGAGGAGTTGGTTCTCCAGCTTGATACCACACTTGCCGCCGACTTCTCCGACATAGGCCTCGACGGATAAAACCATGCCCGGTTGCAGCTCTCCTTCGTAGCCAAAAGATTCCAAGTCTTCCGGGTAGCGAATGCTCGGGTACTCGTCGCACAAGCCTACACCATGGAACATCACAGCATAGCGCTGAGGACGACAGCTTTCAGGCAGGCGGTGACCGTTGCGTGTCAGCTCCGTAAAGCGTACCCCGGGCTTGACCATCTCGATGTTGGTGGTTATATGTTCATGGGCTATGCGATACAGACGTTTCTGTTCTGCCGTAGGTTCGAGGTCGCCGCAGATCCAGCTGCGCGACATGTCCACGCACATCCCGTATACACCGATGAGGTCGGTATCGAATGATACCAGGTCTCCGTCGTGAATTACTCGCGGCCCGCACTCCTGATACCAAGGGTTGGTGCGCGGTCCGGAGCTAAGTATGCGTGTTTCAATCCATTCGCCACCACGGCGGATGTTGCCAGCGTGTAGAGCAGCCCAGACATCGTTTTCTGTGGCGCCGGCGCGCATAGCCTGGCGCATCTCGCCAATCGCGGCTTCACAAGATGCGACTGCGCAACGTATAGCCCTGATCTCATCTGGACCCTTAATCTTCCGAGCATGCTCAGTGACAGTCTGCCCGTCACAAACTTCCACTCCCAGCGCTTCCAAGGCACGTAGGCCTGCGACTTCAATACGGTCCACAGCTAGCCGACGGTTATTACCGGCATGCTTTTGAAGTAATTTGTCAACTTGCAAGCAGAAGCGCGTGGCATGTTCACTGGTACGGTCGGCTGTTTCAAAGTAGAAGAACGATGCGCCACTTCGCAGTTCTTTGATTAGTGGTAGATGTGCAGTAAGATGCTCACAGCCATGGAAATCCCAGAGGACCATATAACCGCTAGCTGCAACAAAGCAGGCGCGGGCAGGATTGTGTGTGGTCCACACTTGCATATTGGTGGAGTCGGTGGCGTAACGAATGTTGAGGGGATCAAATAGTAGGATACCACCTAGGCCGCGGTCGTTCAACTGATCACATATGCGCTTCAGACGAAACGCGCGCATAGTAGGTAGGTGGGGCGGCTGCAAGCCAAGATGCTGCCACTCTGCGAACGCCAACGGAGTAGGTCCGATTTCTACGCGGTCGTTGTCGTTGGCAGAGCCATCTGGTTTGAAAATAATTGTGGGCGCCCGGGTCGGGTCGATACGGCGAGAGTGAGGAGGAATGGAGCACGGTGAGTTCAATTTTTCGATCATCGTGGATGGAACTTGCTCTTACAACAATCGAGAAAGCTGTGCACAAGATGACCGAGCATACCTTTCCTCTCTGCCAGCCAGATAATAGTGTGAATTGACAAAGACGCAGAAGATTTGAATTTGGAAATAAAGGCTCCTCTTATAAGTAACAGCTGGGTTCTGAGGCATGGTTTTTTGGAGGCAATCCGCATCCGGTAATGTAGTGTAGTAGCCGGGTGGTCGAACCAGATAGACTGAGTAGTCGGGTTCCATTCCCAAATTCGAATGCAGCAAGATCATCGTGTGATTGGCAGTTTTCAAGTGGAGCAGTTCGCTGCACTATAAATAATTTACCTTGACAATAAATAGGCAGTTGCTTCAGACAACGTCCACAGGTCACGCGGATGGAAGCATCAAAGCTTTTATCTAGTCTAGTCGACTCAGTAGCAGTACAACAACTATTGGAGGTCCATGTATCACGCATGATTCAGCTCAGCCTAATGAGGCTACCTGGGTAAATGAAAGCAAGTCCGAAAAACGAGACGACTCCAAGGCTAAATTGAGATCACAATAAGTGCATGCCAGACAGCAGAATAGGTTGGTTTCTGATACTTTAAAGTAGGCTTGCGCCACAGAAAAAGGTTCAATTTTTTACAGATAAGCAACGGTGCTTTGAGCTATGTGAGAGTATTGTCAAAGTTTGAAAACATACACAGAGCCAATAGATCGAAATTCAGAAAGCTGTTACCAAAATATCCATGGATCGAATAACATATCGTCTGAGACTTTGCGGCAGCCATGCTCTACAGCCATCATATGTGATACAGTTACGGCAGGAAACTTCAAGTTTCAAGAAATGAGAGTCACTTACACGTGTTGAATATACCTAGGTGTACACTATCTGGCCAGTGTGGATGCAATGCATTAGCGTGCATGGTGACAGTGCTAGAAATAGTACAATCTGAAGACAGCAAAATTGACATGTAAATCCTCTTTAATTTAAATAATGATCTAACGCAATGTCCATGCATGATTATGATCTGGATTGTAGAGTTGGCATCATGATATTTTGGGCCAGAAATTGTATATCAAGCCCGGGAAAGGAAGCCGGCAGAAGTTGGAGATACCGATATCCTGTGATCCAAATCAAGAATGATAAAGTAGCACTTGGGCATTTCCCCACCTGGGCTGGGCACATAACAGAGGTCTCGAACATGAAGCGCAACCGACCTCGGGAGAGAGACCCGTCGGAGTCGTCGGATCGGTTGATCGCCGAATAGGTAGTACAAGTACAGACCTACTAGTATACCACGAATCTCGCAAAACCGCACAACCGCCCGGGCGCCCGGGCGGGTCATACATTCCGAGTCCTGATGCTATACTCCAATGTCATATCCAAGTATATATGGGACCCAATGGCTTGGTACTAGTAGTATTACTGACCGTAGATCTAACTGATACACTACATATATTGTACTAGTAAAGGCAAATGGATATCAAGTTTTAAACTTGAAGAATTGGGAGAATTCGTGTCAACCAGCTGATTTCACAAAACCCCAATCATCAGTTTTTAATGAGCGGATATTCAACACAGGGTCGAGTCTGAACTGATAAGACTTGAATTGAAATACCCACTAGGTATTTGAAAGCTGGCATTGCTGTGAATGTCGCGGTAGTACTATTTATGCCAGTTAACAGATAACCCACCTCCACCGACACCAACCCGCCCCCGAACTACATCGTCAGATTATATTATTGAAGAATACTACTAGTAGTAAGACAACTGGGCAAGCCTGGTGAAACTATGTTCAATTTATACTGAGAATTCTGTTTGTGAACAAGCAGCAAACCAGGAAGAAAATAGCATGCGCGTCTTGAGACTTCAATCAGCAATTGGGGTTCAAGCTCCATATGCCCACCATGGAGACGACGATTGAGTTTCTCCATATATTTGCCCCGAGACGTGCTATATATGTTATTATCGGTGAACACAAGTCATATTAGTAAGAAAGATGATAAATGAAGTTGGTTTCACCCGCTTTTGGCCTTAAGGAAAATTAGTCTTTCCCAACCTTTTACCTTATGTGAAGCAACGCCAAGCAAAAATATCGAGCCACCTTCTTGGTGACTCAAAAGAGTTCTCGATAGCCGTTGCCTGTTGTCTATTTTCTCACAGACAGTCCAGGAGGTTATACTCGGCCAATGACCGTTCACTCATCCGAGCCCTCGGGTTCTCCTTCCGAGCACCTCCACAATGAGTAGTTATTAGGCTACTCCCGGATTCTCCGCGTTATGAAGGGTGGCCCGCATTGCTTCTACAGAAGTAATTTAGGTAAGACAGGTGACAAAATATAGTGTTGCAGCAATTCCGCAAATTGGAAGACAGAAGGTCTGCGAGAAGAACTCTTGAGCTGCGGACACCTCGTTGGCGGCCAAAGGGTACGCGTCGCCTAGTATGTTACGCCATCGGAGCGTCGCCACATCAATGCCAAAATGGACCCTCATTTTTCTACTAGCCCCAGAGAGGTTGCCGGTTATTGAGCGGGGTAATCTGACATGATAAATAACGAAAACCCACAGGCATTGCAAACTGGACGACGAATACGCGCGAAAATTAACACCCATCCCCAGAAAAACAGGAGAACTGCAAATGCATGCGATGATCAAACCCTGATCTTGTTTGCGAGCGAAAACTAACATAACGTAGGTGTACTGCCTGCAGTTAAAGCATCATAAAACGCTCTGGAAAAGAACCTTGCATCAATTGCATCCGCCGATCAATTGAATGTGAGTATCTTTCGGGTACCAACAAAATCGTGGTATCAAAAATGTAAGTGCCCCTTGAATTCGTTTGTTTGGTTAGAGGTCGCTAAGATAGGACGCCAAAAAATAGATACATTCGACATTTAGAAGCTCAAGTTCAGAAATAGCAGAATAGCTCAGCAACTGAATATTCGACATCTCCATCCCAGCAAGATTCCGTTGCTGCGACTGTTTTTTCAACTGATGATAGTGATGTAATCTCAGACATGAGACACTCGTCGCAAGTACCTAAATTCGGCCAGTCACAAGATATCTCGACAAGGCCTTTCAATCTCCCATCAACGACTATCAAGAGCACACATAAAAACAAGCGCAGCTGGAGTAAGTCACAAATGGGATAGGCTAAGTATCCACTGGGAACTAACAGTTGGAATAGTATGGCTCTCTCCATCCTCTATGTGGTCTTTCACAACGCGATTGACTATTCTCATGACGGAGAAGCTTTGCGACCACTACCCTCACAACGCGACAACCTTAGTTCAGAAAGAGATTTACCCTCTCAAGTGGGATTCTTGCGCAATGAAGGAGGTCCCAGGCATCAGTAATCTGCCGTAATTGGACTATGCCATATATCTTTTCAATACGGTTAAATTCCACCGTACTGGTATTATTTTGGATAACGGGAGCGATAGTTTACATATGAATCATATGTAAGAAAACGTTAGTTGGGACAACAATATGCATTTTCAAATAGCGAGGGGTTTTGCATTTGTGGTTCGAAAAGCAATGGAATTTGATTGAACAGACAACCGACTTGCCTAACAGCAATTTAGAGACGGAATATCTAATAGTACGATTTCAGTGTGGATCCATCACATACGAGGAGAATTATATGCTTCTTAGGATAATTTAGAGGCGAGGAAAACTTAGTCGCAGATCAGGAGCGCAAAACATGAGGGAGAAAGAGAAGTTAGTAGATGGGGAATTTCTTCACATTCGGGGTATATTGTCCTAGGTTGGCTTCTGAGTTTCCCAAAATATCCCCCAGGCCTTTTGGTATCAAAAACACAAGTTTTTGATGAATGACTGTATAGTGGTCAGCTATTGCCTACCGTTGGGGCTCTTGATGTGCTGTTTGGCTTGGGTGCCTCAGGCACCAGGCATTCTTTCACCTTCTGTTTGTAGTTCCTGTACTTTCCTCTCCCCTCTTCCCTCTCCCCTCTCCTATCTCTCATAGCCATCTTTTTGACCACCTGGAATTCAATTGAAATTTGCAGCAAACTCTCAATGGGAACTCGAGGCCTTGAGATCGTGCGCTTCCGCGGGCGTTACTACATCCGCTGGCACCAGTTCGACAGCTACCTAGAGGGTCTCGGCGCCAAAATTGTCGCTAGCATCCCCAGCGACCCTGTGAAATACCAAAGTAAGTCGAGAGAGATGCTTTGAATTATACTGACAGTTTGCAGAGTGGCTTGAGTCGATGCGGTCCATGTATGCGGACAGGGAAAGTGCCCTTGAAAACAACGTCTACAAAATCCTTGAAAACGTTGAACCCGATGCCTCCTTGTTCCAAGAGTTCGAGGTGATTCCCTCTGGATTCCCGGTGATTCGGAGTGAGGATTGGGTTGAGTACATTTACATCATCAACCTCGACCAGGAGATCTTTACAATCAACAACACCATACACTGGAAGCTGGACAATATCCCGCGCCAGGGCGAACTGTGGCGTCACTCCATTGTTGAGAGCATTTATCAGAACGAGTTGACCATATCCCTCGATATGTGCCCAGAAGTCCATATGGCCTCGCCGGCTTTGACGATTCCTGAGCGGAACACAGAGACTCACTACGACTTTCACCTCGTAACCCCGAAGACAGCCCTCGCGGAACCGGGAAAGGCATTTCTGACACACATTGCGGCTTGCACGCTTGATCAATACAAGCGTATGATCCTCAGGTTTGGAATGGAGTGGAGCCCGGGCTCGTTTGTCTTTCGCGAGCTGGTTTTTGCTCTCATCTCGATGGCGTCTGGTCAGGTCAAATGCTACAGTTTCCCTCCTCAGCGGTGTAACCCTCAACATTGCCATAGCGGATCGTGGAACTGCACTTCGAAATTACACAAGTGGAATGGCTGGCTTGCTGAAGAGTTGGCTGGTGATAACGGTCCGTTGCTGGAATTTGGCTCCTCGTTCCATCGACCTGGCGAACCTCCGGGGGTGTCCCCTACAGAGACGACATACTGGTTTCAAGATGTGCTTGTCAGCCTTGCACTGGTGATTGATGATGAGTCGATCATGAGAGCCGTTACTTGGGGTATAGAGCAGAAACGCGCCAGGTTCCAGATTGTCGTTGTATCCCTCTTTCAAGTGGCTTTTGCGGAGGTCTCCTGCTCCGGTCATGAAGCAAAGCCTTTCGTAAAAGCCAGTCGTGCTATCAATTTCTCGCCTCTCCGTGCTGAATATGGCCTGAGTACACATCCACGCAATCGACCAGAGTTGAAGCCGGAAATGAAGAAATGGGAACGTCGCGGTAAGTTCACTTTGCGGTCAAACTGCACAGGGTCAAAGCAAAGACTTCAAGGCTACTTCCCCGGTCTCACAGCACTCGCCAACTTTTTTGACGCCGCCGCGAGCCGCCTCGTGGTATCCAAATCAGCAGGGATCTTCCCGACGGAACTCTATGAACGAATTCTGGATTTTGTTGACTATGATACATGGAGGAACTGCTTGCTAGTGTCGACAATAACCCGCGACTTATGCCTCCGTAAGTACAGGGTTGACGATCAACTGAGTGTTGTAGCTGGCCCTTTTGTGAGTCGGCGAGGGGAAGAGTCTCGCTATCAAGAGGAGTCGCTAGTGTCTTTCAATTTCGAAAACATGCAAACTGGCGAGGTCCTTCCGATGACGCTTGATCAGCAAAAAAGGGATCATAGGGACACGGAAGATACGAAAGAGTGTTGGTGTATGCCAATCATCGGCAGTGATAGAAAAGCACTCATGGTCGATGTATCTATACACTTTAAGCCAGCCACGGATGTGCCAGTGGAAGACGACAGTGACGTGGCATTGAATGTGCCAGATGAGGACAGCAACGATGAGCCAGTTGATGCCAACTCCGAAGTTGACGAGAATAACAGCGATGAAGAGGACGCATGATTTATTCTGATGTAGGGTGGAAGAAGCCCTAGTAACTAGGTCCGCCAGATTCCGAGTTATCCTCTTCAATCTGCCATAGACATAAAAAAAAATTGAATTCTATTATTACCCACCTACTCATATACGCCCTATAATTCCATTTTCTACTATTGTAATTACAAAGAGTGTATTCCGAAGATCACGATGTCATAGGAATACTCGTACTACATTTGGCATTTACTTCTAGGTCGTGACCAGAAAAGATATTTAGATCCCATCTTACTTTACACATTAAAAAGACAACCATACAACCGCCAACTGAAACATACAAAAGATAATACATTTTTCAACCGATATCCTGAACTTAGAGCTCATCCATCGATCCCATCCATCGACCCATCACTCCCACCTCCGCCACTCATCAACAGCCTTCTTCATCTCCATATCACAATCATACCCCCTCTTCTCAGCAACAAGCAACTCCTCCCTCCGATCCCTAAATCTCTGCTCAGCCTCAAATCTCCTCAAAGCAACACTCTTCAGCGCCGGAAAATCCCCCTTCAACACCGCATCCCGAAATCGAGCCCGCACCCGAGCCGAGTACAATTGACACGTCGCCTCACGACAACGACTCGGCCCGTCCCCCGGAAGTAATCGCATAGAGGTAGAAAACATGCGCGCAATGGAATGATTATTCTTCGCAAGAGGCCAGACGACTTCATCGTAGCAGTCTTCGCAGACACTCAGTTCCGGCAGAGCGGGGATATAATGCCACGTACTCATCGTGGGTCGATCGCGTCGACAATCACGCAGAACGACCTTGCGCCGGGCGTAAGAGAGGAATTCACGCAGGTCGGGGCGACGGGATGGGTCTAGTTCTGCGCGGGTGGCGGCGCTGTCGAGTAGGTCGATAAATTGGACGAAGCGCGGGCTGTTCGTGACGAAGTCGCAGACTCGCTCTGAGGGTTCGGGGCAGTGTTGGAAGGTGTCACGGTGGGGTGGCATTAGGATGCGGACTTTTCGGGCGCAGGTGCCGCAGACCTGGAAGCGTGGTAGGTAGAGGCCGGTGTCTGGGTCAACGACGCGGTGCCAGGTTTGGTCGGTGATGGTTCGGCCGGGGCATGGGCGGGTTCCTGGCGGCGGCCGGGTCATCTGGTACAGGGTTTCGAGACTGTCTTGTTGCTTTTTGATCATTTGTGTCCAGGCGAGGCGGACCCAGGCGTTGGAGAAGGCACAGCGGATTGCTTGATTCGGAGGCTTGGATTGGCTAGGAATGAAATAATCTCGATAACGAGAGTGGGCAATCTGGCTCATGCAGGTTGGACAGATATCTAGATGCGTCAGCCCTTTGAGGGTATACCAGTCCTGGTGACCTGCCACGGGGGTGGAGCGAGGGCATGGAGTGAGGCATAGTCCAACGGGAGCTGGGAGCTTCCGGGGCGGACTTGGTTGACGGGTGGTTACCAATTGAGACGAATTGTGCTGTTGAATCGGCTCGTCTTGGAACTTAACGGACGCTGGTGGCCGCGATGATTTTCTAGTACCTGGTGGAACATCATCGGATGAATCTGACTTCGAAGTCTTGCGCGTCATGGAGGCTGATCGAGAGAGCTGCGGTGCAAGCGCAGCCGATGAGGTAGCGCGTGGGCGCGTGGCTGATGGTCCATCGTCAATTAAAGCCGACCTCGATTCCCTGCGTACTGTTGAGGATGTTCGAGCGGGCGGCGGTGCAACTGAAGCTGATGAAGTTGCTCGTGGGCGTGTGACTGGTGGTCCATCGTCAATTAAAGTTGACCTCGATTCCCTGCGCACTGTTGAGGATGATCGAGCGGGCGGTGGTGCAACTGAAGCTGATGAAGTTGCTCGTGGGCGTGTGACTGGTGGTCCATCGTCAGTTGAGCCCGACCTCGATGCCTTATGTGCTGTGGAAGCTGATCGAGAAGGCGGCGGTCCAACTGCCGTCACCGAAGTCGTTCGTGAACGTGTCACTGGTGGTCGCTCATCTGTGCGGAAGTTTGGGGCACGATCAGGCTCAAGAGGAGGCGGATACCCTATTGGTCCCACAACTGAGGGAGGTCCAGCTGAAACAAGTGGCTTCACTCTGGAGATAGTTGGGCGTATTTCTGTATCCGAAAACGATGCTGCTTCGCCGTGCTCTTGCTGTCGCTCTCGCATTTCTCGCCGGAGCTGAAGTTTCTCCTCGAGTCTTTCTGCAACCGAAAGGCCGTTGAACTGACCAAAAGTCGATTTTGTTTGTGGAGTAGAGCCAGATGAAGAGGAGTTTCTACTGCGGATAGTGGCCGAGTCCGAGAGATATCCGGAATTTTCTCGTTGGCGTTGACTGGGCCCAAATCGTGGAGCTGAGCTTCTATATCGTGCACTGTTGGACCGGCCAATTGAGGACTTTGAGGGGCGCGACGAGGCCCTTTCGTAGACCGGACCTCGAGACGGAGATCGAGGTCGCTCAGGTCTGTCGCCTCGCGATTTGTGGGGAGCAATAAATACAGGTACATCCTCCTGGGTGGAGACTGTAGCTCGCGAGAGAGACCGGGAGCGAGATCGCCGGGGTGGATACATAGTTGCGTCGCGAGCAGGTTGCTGATGGATTTCCGCATGTGCTCGGCCTCGGGGATTATTGGATCCAGACGAAGCTGACGGTGGTGGTGGTCGCGAGGGGGCAGTGGTCTGAGAGCGAGGCACCGGGGCTGCGCGAGATGTAGGTCCTGGGGCCGGAGAAGGTCGAGGAACAGCAGGGGCTGCAGAGGCTGCAGGAGCCTGAGAAACTTGAGGAGCTCGAGGGGCCTGGGGTGGTCGAGGCGCTGCAGACGCATTACTAGGAGCTTGCGAAACCTGAGGGGCTCGAGGAGCTGGAGGCGATGGTGTCGTTGGCCCAGAGCTCTCATCTGAAGAAAAGTTGCCTAGTCCAGGCACATTGGGGATGCTGGGTAGGGGGACCGATGTCGATACGGGAGCGGTGTTCAATCCAACGATGATGGGGTACTGATCAACAGCACCCCTTTCGCGGATACCCTCAACGCCAGGCTTCTCGCTGAGTTTCGAAAGGCCATGGAGTTCTTTCGCGAGAGAAACGGGCTCTTCTTCAGCAAAAGGTCGCGGAGGCCATTGGCGAGGAAGGTGGCTTTGGAAAGTCGGTGCGCTCTTTCGAGCAGATGAAACACTGCTTCGAGAAGGGCGCATTGTGTGAGAATAAAATTATATCATATACCAATTAGTCGGTATTTGGCGAAGTAAATATGCTAGCCGGGTACGATGAGGTTTGATGAGGACTGTCGAGAAGAATGGCTCATAGTACTTAAGTAGGAACGAGTTGGGCCGTGAAAGAGAAAAAAAGTCGTTGCACAATGAGGCTCGGGCGGGAGTGAAAATTTTTTTCGAGTAAACAAAGCTTTCAATGAATGTGTGTCGTGGGTTGGCCGGGGTATATAAATTGGCGGCCAAATAGGATCGGGCAGCATACTGGGCCGGAGATCGCTGATAGGGCCGCATTTTCGATTGGGCGAAAGTGGACGAATCACCCCCGAAATAGCATCAGGCTGAAGCAAAACAACCATGCGGAGTGATGCAGAGCGATCATTGTCAACAAGGGGCATCACAAGGACGACTGGTCCAAGCAAAAGTCGAATGTGCAGGCCTTGCCAACTATTGGGCACAAAGAGCCTGCGGGGGACGCCTCGTCGATGTCTCAATGGCTTTCGTTTCGGGTTATCGCCCAAGTCTAACCGTCCAGCGACCGAAGGGATTTTCAAAATGCCCTCTCCGTGTCGAGCCGGAACTTTCAATGTTTGAAAGCATCCAAGTGAGGGTTCAATGAAAGGGTGGGTGTGTCTCTCATTCTGTGTCAACTGCCGCTTAACATCAAGACGGGGTACAGGTCTTGGTGCCATTCAGAGCGTCAGCATAGATTGAAGAGCCGGCACCAATTTTTTTCATGACCAGCCTTTGGCTGCACCCAGTCTGACGGAGGTGGCTCAGCTTCATCTGGCAGGGAGGAGGCTTGCATCGCCTCCAGATGGGCTGTCGAAGCGCCCAAAAGGCGAATACTAGCGTGAGGTTGGTCTCTGCAGGGGACCACGAAGATGGTCATGCCACCATCACATTGCACATGATCGATTCATAGCTGCAGAGTTTGAGATCATCATCAGCGGCTATGATGGTTGGCCGTTGCTCATCATTCAGCCACGACAATTCATGATGTAGTATAGCACGCGACAGGCATTGCCCATCAATTCAATCCAGTCGAAGTGATACTCCAACAAGTGCCGGCACTAGGGGAACGCTTGTCATTGGATCCGATCACTTTCCCCGACGGAAGTGCGTCAAGTCCCCACATTCGGATGCTCCGAGAATTCGGCACGGCATCCGTGAGGGTCAATTGCACGAAGTGGATGAGAAGCAGCTCAAGTCGGGAGTACCATTGACGATAGAATTCGTGTGCGGGAGGTATCTTTCTGGTTTGGATTTTCGCACCTGGGCAATCATGGTGGATTAGTCGTGAAAATGGAGAGGTGTAAGAGGACAATCCGGGAATTCGTCATCGGAATTCCGCCGTGGGGGCTTGAATGCGGGGAGGTCGATGACAAATTGAAGCTCTGAGTAAAGTGACAATATACTTATTCAACCTGCCTTCGTTTTCCTCCCCTGGCATGGCTTTCTCTCTTCCTCGAAGCACTCTTCGTCTCGCTGCTCTCAAAAGTCATTTCCCACCAGTTTCCGCCCGGCCATTCGTCTCCTTCCGCAACATGTCTATTCCCACCACCATGAAGGCCATTGTGGTCGAGAAGACCGGCGGCCCTGAGGTCCTAGAGCTGAAGACCGCTCACCCAGTGCCCACCCCGCAGGAGGGCCAGCTTCTAGTGAAGAACAGCATCTCCGGTGTCAACTTTATCGACACATATTTCCGGACTGGTCTGTACGCTTCTCCCAAGCCGGAGATTCTCGGTCGTGAGGGTGCGGGTACTGTCCAAGCTATCGGTCCCAATACATCTGGCTTCAAGGTCGGCGATCGTGTTGCTTGGTTGGCTACCCAGGGCTATGCCGAGTATACCGCTGCGCCAGCGAATAAGGCAGTGAAAATCCCTGATGGGCTGAGCGATGAGGATGTCATGGCTTCGTTCTTGAGTGGTTTGACCGTTCTCTCATTTATCAAGGAGACTTACCCGGTGCAGAAGGGCGAATGGGTCCTTGTGCACGCTGCAGCTGGTGGGGCTGGTTTCCTCATGACACAGATCTTGAAGACTATCGGGGCCAAGGTCATTGGTACAGCAGGTGGTCCTGAGAAGTGCGCACTGGTCAAGTCGCTTGGTGCAGATGTGGTGATTGACTACCGTAGTGAAGAGGGTAAGGACTGGGTGAAGTTGGTCAAGGAGGCTACGGGTGGTAAGGGAGTTGACGTCGTGTACGACTCTGTCGGCAAGGATACTTGGGAAGGCAGCTTGGAAGCTGTCAAGCGCAAAGGCACGATTGTCTGGTTTGGCAATGCAAGCGGTCCTGTTCCTCCTATTCCTCTACCGTGAGTATCTTCCATTGCCTAAAATTACTTGCCACGGCGATACTAACGGTATATCCAGCAAACTTTCTCCCAAGTGTGTGAAGATTGCGCGTCCCGTTCTCTTCGGCTATATCGAGACCCGTGAGGAGTTTGAATTCTACACCAACGAGCTATTCAGCCTGCTCAGCTCCGGTCAGCTCAAGACCAAGATTCATAAGATCTACCCCTTGGAGGATATTGCTCAGGTACACACTGTAAGTAATTCAATTGCCCTTGTTTCGTGGATAACTTTATTGACGGTGTTTCAAATAGGATCTGGAGGGGAGAAAGACTACAGGCAAGTCCCTTGTCAAGCCTTAATATGTAGAAATCAGCTATATATGAGCCAAGAATTCCATTTAACAGCAATGGACATTTTACTGGGAGATGATTGTGTTTTTAGCCGAGAATATCTCCATGAATATCAAATCTTGGAATCAAGATTCATAACGTCATAACTGTTTGAGACTCCTTTCAACCCCCCTTCTCTATCACCGTCACCAGATAACTCCAGGAAAAAAAGGGAAGAATAGTAATCACCGGGCTAAAGAAGACATTCCAGGCCACTAGAGCTCATCATCGTCCGAGTCGGATTCCTCCATCCCAGTCTTTTCCTTTGGTGGACCTGCTAGTTTCAGATTCTTTATGTCAGTCATTTCCTTGCATTTCTCCAGGACCTTTTCAGAGACGCCCGCCACGACGGTACTGTCACTAGGGTTTTTCGGATCATTGGCCTTCAGATACTGGTCCACTGCCTCCCTGGCAGATTGTTCTATGGCATCATCCTGTTTCTTATCCTCCTTTGACAACTCCTGTGGCCATCTCCAGTGCATCATGAGATCATTTGCGATCAGGGTGTAGAACGAGGGCAATGTCGACATGATCTCGTCGAAGTAGTAGACACCACAGTTGATTTCCCAGATACCTGTGATGATCTTCAGCCCAGGGTAGCAGAGCTCAAGAAGTTCAGGTTCAAGGAAGAATTCCAAGTCATAAGCCGGTCCATTGCCTTTGTCCCACTCCGCACGTTCATCCGGGGACATGTCGATGTCTGGATTTGCAGGGTCACGGTAAGACTTGGCACGAATCTTACCCACGGGAACCAGATCCGGTGCGCTTTGCTGATAAAATTCGCAGGTGGCATCGTCGGGCTGGATCACTTCAAGGATCTCAAAGCCGTCAATGTCCTCGAGCTTCATAGTAGAAATGGAGTTCTGGTGGACCAACTCCTGGAATCGGGAAGCTTGCTCGTTGGAACCGGCTCCTGCAATCGCATACTTGACCACTTTACGAGCAATCTGGTCAGATTTCTCGATTCCACTCTTTAGGCCATCAACTGGGGTGCTTTCCCACTCGGAAGCAAAATGGTATCCCCCGAACAGCATTGAGCAGCATCGATTGAAGGCCCCTGGGGCCTTGTGAACGAGCTGCATGGTCTTCAAAAGTTCAATGGCAGCGAGGTCGCAGGTCTTTCGCGCCTGTTCGAGGTCATCCTTATATTCGGGACAAACGTCATGGTAGAGAAGATATGTGTAAAAGTTTCTCAACGTAACCGTCGCAAGGTCAATGTCCTCTCGACGCTCGGGATTGAAGTGACTGACAAAGAACGAGCCACTGGGCCGTATTAGAAGGCGGTACAAGTCTGACAGGGAAATATTGATCTATATCAATCACTCACAGGAAACCCTTGGCAACTTCGTTGAAGCTGATATCCAGCTTCAGGCCCTCTCGGGACTTTTCAACAGCAGTCTGAGTTCGAGCTTGCATGGCTTCCTCATCGGTCATTCCCTTTACCTCTTTGGCGCTCACACCGGTGCCATAATTGGGACCAGCACTGACACCGCCGTACTCCAAATACTTGTGAAAAACGTTCAATCTGTCAGGAAGAATCCGGCGCTTGTGTTGGAAACGCATAAGGGCATCTTCGAATCGACTGTGTTGAAAATTAGAGGTTGTAGGTATCAGATATAAGTGAAAGCACAAACTCAATGAATGAACGGCTTCTGAATTGAACTGTCAGTCTTGCTCTTGTTAGGGAAATGAGTGGGCTGGCTTACGGATTGTAAAGCAGGGACAGCTCGTCGTGCTCAGCTGGGGTGAGTGGACCATCGGCATTGTATTCTTCAAAGCCAGTAGACTTGTTCTATTCGAATATATCAGAGATATCCTCTTGCCGATCTTCTGTAGCTTCTGTGTACTAACTAGTCCTCGCTGGGTCTTGGGCCGCTTGCTGCCTTTTGCCATCTTGAGTTAGAAATGAAAGCTGCGGTTGGTGCGAGATGGTTCAAGTGACGATGTAGATGTCTGGGAGAGAAGGAGAAGGAGAGATGGGGAGATTTGAGATCAAAGAGAGTATATCCTAATAAAAGGAGGAGAAGAAAGAGCGAAGGAAAGAGTTTGATGTGAATCTGCAGGAGCAAACTGCCCAGTGCCCAGGTGGTGCCTTCCAAGTTGCTGCTTGAATGGTTCCTTCCCGTTTAGTTTGTTTACTGATTTAATGGATACCTGGGTACCTACCTACCTAGGTACCTAGTAGTAGAGTACTAGTACTTCTACACTTCTATTACTAGCGCCCTTAGTATATCATGCCAGCCCTGGAGTGCTCAACTATTATATTTTTACATCTTCCAGTTGAGGTATATCAGAGACAATATATTTACCTGCCCATCATGTATTTCAACATACCTAGTTACTTTCCGTTCAAGCAAGTTCAAATTGAATATTGCCATTGTGCTCAGTCACTATAGTAGTAGCTTGCACTAACTACCTAGTAACTAGTTACTAGTTAGTAGTATCTACGAGTAGTACTAGTAATGTCAACACCCCGGTCTGAGTCGCACGGTCAGTGGCACGGTCGAAACTTGAATTCTAAGGTTAATATCTGGGTACTCAAAACCGGCTTAATGGAAGCGCTGACATCTGATCGGCCATTTATTTCCCAGATCTATCTGCTACTAGTAGATGCAAATACTACCAGTGGTACTTATACCCCGGATTTCCTGTCCCTGACCCCTTGCCCTGTCAAACTTTTTCTACATCTCAATTTCAACTCAACCTTGGTACCGTTTGCTTTGTTGAGTCATCCACCGTATTGAACCAGCCGATCGCTTACTTTCCATTCACCTCTCCATCACAATGCCCGCCTCAAGAATCGACAGTCGCAAGACGCCGCAGCTAGGTAGCGATGATTTGGTCCCATTCGACCATGTTGCCGCGGGCCAGTAAGTTTCGCCTTTCCCCGACTCGTCCGGTGTCCACGCGACCGCCCGAAAGCTTGCCGCCAACGGGTCAACGGTCAACGGTCAACGGTCGTACATGGCCGATCAGGGCCAGCGACAAGTTAAGCTATATGGCCAGGAGCTTGGAAGCTTCTGATCTGATCTGAATCCTGCTAACATGAACCCCCTCTTTTTCTAGTGAGGGCGTCCGCTGCACTCATTCCGGCTACATGATCGCGAAACCGTGCACGAAACAGGAGATCGAGTTCTACGAATCGAGCAACTTCCACAACGCCTTCCAAGAGTTCATGCCCCTCTTCCTGGGCACTCTCTCGGCCTCCGATCAGCAGGAACCGCTGGCGATCGCGGCCGCCCAGGAAGACGGCGCTCTTTTTCTTCCTGGCCCTCTTGAGGCCCCAGCTGCTCCCCCCACTCCAGCGGAGGGGGAGTCCGCCGCGCCAAGCGCCGCCAAATCCAACCATGTGCTAGAACAGCACTGGGTGCCGTCTGGGGGCAAGAAGCTGGATACGGGCTTGTCCATTGTACTGGAAAATGTCGCTTGTGGGTTTCGCCGACCAAACGTGTTGGATGTTAAGCTCGGAGCTAGACTCTGGGCGGACGATGCTCCGCCAGCGAAACGCACCAAGTTAGATGCTGTCTCCAAGGAGACAACGAGCTCTACATTGGGATATCGGATTGCCGGGATGAAAGTATGGACGGGTGAGAATGGTGGGACGAACGAGGGCGCCCATACCGACCCGTATGCCACAAAATACGAGGGCTCGGAAGGCGCAAGGGGAGAAGTCATTGAGAAGGACGGGTTCCGACGATATGACAAGTGGTATGGGCGCTCATTTCACGAAGGAAATGTGAAGCAAGGGTTTGAGACCTTCCTCGCCGGAGCCAAAGCTGGCAAGGTGGACCGCTCTAAGTTGATTGCTGAGCGATTGGCCAAGGAGTTGAAAAATATCCAGGAAGTTCTTGAAGCTGAAGAGAGTCGCATGTACTCTGCCAGCGTATTGATTGTCTACGAGGGTGATCCAGAGGCGATGGAAGATGCATTAGAAGAGGAAAAGAAGATACCGGATCCAAGGGATCAGAAAGAAGAAGACGACGACGACGAAGACGATGAAGAAAATGGCTTCGAAATATCAGAACAGGCTTTGGAGCTTGTTGATGTCAACGGCATGGCCCAAACAGCCATCAACATCAGCATTGATCCCCAAACAATGGAGATGCCCACGTTAGTTGACGAGGATGACGAAGAAGACCCACCAAAAGTCCACGACCTCCGCGTGATTGATTTTGCCCATGCCAGATGGGCCCCTGGAGAAGGGCCGGATGAGAACATGTTGATGGGCATCCGAAGCCTAGTCAAGGTTTTTGAGGAGCTTGCTCTGTGAACGTAGGCTCCGAGAGTACACCAACCCAGTTGATTGCTGGCAACAGCTGGCGCTTGTGTGGAATTTTTTTGCCAAGCCGACCGTTCCTTATATATAGACCTTCAGTCATTTAGCACAGTTAATGCATTTTCAAGCGGCTTTTCTACATTTAATTCCAAGCGAAAATCTATTCCTGGGCTTGAGTTCTGGAGTCAACAGTAGTAAATATGGGGTATACTTCGGACCAATCGCCGCGGGATATTCACGCTGACGTAATCTCGAAATCTCCAAAAAGGTTTCGACCTCAGCGGATCACGACCACGGACAATCGCACGTCAAAATGTTTGCCACGCGTGCTCTGCTGGGCCGCTCGGTCTGGAAAGGTATGTTCCGCTGATTCCATTGAAAATAGCTACCCCGATATCCTGCAGGAACCCCGTAACTGACACACTCAACAGGCCCGAATATTGTCCCGTACGTTCAGCCCGTCAATTCAACCGTATCCCCTCCGCCATTGCTCGATGAAATGCCCTGGGAGGATGAATTCGCTTGACATGGAATTGGAATACTAACCTCCACCAACACAGTCTACCTCTTCCGCGCACCCTCCCCCCTCCACCAAACACCCCCCCAATCCGCACCCAAAAGCGCGCCGCAACCATCCTCCCCAACTTCGTCGGCCTGCGCTTCGCTGTCCACAACGGAAAGACCTACCAAGAGATCCAGATCACGGAGGAGATGGTCGGCCGCAAGCTCGGAGAATATGTCGCGTATGTTTAGCCAATTCCGGCCAGCGATCTCCAGGCCGGGGTATCCGCAGACCGAACCTCTACTGACAGGAGATCAATCAATACAGGACCCGAAAGCGCTTCACCTACAAGCAGTCCAAGAACAAATAAGCGAATCGTCTGATTGCCGCATTGTCCCGGCTAGGAAGACTTCTTGGCTCTTGAAACCAACGCCAACGCCAACGCCCAGTACCGGCTTCGCTTCAATCTATTCTCCCAGCCAACAATCGCCCTTCTTCGCCCAACTGCTCGAGACTGGATTTCCGAGATTGCAGAGATCAGTCAAAATCAAATCCTTATACCCAGCGGAGGAAAGCGATTCAGGCCGGATATCGATGGGCATGCTTCGTTGAAAGCACCTTGTTTCTTTTATTTGGCCACAGTGCCGTGTACAGATAGTTTGATCAGCGGTATCCCTTGTGACATTACCTACTCGTGGGATGGAGTTTAGCCATGGAAAAATGCATTCACCATAATTTATATCTGATTCAAATGCTATACATCGATCATGTAGCACAAGAGGGCCAACAGATGCAGATGAATCGAAAGCCGCAAACAAAGCAACGAAGTAGAAAGTAGAAAAGAAAAAAAAAAGAGAACACCATTCCCAGAAGGAAAAACATCCCTCCCATCCAAAATATGCCCGGGCCGAATGTTAGCAGCCTGCTTGACCGATTTGTACGCCAGCGCCGAAACCCATCGTAGTTAGTAACATAAGAAAAGAAACCCCCACCGGGAAAAAAGAGCGAGGCACGAGAACCAGACCAAACGGACGAAAAGCGATGCGCTTCAAAAAACGCTCACAATGTAAACCCCCATCTCAGTCTGTCCCAGCCAGCTAGCCAGCCAGCCAGCCAGTTCTCAACGATAGAACTCGCCGCGCTTCACGGTAACCCCGTACTCGGAAACTGCCATGCCAAGATCTTCCATGGTAAGCACCGTCCGGCCTTGTCCTGTACCACCCGAACCCCCACCTCCAAATCCAGCCCGCTGAATGCCGAGATGCGTATTTCCTTTGCCCCCCTTGTCGGCGCCAGCAGGGCCGCCCGGCGCAGGGCCCGCGGGCCCGCCGAGACCAGACGCAGCTGTCAGACTGCCCATGGGGTTGTTGGCGGAGGAACTGTTAGAGGCGCGGATGCGCGCGAACTGGTAGGAATCGGCTGCGATATCTGAGACGAATTTCTGCGTCGCGAGCGCGAGGAGACGTGCGAGGTGTGGGGGGGGTTTGGTTGGGGCCGGTGCCTGGGGGTGGGAGGCCGGCTAGAGTGAGGTAGTGAGCTGTTACTGCGTCGGGAATCTGGAGGATTGGTATGAATGTTAGCTTTATTTGGTTCTTTATTGTTGGGTCAATGGTCCTTGGGTATGTCTTTTCGCGGAGGTCTCTTCATATGAGGACTGGCGTGAGGGTGAGGTGAGGTGAGATCACGCGGCGAGTACGTAGTAGCTTGGGCTGGTGGTCGCAGCATAGCATAGCATGGCCGAGCCCGGAAGAGGGGGGGAGGGATGGGATGATAAGGGGATATCACGTACGATTGGCGCATAATCATCCATCTTGCCTAGGAACTCGCGCAAGCTGGTCTCCTTCTTGGAAGGCGTCGGGGCGGCGGCCATGGGATCGACATCTGTAGGGAGGGGGCGTTGTCGTCGCCGGTGGCTTGGGTCTGTTCTGCATTCATGTCGATATCTTGTTCGATGGAAGCGTCAAGGTCAGGCTCAGGCTTCACGGCCGAATCAGTGGTTGGCTCGACAGGAGTAGCTGATGGCGGGTTGGGGTGCTCTTGTGACCCGTTTGGCGGCTGGGGGGGTCTGGGAAGGTTGTTCGCTCATGGTGGGCAGGTCATGGATGTTGTCCCCTATAGGATCAAAGGATAGGCTGCAGGGACCAGGTGTGACGAGACCAATCAATTCCGTGGTGAGCTGGGAGTGGTCAGATATTCGTCCTATGGTTATTGCATTAGGCGTCGCAGAGCCAGTCACACGCGGGAGGTCAGTGCACGGCCTATCTCGGCGGTGGAGCCGGTCCTTATTTTTCACGATATATGATCCATAAGAGTTGACGAGAGGGAGTAATAATTACTAGTAGTAACTATTGAGATTATATACCTAGAGGAGTATCTTATTATAATTAGTTTCACTATTACTATTAGGATATGGTAAGATCTAGAACAGAGGCCTCAGGTCGCACACGCTTAGTCAGTACACTACTATATCTACTAGTACGTATTTGATAGCCTCAGCCATTCTTCTATCCTGCTAGTACACATACTAACAGGCTGCGCCCTCTTCGAGAAGGAATAAGAGTCTTAGAGTAATGTGAGCTCTGTTCCTGCGGTGCTGTGGCCTGCTGCAGCACCAAACATCAACGAGAAGACCGCAAGAATCACTGGAGGATTTGCCAAAGCGTGAAGTTGGAAAAGCAGCCCTCCGATCCGCCGAAGCTCTTGCAAGGTCCCAATACAGTGACAGTAACCCTGGTGACCTTCTGATCAACAGTTTGGACCCACGCGACTTAGGTACGAGCTTTTCGCCGCGATAGATCGGTGCTTGGAAATTCCTCTTCTGCAGCGAGTCAGCACGATTCAGTCAGTATGGGCACAACTGAATTACCACAAATATCTCATTGGCTTGATCTGTCCGAGAGCTCAGGCAACCCACCTTGCGTGTCTCTTCCTGCTCACGCAGCTCGGTCATGATCAAATTCTCTTCGACTCCTGAGCCTTTGTGAGGATGTAATCATATGTTGGAACGGGGACGTCTTTGGGCCAATTGACCCTCTGCTCGAGATTCATCCCTTTCTCTTCGGGGACCAAAGTACCATCGATATGGCACTATCTACCTATTATGACATTTCTGAAGGTTAAGCTGCTGTTAGATTTGTGGTCCTTTCCCTAGCCGGCACATCTACTATCAACGTCTAATCGCGATTGGATACGCCAAGGAGACACACCAGTGGCCGGGATTACTCAAGCCAGACCCCTTGGCCACACAATTGAACGAATCCATATTCGCGATTGGTCCGAAATTGCCACGGCAAATCCTGGATGAAATCAGTTCATTCCTCAAAGCGAAGCAGTATCTGCAAATCAAGCTATAATTTGTGCACGGATCTATCAACGGAGATTAATGAGCTGAAAAATCAAGCAAATGTTCTTTACGAAAAGACTGACAGGATAAACGAGTACTTTTGGCGCGAATTAGTCTTACATGACCCAAATAATCCAGAAGCCAACAATGATGAATCTGGGGGTCCGTCAAATATTCCGCTGAAGAGAGCCAAAATTCTGTTTTTCTGTCATGCCTACCACTGATTTCAAACACCCGGTGCAGTCAAGATAATCAAGGGCAAATTTCATGGCCGAGCTCGATGTTGATACTACCTGACCTTGGAACATAGTTTGAATTAGCTGCTACTAGTACTAGTTGCTGATGCTATAAACTTGAACTACAAGTTGAAACTCTATGCCAGCTCTGACACGTCAAATAATTAATTAGAGTGATTGGGTGCTATGGTGATGTGTAGTTGCAGTCTTTGGCTCTGGCTTAGAACCGGCTACGGGGCCCGATCCGGGACGGAAGTACCACCCTCTACTACCGGGAGAAAATGCCTCTGGTGAATAAAACCGCCTTTTTCAGCCCCTTGAGGTGAGCTGACAATCGAAACTGGAACAGGTAAAGGATTCTGTCCAATGTAGGAGAACGGCATACAAGGCTGGCTCTCTAAATATGTCAAAAGTTGTGCAGGTAATTCCATCTGACTCTTTTCGTACTGAGGCATCTGCCAATGTGGCTGAAATAGTGACAAATCTGCAGTCTCCAGTCGGTTGCGGAGGACCCGCCATACTATTCAGCTGAATCGGGTGCAATGAATCTCCTGGAACGGTGACATAGAAGGATCCATTGGGGGTTGAGAAAGAAAGGTGAGGTGGGTTTCCTGGAGAGCGACGCACGGGGGTTGCTCCAGACGCAGACGGAAGTGGACAATCTGTCGAGATGGAATATACCGAGCCCAGAACGCTAGGGATTTTATCCGTGTCGAATCGACAGTTACTGAAATCACTCATTATCTCGTCATCCATCTGACCACGCCTGTCTTCGCTCCCCATTTCGACGGCCCTAGTGGAGACGCCTCGGTCAGCAAGATTGGATGTCCATAGTGCGATAAAGTAGTCTCGATTCCATCGTTTCAATAGATTAAGTCTTTAGAAAGCTTGGAGTATTCCTCTTTTAGAACGATCGGTTTTGAGTTGGAACGGTAGCCGAGGGTGGATTGGGATTCGGAGGTTATATCCTCCAGGTCTAGCAGGGGGTCTTCATGCGATTGATGAGAGGCACCGCTATTCATAGAGTCCTTTTGAACTTGTTGTTTTTTAAGAATAGATATAAAAAGTCGAGCACATCTTGCGAGATGTTTATGCGCCAGGGAAAATCTTCGCTAGAAAAAGAGACTGCTTCTTCTTGTTGCCGGAGGGTGTCCAGGTCTATAGCGTGGCTTTCGTACATCATGGTTGGCCGTTTACTTGGGTTAATTGTGAAAGACTCTGTCGAAGGTCGGTTTTCCGAAGCAGCGATCACGTCGAAAACTTCAGACTGGTCATTGTTAGGGGATGCAAGCAGCCATTTATGAGTAGACCACATACCTTTGTCAGACTATTCATGAAATCCTCAGATGTCTCGCCTATGATTGTCACCAGCAAACATTTTGAAGCGTTCTTGGAAGTCAGTTGCACAAAACGAAACCGCACGTCGACCATTTGCACACGGGTGTATAGGTGAATATCATCTTCATCTTCTCGTGATCCTGACTTCTCATTTTTCTTATCCCTCTTTTTCTTCTGGTCTGACGATTTCCCACATGGTAAAAATGTGTGACATAATGGCTTCGACTGTGAGCTTTGTTTGAAGAAGGCAATGTCGTTTACTTCTTCGATGCGTTGATATCGCCCCGAGCATCTTTGACTATTCAAACATCGTTAGGCTTCGGGTGCATGTTGAAGATCTATCCAGACTAACCACTCGATATTCCGGTTTTTGGAAAGGCATTCATTCTCTGTGTCACACCAGGGACACCGCAGAGTCAATGAGCTCTGCTTCCTAAATATCATGCTCATATCAAGGGTTTGGCCAGGCTGGTTCAAGTCAGCACTATCCATGTGGCTGAGGGAAGCATCAGTCTATTCACCTTGACTAGAGCCTTCCAATGCCTATTCAAATTCAAAGTTTGACCCGTATGATGGTTCTGAAGCATCCATTCGCCTCTTTCGATCTTACCCAAGCCAACATGTTCGAACTTATGTCTCAAAACCGTCACAAAAAGCTATCAGATAGGAGTTAGTGTTTTCCGACTTGTAAGATTTAGTATGTCACAAACCTCAAAAGAGTCAATGTAGTTCAATGAGAAGCTATATGTTTCCCCCAAGGCGTCATTGATCGCCACCAAGTTTCTGTACGGTACTTGAGGCGATAATCTGCTTTGTTGAAGCCTTAGCCGAACATTAAGCTCCCTGACTTCCATTTTGAGAGCCTGGTTTGTCTGTTGAAGCTCATCCATTTCTGACCTTGCTTGAGAATCAGCTGTTCTCGATCCCGCTTCTATCACAGGCAACTCTTCGATTAATTCTCTTGCGTATGCAGCCGCTGTTGCTGCGGCATATCTCTGCCATTCATTGCTCTTATGTGAATCCGAGTAGTCGCAAATCCCGCGGATTGGGAGACAAGGGAGAATATCCATGAGACCAGCGGCTTCCATTTCGAAGCATATGACATCTAGTTCCCGGGTAACGGTGTCTCGGGTGGTACTGTGCTTCATGACTTGGTTACCAGAAGCGATTGCGCCGTAATGAATCATGATGTTGTTCGTTGGCGCTCGTTGGCATCTCGGCACCAGCTTCGATTGATCGCATTCGTTGCAGCTAGCTATCGCAGACTGATGGCTATATGTCGCATGGAAAAGGCGGTCCGGTGAGCTTGGGCGGCTGTACTGGGTGTGTGCCTCTAGCCTTTGGCGTAGAATACGAGGGACCTGGCTAGCGCATAGTTCATGTTTTGATCGGAGGGTAGATGCGGCTGTCAAGAGTGACGGACGAGGAAATCGAGGTGTCGCTGTTCGATGGAGTTGCGACTGTTTGTCTCCGAGGATCTTTCCAAGATCATACTGTATGACACTTGTTCCGACAACGATATCACCTAAACGTACATCCACCTTGCCAGGTGCGCCACCCCCAATCCCGACCATCAGGCCATCGCGGATATTTGTAAACGTCCGCCTCATGTTTGTCATAACGTTTGCCGCGTTATTTGTTCCGTACTGGCCTGTTGGTAGGCATGCAATGACGATATTTTGCCGTTTTATGCGTCCCAGCACATACGTGTTGTTGTCGTCTGTGTCTATGGGCAGTGGTTCGTGGCATTCGTCTAGCATTGCGCGAGCGGCTGCCATCTCTATATGTAAGGCGCATATCCAGGCGATAGTGTAATCCTCGCGTCTTGGGGTCGGAAGTGCACTATGGTGAATGGTCTTTTGTCGCTTTCGCGGGCGGAGTTCATCATGATCGTGTTGTTTGGGCTGGCTTCGCCACTCCATTTCCGCTAAGGTGTCTCGCTCGTTGTAGGTATACTCGTGAGACGCAGTGAGGGGCTCTTGATCAAGCATTTGATAGCCTTAAAATCTTCAAGTTGGGAACTTCACACCAGCGTGATAGCAAGAGCTTTGAAAAGCGGGTTGGATATCGGGTTTTCTGTGGCTGTCGTGATGCGACTTCGATTGAGACTGCGACTGCGCCTCGATCGAGGCCCAATTGCGGCTCAGCCCTGAAGGCAACCCCGCGACATCGCTTCGCCTTTTAAATACGAGTTAGTTAGTTGATAAATCACGTGCTGCTTATTTCGTTTGTTCAGTTCAAATTTCAAAGAGCTATGTCTAATGTACAAGACTCATCTACCGCTTTTCGTACTTCGCTTCGTAATGTGCAAACTCCAGTAATATCAATTGTACAATCCCTCAAACTCCAGGCAAATGAACAGCAAAAACAAGTCTGCATGTTTAGAATACAGGACTCCTGGCTTAAGCCCCGCTAGCATAAAATCGCCTATTGTCCCAATTGCATGTGGGGATCGATGTGGTCGGGCGTGGCGGCGTGGTGCTGAGGATATTGACTGCCGTGCACCTCTTGGCTGAGCGTCTGCATTAAGTTCTGTTCAGCGGTTTGGTCGAATACAGATTGACTGTTGGCGTCTGGGGGCAGACTGGGCGAGGCGGACATTTCATGTCCATGGACGGGCGACGGGTGTGCCCCAGCCAAAGCCATCATGCCCTTAATGCCCTCGACATGAGCCTTATCCTCTTCACCTTGCTTCTTCTGACGCTCGCGGGCCTCTCTCTTGGCAGCCTGGGCAGGCGCACGAGTCTTCAGCTCACCAGTGACGAATTTCAAATAATAAGGCACTTCGATCCCGCTCTTCAGGAAGAACAACTTTAGGTTGCGAGCTTTGTCTTTGAGCTGCACCTGGTTACGGTCTTTCAGAGCTTCACTGATAGTTCCACCGGGACCGAACATGGCTAGGATCTGGCTCCAGTGCGGACCTTTCACTCGATCAAGACCAGCCATCAGGGCATTCTCCTCCTCTGTGGTCCAAGGCCTCCGCTGACTGGGGAGACCGGACTTTCGGCTGGTGGGTGAAGACTTTGCTGATGCCGCCATCCGAGCTCGCTCGTAGAGGACTTGGGTCGGTTGCGACTGAGAGGCGTGGGGTATGCCTGGAAGATAGCCCTGTTGTTGGGAAGACATCCCGTTGTGCCTAGCCTGCATGGCCTGTGCTGCATTTGGATTGTATTGCTGGAAGTTTGCTTGCAGGGGACTTTGTTGGAAGGTGAGGCCACTAGACTGTTGCTGATGATATCCACTAGGAGGGGTGGGGCTATGGTGAAATTGCGGTTGTTGCTGCGGCTGCGGCTGTTGATGCTGCTGTTGGGGCTGGTGCTGGTGCTGGTGCTGGTGCTGATGCTGCTGTTGGGCAGGCTGTTGGGGCTGCTGGGCAGCAGTATAGCCATGAAGGTATTGGTTATCAGGCTGAGTGGGCTGCTGCGACTGTTGTGACTGTTGTGGTTGGTGTGGTTGTTGCGGTTGTTGGTGCTGGTGCTGCTGTTGCTGGTGCTGCTGGTGCTGCTGATGCGGCGGCTGCGCTTGAGGCTGGGCATGAGGCTGGGCATGAGGTTGAGGGGATTGGCTAGCTTGGGATGTTGCTTGCTGTTGTTGGTATTGATGTTGTTGCTGGGATTGCTGCTGAGAGCGTCGGAGGCCATGGCCCTGTAAAGCAATCTGCGCCGCACGAGCAGCACGGGCAACGAGATCGCCATGCATGTTGCGGTCCACCGGAACCTCAACCGGTTGGCTCACAGAGAACTGCCCTTGATGGGTGGTGCTGGGTGCTTCTTGGGCATCGCCATTGGAGCTGGAGGGTTGGCGTCCTTTGATAGGTTTCTTTCCCTAGTGTAAGCATGAAACTCGAGAAAAAGAAATGGCACGGAAGAGTGGCAACACACCTGTTGGGAATTAATTTGATCAAAGTTCTTGGCAATGTAAGAACTCAGATCCCGAAGGAAGTGCTCCCAGTGGTACTTGTCGGGCAAAGCCTTGAGGGCGTCCTCATTGTTTATGTCATTAAGGAGAATATCACGACGGGAGGACAGTCGATTAACAAAGTCGGTTTCGCTGGGAGCCAATTGCTTGGTACCCGGACGTCTTCCCAGTAGTCGTTGTTCCATGTCATCGGGGAAGAGTTCACACAGAAGCTGAGTCCGCGTACGAGACTTACTGTTCATGGCTGCAATGAAAGCCTGGGTCTTGAGCTCCAGGTACAAAGCTCCTTGAACCTTCAACAAGCGGCCACCCTCTGGAACAAAGACGTCCAAAAAGTGTTCGTTCAGCTCCGAGAACCCGATTTCCTGCGAGCCGAAGATACTGGAAACGAACGAGGCCAGATTGGCCTTGCGAATGATGTCAACTTGGGATGATTCGGTGATTTCAAGATCGGAGGTTTGTAGGAAGGAGTGTTTCACAGTGTAAACCCTCTTGGTATGATCGAATAAGGAGCGCATGGTGGCGTATGCTTGGCCGTTCTCGGATTCCGGCTCGGATATCATGGCAGTAAGGTCCTGATAACTGTTCTTGGAAAGAAACGAGAGGATTTGGGTCGACTATGCCAGGTAAGAACTTCTATTCATTGCCAAGGACAGTGCGAGTATCAAACTTACCAAGTTATCCAGGATGGGTAAGCTTTGGATCTTCAGATGAGAATTGGCTTTGAGGAATGCGAAGCCCCGCGCACCGGGGAATTCGCCGACCGGGGATAGTTCTTGCGTGCCCATAGCTACCGTTTGGTCTTGACGCTCTGTGTGGTCCATGATTTCGGATATGATGGATGCGACATCAGGGTTGATGTTGGAGTTGTCATTCTGGGTAAGGGTTGGGTCGGATTGAGATTGATCACCCACAGGGTGGTCGGTAGGCTCGAGTGAGTCCACAACGCTTTCACCAAGTGCAGTAGCTAGTTCTTCTTCAATCTTGTGGCCAGGGCCGTGTTGATCTAAACTGTCCAGGGATTGCTGGAAGGTGGGCTCGTCGTCCGGGCCAGCGTCCATACGACGCTTCTTAGCGGCAGGAGGGGTACCATGTTCCTCGTCCTCGAGAAGATGGTGTGGCTTTTGGTCTATTACAGTGAAGGAGGGAATGTGTCAGCCAAAGAGTGAATGGAGGTGGAGTGGGCGGAGATAGTAGGTAGGTCAGGTTAGGTAGGGTGAGGCAAGAGAGGAAGGAGATAGAATAGTAGGCGCCAGCTGCATGGGGCTACAAGAGACAGGTATTCACTAAGGGTAAGGCAGCACTCACCCAGGTCATCGTCGGGGAATGAGGGGAGATCGGACGTGGCATCGAAAGATGGCCGATTGCCTCGAGTCTCGACCATCTGGAGTATAGTATATAGGGTTGGGCTGTCAACTTCCAAGAGAAGAAATGAGGGCTTAGGGGTAGGGCGCAGCTGTAGGGCTTCCAGGAGGTCAGGTTTTTTGCCTCGGGGGGGGGGCTTTTTTCTAGTGCGTGGTCAGCGGGAGCAGTGATTGGTTGAGGGTTGACCGCCTCTGAGTGCGGAAGTAGTACCAGTATGTATACTTATTTGTTCACTGTGCTGACAGTTGATTAATATGCAGTGAATTGTACTAGTAGTGTATGCAGTGAGTTCCAAAATATCATTATCAAGATAGAAATCAACACTATATTCAAGTTGTTGCCTAGTGTTTGCAGGAATACCATACATTATTGTACGATGTACTGTACACTTTCTCATCACCCAATGAATGAGCGGGTGACAAAAGTACGTAGTTCATGCCTGATGCATAAGGCCACTACATCTAACTACCAGTACGTACCAGAAACTTTTAAACGACACTCTTTTAGTTTGGCAAGATACTGCTATAATGCTCTGTAGCATTTGACTAGATTGAAACTATTCGCAGTGATATCCTACACAATCGGGAATTTGCGCGAAAATACTCTACATTCAGCCCCTGGTGATCTTCCATTAGTTACAGTCTTTGTGCGCGTCATCGATGCATCGAACTGGCCGGCTCTCCTCCTGGGTCTGTAACCCTCCAACCACACCTATCCTATGATTCAGGTTACCTGGATCATCTCAGAAACAATCTTTTCTCTCCTTTGGATCCCAATTTGCAAGATATTTATTACGAGAAATAAATTAACAAAAATTGAAAATTCAATCCAAAGCATCCATCCCGACGAAGTGAACACTGCTATAAGCATAATCTTAGCTACTTAGTGTGCATCTGACCAATAATTGGGAAAGAATAATCAACCCAAAATCATTATCCCCATCCATGGAACACTCGGTTTGAAAGCTTGAAAGCTATCTTTAAACTGATTTTGCGTGTAGTGATCCACTTTCGAAACACTACTCGTGAGGAGTTTAGATGCCTCAGCGGCTTCCAAGCCCATGGTTTCCGATTCATGTCCGGCACTACGGGTTTCCGAATGCAGCCTTTTGGTGGAACTAATTTCCTGTTATCCTCGAATTCATTTGGTATGCACCAGGGGTCTAGCCCGTCGATCCTACCTGGACTCCTAGGACCGCCCTTCTTATTTGGAAACAGGTCCCGCGACCTTTTTTGAACACTTGTTCGTGACATATGCCGCTGAAGACACTACCTATCAAGACATCGCTTTTGTCCCCCTATAATCAGCTTGAGGCTACTGCCCGCTTCAATTGTCGACATGTTCTCAACCCATTGCTCTCTCGTCTTCGCGGTATCAGTCCAGCTGGCCACCCTAGCTACGGCCCAGGACTATACAGAGACCGTTTGGGGTATATTTGCATACACTACTTATGGAGACAGTCTACCCAATATAATGTCGGATGTCAGAACCAGGGCGTTATCTGACTATGGAGCCAGCCAGCTTGAGGCGGCGGGATCCGTCTTCCGTGATAGATATGTCAAGACAGGAGGAAGTGCGAACGAGTCAGGGTCCACGGTTCAGGGCCTTGCGCCTTTCTACCTCGACTCACAGGATGTCAGCATCCTCACAACGACTGATCAATATGTCATTGCCTCGGCACAGGCGTTCATGCAAGGCCTCTATCCACCATTGAATCAATCCAATGTCCAAGACTCCGATTCAACCCCGAACGGCACTTTCTATAGTTATCCTCTCGGTGGATATCAATATCCCAAAATTGTCAGTCTCGGAAGCTCTGACCCACAGTCTATCATGGTCGCGGGCCAGACACAGTGTCCCATGTACCAAGCCGCCGTGACCGAGTATCAGGATAGCAGTGACGCCCAGGATATCACGCAGGAGAGTGCCGCTTTCTACACGAGACTGTGGAGAGAAGTATTGCAGGGAGAGATGGATGAATCGCAAGCAACCTACACCAATGCTGTTGACATCGCCGACTTCTTGGACTATGAAATTCTCCACAATACCCAGGCGCTCGAGACTATTGGTGATTACGACCTGCGCCGTGCCCGGTGGCTTGCGGATCAGTATGTATATGCTACGAATAAACAAGATGATCAACACTCGACCATCGGCCTCATACAGCCGATTGCTGGGCAAACCTTGGGTTCCAGTATTCTCAACGCCTTTGCGATCAACGTCGGAACATCTGGATTGCAGCAGAAAGTGACACTACTGTTTGGTAGTGATGAACCTGCCGTTGCTCTGGCATCTCTTCTGGGGCTGGCAAAGGAGCAACAGCCCAACTTCTATTCTCGCCTTGTCCCTGGTGGATCCCTTATCTTTGAACTTTATAGTTTCGAGACGGACGAGGTTTACCCCAGCTACCCGGGTGCTGATAATCTATTTGTGAGATTTTACCTCCACAATGGGACCGATACCTCCGACTTCGCATCATATCCACTTTTCGGAAATGGGCCAAGCCAGGAAGATATTCCGTACAGCGAGTTCCAAACCGAAATTGAGACCTTTGCGATGCAGTCGACAAAGGAATGGTGTACCCAATGCAACGCGGATTCAATCTTCTGTTCTGGATTGATGGGAGATAGCAGCAGCTCTTCGAAGCAAAAGAAACAGATGTCTCCTGTGGTGGGTGGGGTTATCGGAGCTTTCGTGACTCTGGGCGTTGGCGTTCTCATTGGAATGATCGGCCTTTTCTTCTGTGGTATCCGCAAACGTGGACCCTCAAGCCACAAGCCTAGCATCGGGGGATTTAAAGGCAACAATAAGAACGCCAGTGATGCAGATTTGAATTTCCGAAAGCCGATATGGGGCAGTACCTCCAAGCCAAATGTCGGTACTGATGATGACCCATCCACTGCAGGTATTATGGTTCAGGGACATGAGCGACTCGGAAGCTGGGAAATGGGTCAGCAGAGAAAGGAAATTGAGGATATCGCATCTCCAACCCATGATGGCACACCTCATGTCTCGCCGTTTGATGATGAGAATGAGGAAGAATGGAGGATTCACAGTGGGATGCAGCCGGTTAAAGTGCGGGAAAGCGTGTAGAAGACAATTGTGTTTGTTTGGATATCAAAAGTCGAGTTAAATAGTTCTAATGTTAATGTCAATGTTAATGTGACCCCATCTAACTTCTCATAAACGATCGCTCTTTCTTTTCTTCTCTCTCTTCTTCCTTTCTTCTTTTTGTGTGTTTGCTGCCTTCGTGCCTTCCCTTGTAGGCCTCAACTTCGACCTGCTGACCACTACAAGTCTCCTCCCTTCAATCCATCTTCAGGTATGTTTTATCATCTCCCCCATCAGAATGAAGTACAATATCCCCACGCTCATGGCGTTGTACCAGGATAAGGAAGTTGCTTGTAAATGGACTGGTCACGTCAAAGATTGTGAGCATACCCCGTCATCGCGTTAACAGCATTCTGCAAGCCAGGACACAGGCATCCTTAGAGCATTGTCCTGACAATTCTCACAGGTAAACTACTTCGTCCCGGGCATCCTCGAAAGTCAACGACCCGAGTGACCCTTCGCAAAAAGCTCGCCTCGAAGACCGCTGCCGGTGCACATCTTGTTCAATCATTGGGACATACCCCCAAGCTTCATACTCCTAAGTTTCATACTCCCAAGCCACATACTCCCAAGTCGCATAATCGATCGACAACCAACAAAAAGAAAACAACGCCGAAGCCGTTGACGGCAACCGATGCAGGCTTTGCTCGCTTTCTCAAAGAACACTCTTCTCCAAAACATCAGCGTGTGACTGCTGGAGGCCGTATCGTTCCCATGATCACCGGAGAAAATTCGATTCAAGGGGAGAGGAATTCCGGAGAATGGAAGCCGACTCAAGCCGAGCATACCACAGACTACCAAAGTTCGCCCACGAAGATAATGAACGGCAATTATCCCCAAGCTGGTGCAGCCGTGGTACACAATCCAGCCTCGTTCGTACTTGATCCAAGGCAAAATGACAGCGTCTTCCATCAAATCCCAACCACGACAGCTCAGACCCCGGTTATTATCCCAATGCCCGTTCAATCATTTATGCCCTCTGTCTTTCCTCAACATTCAATGAATGTCTACCCAAGGGCCAACGTGTCTCAACAAATGGACGAGAACTACTTTCAACCCTTGAATATGAATTCAGATCTCGATTTCAACTCCGCCAGCATCTTCAAGTCGAAGCTGGAACAAATGCAAAACATTGTTAATGGGGTGGAAGATGTAAATTTCATTGACTTCAAGGCCGATCTTCGCCTCATACTCGACTTTGTTGGAAGACCGATCGACTCTTTTCAGGTTGAATATCTGATCTACCTTCATGAGCAACTGGAAATGGCCTTGGGTGCTGCGAGTAGGCATCTTCAATCGGTGGATGCCGAGATTGCAATGTGCTCGGCAAGCAGCCCATCACTCGTTGGACTGCGAATCAAATGGAAGCGGATCAGAGCAGAAGTGTTTGACAGACTGGAGGAGATTAAATTGGGGTTGGGCGAGGCTCTGGATCATTTTAGCGGCATTCAGAGCATTACGAGTTCCATAATGCAAACCTTGTGCCCAGGGGATATCACACTCGAGCCACTGGTGATATCTGATACTCCCTACTATCAAAGCATGCCCCAGCTCGAGGAGTTCCATGCCGAGAATGGACTACAGGGATCCATCATCAATCGAGATTGCGAAACGACGAAGGATGGCGCTGCCAATCCCCTCGATTTTGAGTCTGCTTTCGATCCCGAGTTGCCTGAGCCTAGTGAGCCTATCGAGCATCCTGGGCCTGAACGGGCTGGTCGCTTTGATGATATGGGATCTGATATGTATGGCGATGGAGACACTGATCGAAGCGATGCAAGCTCGGAGATTCTGGGTGCTGGGGATGAACAAAACAGCGAGTTTAGCAGTGACAGCAACGATCCTGTCCACAGCGCGAGTAATTCGCCCATCATTCTCCATGATGCAGCCGGTGAAGATGACTCCCTCTCCGTTTCCGGATCGGCCTGCTCGAAGGTTTCACAGCATGGTATTGGAATGGATGGTGCTACTCATGAGCCCAATGCCTCTGGGCGGACCGACGGCGTTGCGGAGATCCCTTTACCTCGCTATCTCCAACGAAACCCGCGACATCGTGATAGTCACACCCTTCCGCGCAATTTCCCCCGTCGATTCAGTAGTATCAGCCCCCTTGCAGCCGAACGACGCCCAGTTTCACGATACGTTGCCTTGACTTGGAGGACAAATATGGGCTCCGGGTCAGAATCCGGATCAGCCTCCAGTATCAATTATGACGAGGGCTTACAGGTTGAAGCTTGCGTGAGCGATATGAAGCCAATCATTGGCAGAAGATACGGATATTCGGAAGATGGACCTACTTCTTTGACCAGTCAGACAGGAGGCTTTGATTTCTCAAGTGATTATGGATTAAATCAATGGTAAGATACAGCATCCTCATACCGAGCTAGAAATTTGAAGTGGCTGATAGAAATTCAACCTCAAGCAACCCATCCACACAAGATGATGACTACGATGCCGATATCGATCTTACACTAGAATCGCCCTGTGCAGCTACACGTTCAGCTCACAAAAACGAACAAACTAAGGCTATCCGCGCTGAGCTTCGCGCGATGCAGGGGATTGATCAACATCGACTGCCTATCGGGCGCCCCACGGTCGAAACATTTGCTACCACCGCCGTCGGACTACCCGGACGTTTCCAATATGAGTCTGGTTGGATGGCTTTGGCTCTCAAGAAACTCTTCTCATAATAGAGGGTAGCCTGCGCTGAGGATGCGTACCTGATATCTAGGGCTGTGGATGAGGAGATAAGGAACCAATGAATCCCCCGCTCCCTGGTGAATCCCATGGTCTGGACCACGCATTCGCCTTTCATCACGTGGTGGGGAGGTTTTTCCAGGCTTCCAAGAATTGATTGGCAGTTGGAGTCAGAGTCGCCACCGGAGTTTTACTTCGTTCTTCGTTTTGTACCACAGTGTACGGAGTAGTGTTTTGCGGTTTCCCTTAGAGGATACTGGTTCGCCGCTTGTTGTAGAATCCTAACCCCAGTCAGTCGTTCTTTGCCCCCCAAAAAAAAAAAAAGCCACTCTTAATGCTATTTCCTGTTCCTCTCTTCTTATCATATTTGTACTTCCAATCAGAAGAAGCAGTAGAAGAATCCCCCCCAGTTTCAACCCTGCATTGCGATCGGGTGACTAATCGGGTACTCCGCGTCTCCACTCCAACTTCCAACTCCCCTTCCCTCTTTCGCCTTCTCCAATCTACCCTACTTCTACCCCTACACTGCCTTTCTTTTTTTGTTGGATCCCTAATATGCAGTATCATTTATGAGAACTGCTGTCTGTGGTCCTTGTCTTTCCGTTCTTTAGGGTGGATAGCCCTCGTTTCAACGACTTGGTCTGTTCTTTCGTCCCCGCGGTTGTATCCTCATCCCGGTTCTCACACCATCGCTCCCCGCCTTTTCCCTTCCTTTCGCGCAACTCTCCTTTGAGACCATTCTTTGATCTCTGGGAGACTTCCTATCCACTTTTGGAACTGGCTAATTCCCTCCGACACCCGCAATGACACAGCTTTTCGCATCCAACCCGTCAGCGATGACGAACGAAAAGCGCGGGAATTTCCCCGGCCTCTCCCTGCCGACCCGAAAACATTCCAACGACTCCGGCCACCTACCCACCAAGATCAAGAACTTTTTCCGGATCAACAGCTCAAGCAGCCACTCCTCCCATGGCGGCAGTCCCGCCAGCACCGACCGTGAACGTGAGAAGGAGTCACCCAAGAATGACAAATCAACATTCAGACAATCGCGGTTCCTCCCTAGTATCGGTCGTAACCGTTCCGCTACCGTCGCCAGTGAAGGCAACCCTCTTGATGATGGTGTCTCACCCACGGCTACTGCGAATCCCTACTTTGCCCACCAAGGCCAGCCCGCATTACGGCATAGGAATGACGGCTCTGCCCCCTCTTCGCCTCCCGATACCCCAGAGTTGCAGGTCACCGGGGTCACCGCAGCGGAGCAGGCAACAACTGCCAACAAGGAGGAATTAGCACGCAAACTCCGCCGTGTTGCGTCTGCCCCCAATGCCCAGGGCCTTTTCAATAGCCAAGGGAATGGACACCCCGAGACAGACGATGAGCCTCTCATAGCAATTCCTGGCGGCGATGGCAAGGTTGGTCTGTCTGATGGCAAGGGAGGAGTCCTGGCTGTGCCTTCGATAGGCATTGACAGCAAGATTACCGGTACTGGTACCGATGATGCTCCCTTCCGTCGCACCTACAGCTCGAACTCTATCAAGATCCGCAATGTCGAGGTTGGCCCTGCAAGTTTTGACAAGATCAAATTGATCGGAAAGGGTGATGTCGGCAAAGTTTATCTGGTTCGCGAGAAGAAGACGAGCCGTCTCTATGCCATGAAGGGTGAGTTTGAATTCTTATCTCTACCATAAGACCATGGCATGAATACTGACCCCTTGATTAGTACTGAACAAGAAGGAAATGATCAAGCGCAACAAGATCAAGCGTGCTCTTGCCGAGCAAGAAATTCTCGCGACTAGTAACCACCCGTTTATTGTCACCCTCTATCACTCTTTCCAGTCTGAGGACTACTTATATCTCTGCATGGAGTACTGCAGTGGCGGCGAGTTCTTCCGAAGTATGTTTCCTGTCTTCCGCTCTGGGGTAGCTTTCTTCTAACCATGGCTTCAATCCAGCCCTTCAAACTCGCCCTGGGAAATGCATCTCTGAAGATGCGGCCAGATTCTATGCGGCCGAAGTCACTGCTGCTTTAGAGTACCTTCATCTTATGGGCTTCATCTACAGAGATCTCAAGCCAGAGAGTATGTAATCTTTGTGAAAATGGTATTTTGGCGAAGCTCGATATACTAATATTTGCTCCCCTAGACATTCTCCTCCATCAATCGGGTCACATCATGCTTTCGGATTTCGATCTGTCTAAACAGTCCGGGCCTGGAGGTGCTCCTACTATGATTCCTGGCCGAAGCGGAGGCAATTCCTCCACTTCCCTGCCGACCATTGATACCAAGTCGTGTATTGCTGATTTCCGTACGAATTCTTTTGTTGGAACAGAAGAGTATATCGCACCCGAGGTTATCAAAGGCTGCGGTCACACTAGCGCAGTTGATTGGTGGACTCTGGGTATTCTTGTCTATGAGATGTTGTACGGTACCACTCCTTTCAAGGGCAAGAACCGAAATGCAACCTTCGCCAGCATCTTGCGGGATGAAGTGGGTTTCCCTGAGGGCTCGGGTGCGCAGCAGACCTCCACGCTTTGCAAGTCTTTGATTCGCAAGCTACTGATCAAAGACGAGACCAAGCGCCTTGGAGCTCGTGCCGGTGCATCTGATGTCAAGACACACCCCTTCTTCCGGTCGACCCAGTGGGCTCTTATTCGCCATATGAAGCCACCCATGATCCCGCACCAGGGTCGTGCCGGTACCGACACAGTGAACTTCCGCAATGTGAAGGAAAGCGCCAGTGTCGATATTGGTGGCACTGCCTCTACTAAAATGGAAGGTGTCCCTATGGACTCTGGCCTTGCAACCCCCAATGGCGAGCTGAATGATCCCTTTGAGGAGTTCAACAGTGTTACGCTTCACCACGAGGGAGATCACTAAGCACAATGTTTTCGCATTTGACGCCCACTTTGTATTTTTTTTTCTTTCTTTTTCGTCTCCCAGTACTATAAAGGGGGAGCAGCCGCTTGGGCATCGGCTCGCTGACGACCATGATGCATTGACGACTGCATTTAAACTGTTACATTCCATTGCACCTTTCCGCCGGATATCTTCTTTGTCTGAAGATCTTATGGAATCGATATACGTACGCTTCCTGCTACCCCTTGCCCTTTGTTTTGGTCATCTTGCACTTGCATCTTTCTTGCATTCCATTGATTACCAAAGACCTTGGACAAATTTCGGATATCCTTCTGCGACCTTATTCTTCCCACTCCTTCTGCCACGATTCCATGTTGTTCCTGTTTTTCTCTGATTTCCTCTGCTGGGAGCTGCCTTATACATTTTTTTTCCTCTTAGCAGCGGTCGGCGTTCTACTGGATCTCTTATCTTTCTGTCTTCCTAGCACTCGTGACCCTCGTCCTGTTTCGTTGACCTTCTTGTTGCCTTCTCTGCGATTTCCTCCGTGCTTGATCGATCTCTGGCGCGGTACTCCTATCAACAAAGCTCGGTTCAATTTCTGCGTGTTCTCAAATTGGTTTGTTCTGGATTTGTTGACACCTTGTTTTATCTCGGGGTTAATGTCAACTAAAAATATGACAGAGTAATATGGTTGAGAGTTTTATATTTACCTAGTCCTCCTTGCGTATAGATCTAGCCTCCCGGGCTATTAGTAGTACGGAGTAGTTGTGTAGATTTAGTAAAAGCTGGACAGCAACCAATTCGCGGCCCGATGACCGAGCGGATCCCGAATCGATCATCAACAAACTCCCCGCGCACTCCGCTGTCCACTTCCCCTCCATCGCATTAGCGACGAACCACGAACCCCGGCCTCCGCAAAATGTCCGCATTCGCCCAATCAGAAGATTCTGATGGTCAAGACTTCTCCTATATCTCTCCCGAGCCAGCGACTACAACCCCTCCCATCCCACCAGAGCAGTCAACAAGCTCCGACGCAGAAGCTTCCCACGGCCGCAACCGCTCAAACAACCCGCTGCTGGGCAATAACCATGGCCTCGTTTCGGACCTGGAACAAGAAGTTCTAGACGAATACTCCCGCCTGCTGCGGAATGTAAATCAGGTACGCTGAACCTCCACTGAAATCGATGCGCCCAGTCCCAGTCCCAGCCCACAGTACAATTAGTTCCCAGTCAACCAAGCATGCGGAGCTAGAAGGCCTCCTGCTCTGGCTAAACGCGGTGCCCCGATTAAACTCGAACTAACATCCTCATTCTGCATCTAGCTCTCTGAAAAAGTCGCCGATCTCTCTGGCAATCCGGCCACCATGACTCTAGACGGAATGCGGCTTCTAGAGCGCAAGACGGCGACGGTGTGCACTCTGCTCAAGGCTAGCGTTTACAGTATCGTCCTGCAACAACAGATCTGGAATGAGAGCGAGGAGCAACAGCAACAGCATGACGGACAGGATCAGAAATTCCAAGACCAGACCTATCAACATGGGGGTTATGAGGGCGATGGAGATGTTACATACGAGTGATATCTCTGCACTCTGCTCAGTCTCGAACAGAGAACTAGATGAGCTTGTTTGATTTTTGTGAAAATATCCCGCCTGGATATCTAGGCTGGATTTTGATTGCGTATACCCTGGACTATCTATCATTTGTGGAATCGGCGCGTTACTTGGATATTGTTGGTGTTGTTAAGAAGGGGGGGAAAACGGCGAACGATCCGTCAATATCGAGTCCAATTAGACATGTTAATGAATTCGACGAAGAGTCAGGCGGATTTTCATTGACGAATTTTGAATTCCTTTTGAACATATGACCAAACGAGTTACAAGTACATGCAAAAGACAAGGAGAAGAGAAATAAAGAAACATTATATACACGCCGAGGAACAATGCACGACCTGACCGCTCGTCAGAAACGCGATGCCTAGCCTAGACCTTGCCCGCATAGTACACCTTGCGCACATCGACAATCTTCTTGCCGCGGGCCCGAGCAACTTCCTCCGGGTCGCGCTGGCTCATGAGAGCCTCGTAGGCGGCCTTGACTGTGTTCATCTTATTCCGGGATCGGTTGACTCTCGCGGCGAGGTCGTGGATACCGGCAGCGCGGCACATCTCGTAAATCAAATGCTGGGTGCGGAGACCGAAGCCTGGAAGAACATGTTAGTATAGTGATTGGGTTCAACGCGATGTGACTAGACATACCAGGAGGACGGTGCATCAATTGCAGCTCCACGGCTCCCACCTTTCCGGTGACGTCGCCGAAGATGGTACGGTTCTCGTAGCGAGGGACAGGCTGCATGTTGCGGATGGCACGGTATTGCGACTGGATCTTGGCATCGGCCGCCTCCTCAGACTTGCCCTCACCAATACCCAACAGACCGTTTCCGTTACCGGCGACAGACAGGCGGTAGGCACGGCGGACCTTACCCAGACGAGTCTGGTTGACGACACTGTGGGAAACCAAAGTCTTGGTGCGGAGTTCTCGGACCTGACGCTCAGTGTATCCAGTAGCCAGAAGGAGACTCTTCAGGGCATCAGTCAGCTCTTCGGCCTCGAGCGAGCGCTCCTTCTCACCCTTCTCCGCAGCAGACTTGCGCTCCTCCACGCGGGGTTCGTCGATGGTCTCGCCGGGGCCGAAAAGATCAGGCACGAGAGCACTGTGCGGGTTGAGCTCGTTCTCCTCCTTACCTTCCGTCAATCGCAGAGACTCAGCAAATCGCACGAAGTCGGCTGGCCTAATTTCTTCATTTGATTCTGCGAAGAAACGGCCAAAGTCCTCGATGAATTGGTCCTCGGACTTCAGCTTAAAGTTGTAATCCGTGTTTGACTCGGGGGCGCGGACGTTGCGGTCAATGCCGGGCTCGATCACGGAGAAATCGTCGAGGTACTTGAATCGGTAGGGGTCGGTACGACGAATAGACTGCTCGGACAAATCCTTGGGATCGATAGAGGCCTCACCGGCCTTGATGGCTTCCATTTGGGCGGCCGAATACTCCTGGGCCAGGTGGGCCTTCTCCTTCTCGGTGTAAGACTTGAAGTCATCGGCCTTCAATGCTGACCGGGTCGAGTTCTCGGGACTCTTAACATTGGGGAACTTGGGTTTCCGATTCGACAATGGCGCTGGGGTTGAGTGGAATTGGCGACGAGGAACTCGCGTGCCGGGAGTCGCAGTTCGGGAGAAGCTGCAAAACAGACATCTTGCCGGCCGGGCAAGGCTCATGATGAAAGAGGGATTAACGGCTCGTCGGCCAGCAACACGCCAGCCACAAGCTCTAAAACAAAAAAGAAAGAAAGAGAGGGAGAAATAGCGGAGCACTGATTGCAATTGCAACACGCAAACTAGCCCGACGGAAGTGAAGCCGGGAGGAATTTCTTGCTCGCGGGCGGTGAGTCTCGATCCAATCAACGGCGCGGGAGATCCGTTGCTAAGCCCAAGTTAATTTTATGGAAATCGCCGCTTTTCTTTTTTTTGCGCTCCTCTATCGCATATGTTTGCTGTGCGCTTGTCTATCTGGCGGTTGCCTTCTCTCGGTTCACAGACACTACGTACAGCTATTCGAATCCAGCAAAACTCGACTACCGCCTACAATTATCCCCCGAAACGATCTCCTCCACCCCACCCGCCTAGGATGAATAACCAAAGGAAATTGATCGATAGAAGGCACAAGAAGGCCAGAGTCGAGAAAAGCAAGAGCGGTGGTCATGATGAAGTTCTCCTGGCCGATGTGAACAAGCTTCTCCGCTCCAAGTCTGCCGACGATGAGACCAATGGCGAGAAGCCTACGCCTACGCTCCCCGAAAAATTCACCGAAATCGATGTCACAATCTCTATGCTTTCTTCGACTGGTGATGGTCTTGCCTATGATCAAGAACTGAACCATGTATTTGTGGTTCCATTCACGGTCCCTGGTGACAAGGCGCGTGTAAAGGTGGTGCGCCATGAGTGGGAACACAATTATAGTATGACCGATTTCCTCAGTGTGATTGAGGCCGGCCCAACAAGAGACGACTCTTTGATTAAATGCGGTTATTTCAGCAAATGCTCCGGTTGCCAATTGCAAATGATGTCTTATGAGGACCAGCTCGTGCACAAGCGCCGTATCGTCGAGAAAGCCTACGCCAATTTCTCGGGCCTGGTCCCTAACCTTGTTCCTGCCATTGAGGATACATTCCCATCTCCTCTGCAATTCGGATATCGCACGAAGCTTACGCCTCATTTCGCGCAACCCAGCAAACCGAAGACCGACGAGGCTGGAAATCAACTGCCGAGAGAGGTGCCCGCCATTGGATTTACGTACAAGAACCGCAAAATGGATATGGATATTGAAGACTGCCCGCTGGGAACCGACATTGTTCGACGCGGTCTCAAGAGCGAGAGAAAGCGTGTGGCCGAGAACATCGCTTCTTACAGGAAGGGCGCGACGCTCTTGATGCGTGAAAATACTACTCGCATCGCCAAGGATACCCCAGGTGCCAAATCAAAGGTCAAATATATTCCCGGGCTGGCCCCGATCCCCAAGGGCTCCGATTCTGGGGACCTAATCAAAATCGAGGAAGATGACTACACAGTCGAGAAGACCTGTGTCACCGATAACAACGCCACCTCTGTCGAGTATATCGACGACTATATTTTCAGCAACAAGGCCGGCGGCTTCTTCCAGAACAACAACTCTATTCTCTCCGGATTTACCGAGTACATTCGTTCGAAGGTCTTCCCTCCCGGCAATGACCAGGCCACTCAACCCATCAAGTACCTCCTGGATGCGTACTCGGGCTCGGGTCTCTTTACCATCACTTTGTCCCCTCTCTTCAAGTCCAGCCTAGGTGTTGACGTCGCCGGTGATTCTATCGTCTGTGCTCGCGACAACGCCCGCGCCAATAACCTGCCTAATACCGGATTCGCTGCCGCTGATGCTGCCGTCCTTTTCAAGGACGTTCCGTACCCGGCTGATCAAACACTGCTTGTCATTGACCCCCCCTCGCAAGGGTTGCTCTGAGGACTTCCTCCAACAGCTTCTGGACTATCGTCCTCGTCGTGTTGTGTATGTCAGCTGCAACGTTCACACCCAGGCTCGCGATGTTGCGGTCATGGTCCAGGGTGATGAGAAGCGGAACATCCGTTATGAGATTGAAAGCATTCGTGGCTTTGATTTCTTCCCTCAGACTGGACATGTCGAAGGTGTTGCTATCCTCAACCGAGCCACTTTCCCCACAAAGTCCGAGTAAAGTCAGTTGGGTTAGGACTTTTTTTATCAACTTCTTTCTACCTTGATCTTCTTGTATAATTTACTTTCCAGGCCTGGGTCGGATTTTTGCATTACATTGGCGTTATATCATGTTACAGGTAAATACGGTAATCAAAAAAAGGAGAGGCAGACACCACGATATAAAGGAGAATTTTCGCATTTTCAATACGCTTCTGAACGATAATAAAATCAAGGCTGGGGAGCTAGTATCTCCCTCTATCTACTCGGGAACCAGTTTGGATGTAGCATACTGAGAACACAGCGCTGAGCCGCCCGCTTTGGATAATAAAAAAAGGGAAAGGGGCAAGGAAAAACAGCGTCAAAAGCGGTAAAAAAAAAAGGAGATGAACTAAAGGACTATGAACAAAAAGCGTCCAGCGACACCAAGCTGAGAAAAGAGACGATGATAGGAGGGAAACTTGGCTTTTAAGAGCTTCCGGGTCCACCAAGAAGCGCGAATCTCCGCACGATGCTGGGACCAATCTCATCATATTCGGCCTTGGTGTGGCAGTAGCTTCGGAACTCAGGCGTCTGACCCAGCAGGCTGCCTCCGAACCAGGGCCCGTGCCGCTGGCGCTTGTGCGTGACGACTGCGACATCCAGACCACCACTCCGGGCGCCGCCGCTGCGGGCCTCAGAGGCGCGGATCCGGTCGTCTACCAGATGGCGGATATCACGCTGTAGACGACGGCCAAAGTCCTTATACAGGGTGGAGCCACCGGACAGAACAATGTTCTTATAAAGGCCGCGACGGACGTCAATGGGCGAAGATTGAATGACACCGTCAACAACGTTGGGGAGTGGGGTGAGGAAGTCGGACGAGTAGATTTCGGGGTTGAAGAAGATCTCCGGGGCGAGGAAGCGCTCGTAGCCAATGTCGATCTGCACACTGCGTCCGTTGGGGGCGCTGACAGTGTGCTTCAGGAGACGATCGGGCTCGCGATCGTAGCGGGCGAACTCCTTGACGATATCGGGACTCACGTAGCAGTACTCTTCCTTCACCTTCTCGGCGGTCTTCAAGCTGCTGTCCGGCTCGCCACGGTCTCGCAGCAAGCTTTGCACAAAGTATGTGATGTCTCGACCAGCGATGGGAATACTCTTAATGGAAGATCCAATGACGTAGCCCTCAGCTACGGGGATAACATGGGTGACACCGTCACCGGAGTCAATAACAGTTCCGGTGAGGGATCGATCAGTCACTTTGGAGGAGGTCCAGGACGCGGCAAGGGCGAGCACGGCTTGGACGGCAATGTAAAGTCCGGCGCAATTGAACGATTCGAACATGATCTCGGCGGTGTTTTCACGGTTCTCGGGGGGGGTTTAGTGGCTAACGTCAGACGCCAATGTTAGCCTTTCCTGGTTCCTAAGTGGCATGCATGCGGGGGGGTGCTGATAAATGGCTTCCTTACGGGTTCGGTGAGAAGGAAGTAGTGGTCTTCGGGCTCGACACGGAGGTACTTGAAAATCGAATTCGACCAGAATCGTTCCATGTGGTCCCAGTTCTCGATCTGACCGTGTCGGATGGGGTAGTTGACACCATAGCCGGGGCCATTTCCAGCGGCCAGAGCCTCATCGCCAATGAAAAAATCCAGGTCCTCAGTGCCACGCTTCATAGAGAGGTGTGAGCTACTTCCACCGCCACCGGACAGGAAAGAAGGCTTGTTTGCGACGGCAGGCCGGGCGCCGGAGCTACCAGCGCTACCAGCACCAGCCTTGGTTGCAATGGCTGTTGGAAAGACGAAGGAGGGAGAATCGTTACCGGCGAAACCTATATTTGACGCAGACACAGGTAGTTAGTCCAATGCTCCAGTGAGGAATTGCGATCGTAATGCCACCATTCTAGGCATCTAGTACCTACCAAGCTTGGAGTAACCAGTACCGCTGGAGCGTCGTGTCAGCACGAGATCAATTCGGGAGAGGGGGAGATAGAAACATACTTGTCCATGACAACGGCTGGTGTTTGGGATGCCATGGCGGAAAGGAGTTCTGCAGGCCAATCCGAATACAAAGGAGATTGCAGGTCCGCTGTAGAAGGGGGGGGGAGTGGGATATGAAGTCAACCGTGGCGGAGCTTCAGGCAGAGGCGGGGAGGAACGTGGATGACTAAGGATGCCCACGTCATGTGCCTGGAACAATGGACATCAGTTTTTTGAGGATTTGACCATATTTTGATGTGTATTTTTGATCTATCCTCCAATTGGAACTGAAATGGTGATCCCATCTATCAAATTTGGGTTAAAGGGGAATTTCCAGTAGGAAATTTCACTCACTGTACAGAATCATCGTCTAAGAGGTGCCTTTACCTTTGCCAAAGTTATCAAGGGAATAATACCTTGGTATAATACTGTCACGGTTGTGGCATCGTAGAAGGAAAGGGCGATCGGCAAAGATGCTGAGGGAGAATTTGTTGTTGACCTCGTGTGATTTCATGCGATGCTTAGGCTCGCCTCTTTCTCTTTCTCTTTCTCTTTCTCTTCCATCTTCTCTCACATCTTTCCTTTCCATTCATCACACCCCACGCCTAACCTAGGCAGTCTATCATTTACCAGCTATTCCTTATTAGCAGTAAACTGCATGTCCCATCGACCTTATTCTTTACCTCGTTCAGTCTATCTTATACGGACCCCTTCGCTCTCTCTGATCGCTCACTCAATCCTCGCTTCTCGCGTCCACATCAAGGCTAAGAAACCGGTTCCTTCACCCGAACACACACTGCAAGCCCACCCGAGAACATACACTCCTTCGCGACAAAGATCGTATTTGCCAATGACTCTCTACTGAATTGCCGCTGTTGACCAATTGAAATTCTGATCGGGACCCTGGAAAACAACTCTCGATCGGGTACTACAATTGCGAGCTTATCAATCAAGATGACCGATGCAACCCCGAATCAAACGCAGGAAATGGAAGACATATGTGCGATATTCGTCCACGCTGGCGCTGGCTTCCATTCTTATGAGAACGAGGGAAACATCTCCTAGCCTGCAAGCAGTAAGTCATCCATCACCTTTCGCAAGTCAAGTTCTAACTTTCCCATGAAACAGTGCTGTTAGAGCCGGCATGGTCTTCTTGCGAAATGGTGCAACTGCCGTTGATGCCGTCGAAATGGCCATCACATCCCTTGAGGATGCCCCAATCACGAACTGTGGCTACGGAAGCAATCTCAACGCCGAAGGAGTTGTCGAGGCTGATGCTTCAATCGTTGATCACTTTGGTCGCAGTGGTGCTGTAGGAGCTGTACCCAGTAAGAAGAGCCCTAATGGCTATCGGATGAGTAACGGAAGCTAATATGTACCTTGTCTAGACATCAAGAACCCTATCATGGCTGCCCGCAAGATCTATGACCAGTCATATACGCTCCCAGGAATGTCCCGGGTCCCGCCCAATCTCCTCGTGGGAGATGGAGCTTCCCATTTTGCCTGGAATAACGGCGTTGTGATCGTGCCACACGAAGCCTTGATTACTCCCTCTACAAAAGAGCGCTGGAAGACCTGGAAACAAGAGATCTCTGATTGGGGATTAAAGTATCCGGAAAGTAATTCTAAAGGTGACGAGAAGAACCCTTGCATACGCCGCGCCGGTGATCACTTGAAAACTCACATCGCACGTACTTTTGAGGGCCTCAATGGCCAAACCAAGGTTCACACCGAGCTTTCCTCCATGCATAAAGCCGTTGAGACTTCCGATGTGGAAATGGTTGATATGAGCAGCAGTTCGACCGCAAGCCCTCGACCAAGAAACGGCAAGTCACACCAACACACTTCGGAGGCCGTCCTTCCGAATAAAGAACCACAGAACGGAGACGACCCGAAACCTCATTCGACCAAAGGGTCCAGTTTATTTGGAAATTCACTCGGAGGCGATTCGATAACAGACACCGTTGGGGCGATTGCGGTTGATCGATACGGAAATATTGCTGCGGGTTCCTCATCAGGGGGCATCGGCATGAAGCATCATGGTAGGGTTGGGCCTGCGGCATTGATTGGAATCGGGACTCATGTCATTCCTGTTGATCCTGCTGATCCAGATCAAACGTGTGTTGCCTCAGTTACATCGGGTACAGGTGAGCATATTGCATCGACTTTGGCAGCCAGTACCAGCGCAGACCGGGTTTATTTCTGCCAAAAGAGTGTTGGCAATGGTCTATCTGAGCAAGTTACCGAGCAAGAAGCGTTGGAAGCAATGATTACCAATGAATTCAGCGGTAAGTCACACTCTTGTGTAGTCAATTTTGGTGGAATTTAACAGTATTCTAGGCCACCCTGCACTGCAAAACAACGATGTAAAAGGCTCGATTGGTATTATGACGGTCAAGAAGACAAAGGATAGCATCGAACTATGCTTTTCTCACAACACCGACTCCTTTGTAGGTTTCTATTGCATTCATGACGAACGGCCCGCTGACATTGGACTGATTGCAGGCCTTGGCTTCTATGTCAAGTAACGACAGCCTACCTAAAGCTTTAATGTCGCGCAAGCCCAAACGGTCTTCCAAAGTGGCAACTGGTGGTCTGATGATACGACCTCGTCAGTCTATCCGAGCACCGTAAGCTCATTCCGTGTTTTGTCTTGATCAGCGGGCTATGAATCTAACGTATAGTTACAGGAGAGCCTCAACATCGCCGACGGAGAAAAAAGCTAGAAAGAAGAAGCGCCAGTCAAGCCAAAGCCCCTAAAGGAAGCTTAGATTCTTGCTCTTAATAGCAAGTTTGGAGAAAACCCGTGTTGTTGGCGTTTGTTTCCTCTATTCCAACCGCCCGTCTTGACAGGCTCAAGTTTCGAGCCCCCCGTGTCAATTTCTCGCGTTTCATGTTTTGCACAGCGACTGGACTTTATTTTCCCCTCATTTTGGTTCCCTGTGCTCTCATGTTTCTCTGGTTTGATATTGGTTTTTGAAAGCGTAAACAGCAACAGTCGGCAGCAGCCAATAGTCCGCGGTGGAAATTTGGCCAAGCGATTGTATGTGTTTTTTTTTCTAGATTCCCTAGAAGCTTTACGTATCCAATTTTTTGTTCTTATTTTTACTTTCTTTTTCAGATCATCACATAGATGATTGATAATTGATTTCTTTCTTATTTCCATGACAAGACCCGAGTCTCGAATCCAGCGAGAATGAGTAGCTTTTGTGAGTTGAATCTAATTAGAAGAGCAAAAGGGAAGAATGCAAATAAACCAAGAAGGAAAAAGACATATCAAGGACCAGGCGTAGGCGTAGACATGGGCGTCCCAGCCGCCGAAGTCCCATTAACACGCTTCTTTTTCTTCCTCTTCCGCGGAATAAGCGCAGGCTTCCCACCGAAATCGCCAATATCCAACGAAGTCCCACAAGTCAAACACTCATTGTTCGGAGGCGGCTCGCAAAAGATACTCAAACAGATAGAACACACGTACCCAACATCCACAACCCGCCGATGACAGAAGCAAGCAGCGCGGAAATCAACGTCAACCCGCGTAGGCAAAACCAAGTGTCGGCGCGAGCGCTGATCCGGCAAAAACGCCATCATCAGGTACTGTAAAAGACCGCGCGGCTCGGAAAGAGCCATATACACGCCCTTGGTCGCGTCGCAGGCTTGTTGGAGGAAGACAGCGTCGCCGCTGATCTTGCACACGTCTATGGGGATTTGGAGGCGTTGACAGGCGAATATACCGTTCATGACGGGGATATACTGGTGCGCGGAATCGCTGGATCCACTTACGGAAACGATGAGGATGCGGCTTTGGAGCCGTTCGTCTTCATTTGCGGCAGAGTGTCGGCCTGCTCCAGAACCGGTCCCGCCACCGCTGCCACCACCTTCTGCGGCGGCGTCTTCGAGGTCGGCGCCGCCGTGCTCTTCGGCCCAGGCGATTGTGCGCCGGTTGATGTGGCTTAGGGCTAGGGTGAGAGCGCCGGCGAGCATTGTTGAGGTGTTGCCTCGTAGATCGTCACTGCTGGTCGAGTCCATGAGGTCTTTGAGGTTCTTTGTGACTTGTTCTTCGACGATGCGGAAGGGGCGGTATTTATTCGTTTGGGCTGGTGCTGAGCCGTTCATTGCGACGTCGCCGTCGCGATCGGCTGTGGTGGTGGATGGTGTTTCATGTTGGGAGGGGTATAGCCATGCTGCCTTTTGGCTGTGTGAGGCGACGACTGCGACCTCATTTGCGTAGTTGCATGCGAGGTGGGCGTTGATGAAGACGAGAAGATTCGCGACGGCGTTGGATAGTGGGAGGGATTGGTTTAGGGCAGCCCAGGCATGCGGGTTGGTGTCGAAGACGATTGTGAGGAGAGAAGGTGCGAGGTCTTTTGATTTTTTCCCAGAGTATTAGTGTTCAAGTTTCCGATTTGCTCCCGTGTAGCTCTGGGGAAGGAGGACGAACCGGTGGTTCCAAGGTCATAATGCTCGGAGGCATCGACGGAATTCATGGTGCTAGCACTGGTTGATGGGGGCGGGGGTTCATGATGAGGCTCAGGCCGAAGGTGGAAGTACTTTTCTGTGAGTTTAAGCTCAGTGACGGAGTTACTCTTGTGGGATCAACCCTCGGGTGAGATATTTCCAAGCAAATTCGATCATCTCCGGCGAAGCTTGGATGTCGGCGGACAAAGAGGCAGCTCCGTGATAAGCGGTCACGGGTGATAAGGGGTATAGCCACGTGATTGGACGGAATATCTCATCACTCAACTCGATCTATGGAACTTTTGACCACTTGTAAGTCGGTAGATATTGTACTTTAGAATGATATTCAATTGGTGATGAGCACTGTATCTAGTGATATACGCGGGGTGCATCGATGGATATGATATCCGTTCCCAACAAGTCGGGAGTTAACTCCGAGACGACTGCTATCACCCATACTAGTACCAAATATATCATTCTTGGAAGATGTAAGTACACCTGGGCAGACTACCTAGGTATGTAGTGTTGGAGCCCTGGAGTGCAACACCTCCATTCAACCACCTGGGCATCCACTTGGACATTCAACTTCAACTTCAAGTTGAACTCCAGGGCTTGGACTCCAGCACCAGCACATTGCCAGTGCTAGGTACCTAGACCTAGGTGGCACTCTTACCGGATCCCCATGACTCAGGCTGATCAAAATGGTTGAGTCGAGCCGCGGCTCCTTACATGTCAACAAATTGCAGTGGTGTACTTCGTACTCCGTACTCCGTACTGCCCTCTGGATCACTGGGATCCACCGGAAAAGCCCGTCGGGCGGAAGCCGACGATCCGCGGGAGCTATGACAACTTGTACTCCGTAAGTCGGAGACTGGAATTAAGAATAGCGCTACGCGGCGGTTCCCTCGAATGAGGAGTCGCAGGTCCCACATGCTCGGCCCCTCGTAAAATCGCAAACCCGATGCTCGGTTGAATGTACCGCGTTGAACTCATCCCAAAGGAGCTCCTCCACAGATAGAGGACCGTGTCTAAGACGGAAGGGGGTGGGGGGAAAGTAACTTGAAGGAGTAGTGAGATGGGAAGTGCAGATAGAATATACTTTCTCATCCCCGCCTTGAATGTGGAATTCCCTAGGTATCCTCCATGCAACGTGATAGAAAGGACCGATGTGGTTGGTCTTATCATCGTGGACTATAGAATGATAACCATTTGAAATGAAAAAGAGACCAATGACTTTCAGAAAGTTGAAAACCAATCGTATTGAGACGATACCGACTGGGCGCCTCCCGCGATGCTGCGGGGGATTGGTTAGTACTGTACGGAGTACTAGTTAGTATCCTAAGGTAATAAGTAAGCCAAAAGTGGAATGTTTGGTATTACCAAAACGGTATTAATTGCACTGCACGCCAAGTAAGCCCGATGATTATTATTCCATAGTACGTAGATCCCCATCTACTTCAATCTGTCCAGTCTGATCTGTCCAGATTATCTCCGAGCCTCCTTTCTTCTATTCTTTCTTTCCTCCTCATCATTCATCATCCATCTTCATTCTATGACCAGCTCCCATCGGACCCTTCTTCCAATCAATCTTTCTCCCCTCCGCTCCGCCTCTCCGCCTTTCCGCCTTTGCCCCCCCCTCAACCCCCCCCAATTTTTGGATTTGAAAAAAAAAGTGCCCGCGCCTTTTTCTCAATCTCGTCAACAACCCACGAAACCCTAAGATTTGTTTGTCGGAATTTGATTTCCACGGCCTGTTGCTCCTTAAGCAACCCTGCAATGGTCCAAGCAACTGGCGAAGAGCGCGCTGCACACCTGGCACGGGAGGCCGTTGAGTTAGTTGATGCTGGCCACCGCGAGGTACGAACTATCCCTCTTTGCAACATTATCGCAGCGTGATCACAGTGTGATCTACACATACTACCATCACCACCGTACCTTTTCCCCCCCCAAAATTTACTGACACTAGATTTCTTCCCCTCTAGGCCGCCTCACGAAACCTCCGAGAAGCCCTTTCCATTGCCCCCCGAAAACCCCGAAGTCAAAGCCGCCTTCCTCAAAATCCAGCAGGAAGAGGAAAATGACCATCAGCTGCTAAACCTCTGCCGTCGTTACACCACCCGTCAAGATGACTCCGCCGGGAAGGAAGCCGCTGCGTATCTTCGCACGGACGGCCTGAAACCGCCCGAGAAAGTGGCACTGGAATCGCTGAAGCTGCTGCTGGCAGAACCGGCACATGCCCTTACTGACATGCAGGATGAGATCATCTCTGGGCTCGTGCGACAGAGCGTCAGTGTTCGACAATATTTTTCCAACCAGCTCCAGGTTTCCGTGACCACGTTTTTCGATGAGATCTACGATCGAGGCGATGGCGCCGCCGTCTGTTTGGATACCGTTGTGCTTGATCCTACTGTATGGCCATCGGAGAGCACGCGGTCCCACTGTGAGGATGAGTTGTTCCAACTGTTCCTGGCCAAACTGATGGAGTCAGGCCACGATCTGGATGGTCGTTCTTTGAAGGGAATTACAAGATTACTAGCGGTTGACGCGGAGCGCCTGCAAAACCTCATCGACGACGAGGGATTCGAGGTGATCTTAACTTCACTAGACAATCGCTTGCCTCTGGAAGTCCGCAGCCAGGCCACACTGGCTACTGCCAAGTACCTGGAGGTCTCCCAGGATGCGGGCGCAAAGAAATTCTCCGCCTTGATTGCGGCCATGATTGCCAAAGGTCGTCTGGACGATCTCATCATTGCATTTTCGGCGGTGGCGGCCGTTTTTCCCGTGGCACCGACCGCGGCTGCCAGCGTCTTTCTCTCTGATGAATTGATGAATGCCCTGACTCCCCTCGCGACCCGAGAGGCGAAACGCCGAAAGGTGGAGATCTCCGTTCTGGAGCTCTTGAATGCAGCATGCATCAACCGCCCTTCCCGCGAGGCGATTTCCAAGAACTTTTCCGAGTGGCTTTCCCACACCTTGACAAACGGTAGCGACGAAGGCTCCGAATTGGCGGCCGTGGTGCTGGCGAAGATCCGGGCATCCGAGACAACCAAGCCCGAAGAAAACGGTAAGATCCTGGAGGAAGACAGTGTCTCTGAGTTGGTGGAACGATTCAAGGGACTGATGTCTGAATCCAAGATCGAGAATATTTCGCATGCCATTGAGGGATTGGCATATTCCTCCGTCAAGCCCTTCGTCAAGGAACAACTAGCCAATGATCTGACATTCATGCGAGACTTGATCGCAGTCTTGAAGAAGCACACCACCGATTCTTCCCTTCTTTATGGTGGTCTCATGATCATTCTTAA